TTTACTTCATTTTAAGGATTTTGACGCTGTTGCGCACCTTTTTACCACATTTATCAAAAACTAAACAAAAATACGGCGTGCTTGCATGTGTTAATTACACACCTGAACTCACTCAGTGGGAGAAACCCAATTTTGGTGCCAACACATTTCATAATGTATTCGGTCTGAGTAAGAGACGCTGCAACATTGGAAGAAATAAAAAACACTCTACCACTTTCAACAAGCACAAACGAACATTTCTCATGTGTCTTCCTGATTATAAATATCAATTGCGTGATTTAAAACAATTTGTTTTTCTCTCCATTCGGCTTTGCCAACATTTGGTTGGCGGAATACCTGAACAATGTTTCTCTAGTAGACAATTTTTTCTCCATTTATTACACATTCACACACATTCACCTCAAAATATCAACGACTTTAAAAAAAAATATCATTATATAGTATCAAGAGCAACACAAATCGATTCACTCAATACTCTTTTTAAATATGGCTTCGAACAAATAGAAGAAAAAAATATGGAAGGAATACACGTAGAACTTGAAAATCAACACAGAACAAAAAATGCAATTTGTCATTTTGTAGAAATGTTTGGCGTTTAAACTGTAAAACAACTCACACTTTAAATCAGGTTTCATGTATTCAAATGTAACAACTATTGGATTTCTGAGTAAATTTGTCCTATTTTTTTAATGAAAACAATTTGGTCGATTTGTATCACTTGAATTGAATGAAACATAAAATAAAACAACTCACGAGCTTTAAACTAATTCGCATTATTCAAAAAACCAAAAAGCAATTCAAAATTAGTGACAAAAAAAACTGAAAAATGTTATGGAATGAGATGTAGAATGGTTGTGATTACACACGAAATAAAAGCACACACACACTCCCAGTTGATATTCTAAGATCGAAAATGCAATGTTTTTTCCTCTCAATTTTTGATCATTTGTCCATTTTTCCAATTGTCACTCTCATTTTACTCTTCCAAATCTGTCTCTATTTTTTTAACGCTCTCAATCTTATGTTACTAATTGATGGTATGTTATTAATTGATAAGCATCGTTGATCTGAAAATTCCGTGTCTAAATTATTTCATTTAATGAATTGAAGGAGAAGGGAAATGTTTATCGAAAGAACAAAAAAAACAAACAAACAAGTGAAACACACTCAAAATTAAGAATGCCAAATTCGATTAAGTAAATTTCTTATGCCGTGTTTTGATTTTATATAAACACACGAAAAAAAAACAAAAACAAAATTCGGCGTGGTCAACACTCGCATTTATTGCCATACAACGCAAGTGAAACGAACATGACTCCAAACTAAACGAATGGAAAGAAATCGAAACGTGGATAATCATTAGAATGAACGGCTTTATGTTTAGATGTTAGGATATTATATATTGTGCCACAAGTTTTCAATGTTGTTACATACCAGACAAAACAAAAATCCATACACACAAACACAAACAGTTGAAACGAATGTTTGTTGAAAATCGAAACGCCACAGATACAAGCATGCGTCTCAAATCCAATGCAATGTAATGAAATAGCAATTTTTCCGTTAAAAAAAAGCCTTGTAGGTTGGGTGCTTTGCACATATCAGATCGAAAAAAAGCATGTAAAACACCCGAATCTTGACTCCACGGGCACGCGTCAATGCGCCGAATGAAAAGCAAATAAGCGATTTTGTTTTTTGTTCCTTTTCTGAAATCAGTCCCAACACCTAACACAACCTCTAATCTAATAACTTTCACATCAAATGGAATGTATTTTTTTAACACTTATTAAGTCTATCGAACAAACAACAACAACAAAAACACTAAAAACAATTTTACTGAATGAAACGATTATTTATTATACTTTGTGTCTTAGGACTTCCTTGTGTCGTAACGAATTTAACAAAAAAAAAACACTGAAAAAAGAGAGAAAAAAAAATTATTCTTACATATTAATAAATTCCAAAGCAAAAAAAGAAGAAAACACGAGAAAAAAAAATCAAGCAAAATGCCATCATATGAATCATGACACTTTGCTTATGTTTTTAAGTTATCTTGGGACAACTCTTGCAAATGAATGAATCAAAATGCTACAAACTCTTGCAAATGAATACAACTCTTTCGACTTCATTTTCAAAAATGTAGACTAAGGCGAAGTGACAAACTCAAATGAACAAAAGAATTATTATAACAACAACAACAAAAAAACAACAAAAATCACCATTTTGATATAAGTACTTTAATACTAGACTTTTGAACTTATTCCATGCATTTGTTGAAGTGCGGCAATTTTATCCCTTTGTTTTAAGCCAAAAATTGGCTTGAACGAAGACAAATGGAAAATTTCAAATCAAAACTGCTTTAAAAACCAAATAAAAAGAAAAAAAAAAGACGGACAAATTGGTTGTTGAACTTTTTAGAAATCAAAAGCAAAAAAAAAAATGGATGCTTTTGTGGTTTCGAATCAAATTTTGAGTTTTCTTTTTTTTTCTAATAAATTGATTGTCACACGTGTTAGATATTTTAAACAAAGAAATGACTAAAAAAAACTATACGTGCAGCAAAAAAATGCACTCAAAATTAGCAACAGAACAATAACATTCAATTTATTTTTATTTACATTTTAAGCACCCAGACCAACGGCATAATCGATACGGGTGCGTGTGTGTGTGTACAGCGGTCAGCTGATGTGACAATTTCTAGTGCTCTTCGATATGGTGTTCGTTGTTTCTTTTTCGCACGCTATTTTGCTAAATGTGTGATGGTGGCCTAGAAAAGCGTTAGAAATTGTCACACCATCGATTTGGCGCATCGCACACACAAACACACCCTTTTTACCGTACGTATCTGTTGCCAATTGGGCTCTTTTCGGGCAATTGTTTCATCCACTTGTTCCGGGTCTTGTTGTTATGTATATTTAATGAAAATGAAAAAAAAAAACCAAATGAGAAGAATAACTAGTGAATAAATTTAATGTGTGTGCCTCCATTTGTAATAAAAAAAACAACCTCTGAATACATTAAATTTATGGATTAAACAGCAACAACAACACAAAAATGGCAGAGAAACAATAATTTAAAGCAGAAAAAAATGAAACAGATTAAGATTGATGTAACGAATGTTTTTTCTCTAGCTTTCGAAGACATTCAAAACTATCAAACTCTTTTCAGCAGCAGCAGCAGTTAATGCGCAATGAAAAATCCAACAACAAAAAAAATAATATGAGAAGAGAAATAATAACACACGAGGTCACAAATTCACATTTTTTGAATTTTGCCTGTTTTTTCCTTTTTTTTCCTTATCGAAAACATGTAACAACACCATTGTAGTATTTTGTGATAGGTGACCAATCCCAATTGAACGCTACATTTGAAGTAGAGGAATTTTTTAGAATGTAAAACTCAGAGCCTCATTTGTTCACACATGAAAAAAAAAATCTTTTTTATATCGTCATGTACTCTATTACTTTGAATGAGACAAACAACATCAAAGAATGTGTCATATTAGAGACCATTCAAGTGTTACTTACTATAAAATCACTCAACTCAAATTGCCACATTTACAATGTTTATTGATTTTAAACAACAAACAGAAGAAAATACAAAATGCGAAATTCCTCTATCTAATTTATACTCGGAGTTGTTCACATGAAAACACTGAATTAACTCGAATTGGATCATGTCAATGCTGAATATTGTATTCATTGGGACAAAAATCCCGGTGGAGACAAAATATATTTGAAACGGGCAAATAAAGAGAAAATGAAAACAGAAAAAAACAGAAACGACAAAACAGTGGCACTTTGATCTAAACACAAATTAAATAATCTTAATCTGAGGGAGAAACACATCAGAAAATTTCAATGATACTTAAAATTTACAACAACAACAACAACAACAACAAAAAATGAAGAATGAATGAAAAATTATTATATACATACACCATCATATATTTTACATTTTACATATTTAACGGTTAACGGTTACATATATTATACAAACGAAAAAAAAAATGAAGCAAAAAAAAGCAACAAAAAACCTAAAAAAATTTAAACGGTTTTCTCTTTTTTCAAAACATTTCCAAACCAGACAAAAAAAATGCATTAGTTTACATCATTTAGACATATTTTTGTGTGTTTTTGTGAGCGCATATTTATCAAAAACCAAAACAAATATGATAAAAAGTGAAGTATGGAGACGAAGAAGAAAACAAAAAATACACGACCCAACCATGCAACATCAAAACGATGTCGAATAATAATCAATTCATAATTCTAGTATTGGAATGGAAATGGAATAAGAGACAACAACAAAAAATATGTATTATTCTTATTGATTATGATTATACTAAATAAACTTATAAACACATCTTGAAAATGGTGCCCTTTTAATTGCATTGATTCATCATCTCCTTTTTTGTGTGTGGCAAAAATCAGAGGTGATTCATATGAATCCTCTTGAAATTTGAATGGGTTTGCAAGAGAAATAAATGAATTATTTTTATCGCTTCTGTCATGAATTAAGTGTAATTGTTCAACCTGCATTACTTCATTACTAAAGCGAAGAGTCCTAGGCGAACAGTATACGCGTTGTGTGTATGCATGCATGAAAGGTATTCGAATTGAAGGGTTTTTCTTTCTGTTTCTTGGTATTTATCGTTAATCGCGGTCAGTAGCAAGCCTTGTGAACGCTATTCATTACAGCGATGGAAACGAATGAAAGAAAGCAACGAACGAACCAAAGAAAAAATACGCCAGTTATTCAATAGGTTAATGTTTATAAACGATGCCACTTTGTCTGTATGGCTGTCGCCACTGGATATGTATCACATATGGTGCAATATCTCGCATAAACACGCACACATCCACATCTATACACATACTACATACAAATGGTATTTTTCTCCAATATTTCTGCACCGTAAAATACAAATGGTTCCAATGTATTGGCGCATTTTGTATTTTATGCCAATACAAATTTCTTGTGCTCCGTTCTTTTGTTGTGTGTTCATTTTCATTGGTGCTTCGAAAAACTCGGTACAACAGACATAATAAACAAACCGCACGAACATTCAATATGTAATATGCGCACACGCCACCATTTCCGACCCAACACCGTCAACGTATAGACTGGGCAACAGTACGAGAACAAGAGCTAGAGTGAGAAGCACACGGTACGTGTATTGTTGCTGCTGCTGTTGTTTCTCTTCATCGCATCGTATACGTCCATATGAGCGACGCAAAATAGTCATATCGTCGTATAGAGCGACACAGAGTGTGTTGTAGAGCATAAATATATAGATATAATATATATATATGTGGGAATTGCGACACGAACGGCAATGGTTCTACTTCAACTACAAAACGACAGTCAAAAACTCAGCAGTAGCGATAGTACGGTCAAAATCGTAACATAATCAATATGGCGGCAGATAGTGATAAAAATAATAAAATGTCAAGACTATTAAATTTAGCACGGAAATTCAATTGTTTCTATTTATCAGGTAAAATTGGTGTGAAATGAATTTGTGAAATTGAAAAAAAGAAATGGCGGATGCGTGTAGACGAGCGTAGTGAAAATGAAAACACTGTAGTTTAAATGAATGTGTCATAAAGTGGTATGAAATTATTTGTGTCGTGTGTTCACGGAAAAGACGTCTTCTGTGCCCAATTCATTCGTTCAGCATTTTCAATTGCTGCTTGACTGCAGCTGTTCAGATCGATTTCATTAATAAGAGAGAGAGAGAGAAAAATGTTTGAAAATATTTTTTTTTTGCATTGGGATTTGTCACACCAAATTCGAGACATATTTCATTCATTCATTGATCCGAAACAGTTTGCCATTTGTAAAGACTACCGAATGTGTGACAACTTCAATCGACTGATTGAAATCATCATGTTTGCCAATTTTTTTTCTTCTTCTTCTTCTTCTTCTTTTCTTCGCTTCCACCCAATTTCTTAACGAATATTTTTCAAGTGGTTTCGTTTCATATACAACATTCAATCCAATTAAATCAATTCAAGTCATCAGTTTGTTTTTTCGACTGAATGATACATACTTTTTTTTCTAGAGATTTTGTTTCGGTTGTTTGATAATATTTGCTATATACGTTTTGATAACGTAAACATTTCGCACAACAACAAATATGCACGACAAATGACATTTACAGCGCATATTTTTCATTGTATACTGTGTGATGATGGTTGTGAAAGTGGTTCTTTTCCTTTGCTCTTTTTCTTCTTTTCTGTGTTCTCTGCTCGGCTGTGTGTAGTTGTTGCACACATATACGGTCCACTCGGCAGAGTGAAAAATGACGTTTTGTGTCACAACAAAATTTCTATTTGGCTTAGGACATATTTGGTGAAAACAAGCCCAACTGCGGCATGGCCTAGTAATTTTCGCTTCTCTCCATTCTGGGTTAATGTATGATTCAATGTTCTTTCTTTCTTTCATTTTTTTTGTTGTCGCGTGTGTGACGCATTTTGTGCTGTTGTTTCTCTTCTTATTCTTCTGTTTCTGAACCAGCGCAAAACAGCAATAGATGAAGATAGAGCATATTAAAAAAAGAACAAGACAAAATTCAAATGGAAAACATACAAAAATGCCAAGTGGGTTTGCTGGCTATCGCAAATAATCGATCGTGCGCTGACATTGTGAAACGTTTTATTTATGCAAACAAATCCTCTTCACTCCCATGTCCACTTGATAATTCAATAAATAACTCATATTTCATCATAATAAATTAATGGTGTTGATTTACGTATACGTTTACCTCAGTTTGATTTGTTTTGTTTTTTCTTCTGTAGGTCTGTATAATGGCGAGTGTCGACCATTTGTTGTGGATGGTTTACAAGTTGGTGTTATACGACCGGATGTATTGAAAGAATTATTCAAATATCCTGAAGTGTTTGTGATTAAAGACAATGCAAAGTCCAAAGTGGTTGAATTGAATCCAGCGTTTCGTGACTACGAATCACGAACTGAGTCAGTCGATCGGGTGTTGCGGCAATTTCGACAGGAGGACGTATTTGTCGCACTCAAAGGATGGCGAGATGAGGTAAACCGTTTTTCTTCTTCTTCTTTTTCTTTCATGGAATTAATTTTTATTTACTCATTGAAATCGAAACTAATGGGCTTCTTCTGTTTTTTTTTGCACCGCTATAGTTTTACGATGTGAAAGCTGGTCACAAGGCATTATTGAAAATGGATCGATCGGCCACATGCTTGTTTGGTATTCGCAATTATGGTGTCGACATAAATGGCTATGTACGGCACCCAACGTTAGGTTTGTGTATTTGGTTACAACAACGATCTGACACCAAACAAACATGGCCGGGTAAATGGGATAATATGGTGGGTGGCGGTTTATCCGTTGGATACGGTATTGAAGAGACCGCAATTAAAGAGGCCGCCGAAGAGGCATCCATTCCAAGCGATTTAGTCAAAAATATTGTGTCTGCCGGTTGTGTATCGTTCCTATTCGAAAGTAATCGCGGCATCTTTCCAAACACCGAATTCGTATTCGATTTAGAATTACCGGTCGATTTTGAACCAACGAACGCTGACGGCGAAGTTCAAGCATTCCAACTGCTGCCGGCCAAAGATTGCTTAGAAAAACTGTTTGCACCCGATTTTAAAACAACTAGCTGCCCAGTTGTCATCGATTTTCTGATCCGGCACGGCGTCATTACACCGGAAAATGGTAAGCAAACGGAATTCATTCCGTGAAGCAGGCTCCCTACATCGATTACTTATGCAATTCGTCATAGATTAATCCTTGTTACTGTCAAAATCTTTACTGAATCCGTTTTTACACTCATTTTTTTTTTCAGAGAAAAACTTCACTGAATTGGTTGAACTGCTTCATGTTCCATTGCAGACGTTGTACACTCATGGATCGACCAATAACGGTCGAGAACTCTACGGAAACATCGAAAATGGCCACAACAATAAAGTCTAAAAAAAAACAACAACAACAACAACAACACATGACGCATCATTAGTTTGCCTACATTTTCATTTGCTGTTGTTCGTTACAATTACCATGTGGTATTTTACTTTTAATCAAAAGGATCATATCCAACTATTTTTTAAAGAAATAATAATGTGTAATAAACGGAAACTAGGCATTCAATGAGACACAACTACTTTTTATTTTGGGTTTTCGTTGTTGTCGTAGCAAACGGTTTCGCGAATTAATGACAATGTTTTTTTTTAATCATTTATTTTTCTATTATTTATTATACGCAATTGAGACAATGAAGCGGCCAAAACAGTATGTTATGGCAGAAAAAAAAACAATGAAACACCATAAACCGAAATACTCGGCATAATTGTTTAAATCACTTCTATTTAAATATGCATGATTGAAGTATATATATTAATAATAGCAAAGGCGAGTTCAGTTAGCAAACATTCGTTCTTTTTTTTTCATCGAATTTTCCGTTTTCTCCAAAGTGAATGCTGACCGTTTTCCATGCGCAAATTTTTAAATGACACTTTTTTAATTGTTTGTTGATGCTTACTTGTTGTGAAATCCAAGTTTTGAAACAGAGAAGAAAAAAACACACACACAGACACACTTTGAATCTAATTCTTAATTGACAATTTAAGGCAAATGACCCTTCAAAGAGCAAAATGTGTATTTATTCAAATAAAAGATAAAGAGAAGCAAAAAATAAACACACACACAATCCGTAGCTGTACGAAATCGCATATAATCTGAGCAATAAATAGATTTTGAATGGGTAGTCAAACAGCAGCAACAACAAAAAAAGTTTAATCACACTGAAGATAGAGCAAAAACAAAAATTGTATAATCGACCATTACAAACTCGTAGAGCATGTAGCATCAAAATGTTTGTCAACACAGTCGAATTTTTAGGGAGAAATTGCGATGATTGTTTTGTGTGTAAGAGATTAAATAAACTCAACACATTCAGAGACAGAGCAAGGAAAAAAAAATTGTATTGTGATTGGTTGTATAATGATACGGATTAATAGAAGACAGAAAAATGGGGACGTAATCATCCAAGAAAAAGAAACTTGAAAAAATATTTGAAAAACTGAAATATTTCACAAATATGGGCCTTTCTTCTCTATTTCCACGAGATATCGATTTGTTTAGGTAGAAATTTAACAAAAAAAACGAGTAGTTTTTCATATGAACATTTTTTGTTCTGTTCTTTGTACGGAAATCTTGCGACAATGATTTTTTTTTATATACGTATATATTTAACGAATTGTAGATGTTTGCTGATGATCAATTAGTGATTCATATAGCACTTTGATATAATGAATCTTTTTCCCTCATTTCTGTTTTCCAAATTAGTTGCTTGAATGATTTCCGACGCACAATATTCAAGCCACACACAAACACACAATTTCCGATCGATTCAATTTCTCCTCGAACTTCAAACTGGACTAGAAAATAGCAAAAAAAATCGATAGTTCTGACTTTGAATTAGCTAAGACATAATATTTATTAAATAAAGTATTACATTACAATACGACTTCAAATTCGCTGGACTTTCTCTGTTAAAAATACTTGAACTTTTAAATGTTAAGAGAGCTCCCGAAATATAATTTCAAAATACTAAAACAAACAAAAATTTGGTGTGCGTTTTTTTGCCGTCTTATCAATTTTGCAGCAGTTTATAAACTGGCTAGTGAATCAGCAGTTTTACATAGGTTAGCATTTTTCATTCTATGAAACATTTCCCGCAATTTTTCGCAATCATTGCACATTTGTATGCGTTGGTACGCGTATCGCGTCTGCGTATCCAAATTAGAACAAAAAAATAAGTGATAACTTCGTTTGGGGAATGTGCATTTGAGCGTCTGAATTCTGCATACTCTGAGTAATACAACACCAAACTGAACTCAGAATCTTCGTTCTAGAGGTTTTTAGGCAAATAGTTTCAATTCAAACCATGTTTTTTTTATGCAGTGTAATTCTATATGAATCGAAAATTCAATTATTACCTGCGAAACAAATTCAAAATAATAACGAACTAATCCACAAAGATTATACAAATGTTCCACATACGTTCATCTGTAGTACCCAACGTCTCAAAAGTAGTCGCAATAGTCGTCAACAGTTTTGACACTTATTCAAATACATGCGATCCACACAAACGCTTCATTTTGCATCACCTTTTTGCTTGCGATGGTATTCCGCTTGCGCGAACCACCATATGTGCTATGTTTCATATGGCATTTCTATTGTGGTGTATGAGCGCGTCTTATTTTTATGCGCACCAATAACAAAGAACCGATCACTACACACCGATGCGTCAACCGTCTGGCTCTAAGTGTCAAATTAAGATAAATATCAACCGAATCGGTGCGTTTTTGATACATTTGGAATATTAGTTTAATTTAACAAATTTGCAATTTTCAATCCATAGACCAGAATCTATGCGCAAATTGCCAGTTTTTCTTCTAAGTCTAGCTTATAGAGCAAAGACTGGGTGTTCGCGTTTGAATGAGATCCTTATGAAATATTCATTGATTGATCTTCCATCTTTTTTTGCTAGCTCAAGTGTAGATGAACAAAGAGTTAAAGTTACAGAAAAAATCAAAATATTTTCGCATTTAAAAATGAAAAACATGTCACGGAAATTGGTTTTGCTCATTTTAATATCAATTGGTAAGATATTCATCATCTTGAAATAATGACAACAATTTACAATCAATAAATGTGAGTGAATAGATTCTGAATTAAAATGTATTTTTCAACCAAAATGAATACACCAGTAAATACATCGGTACACCCAGCTGCAAATGCCGCCCATTTCCAATTCGATTGTCTTGACGTGAATTTTACGGCTCGATTTGTTATCCCTGTTGAAAGAGGTATTTTTTTTTTCTTCAAAATTCCAAGTTCTCTGAAGTGATGCCTTCATGGATTCGATTTGAAAATTCCCAGGGGAAAATGTCAATACAGAATATTACGCATATGATTTACCTCTGAATGATTCCAAGGTGGTATTCGGCAGCTGTGGCTACCACATGGACGCGATTGTTGTCAATTGGGTGGATAAGAACAAAAGCGGTGGCATGAAATTGTCGTTTTCATTTGATCGTTCAAAAAAAGTTTATAAATTGAGCGAAATTGCTTTCTACCTTTCGGCTGCAATGTTGTTCCATAATGACAATAGAACATTGAACCTATTTTATCGTGGTGACATTTTGAAAAGCCCAATGGGCCGTTCATATTGCCCCAAAGCAAACTATTCACTACCGTTGACAAATGAATATGGAAATCGTTCTATGGGCATGGGCACACTCGAACTATTTAGCCTATGCTTTGAAGCACATAGCTTATGTGAAGATCAACTATTTTGCGACTACAATGCTAAAACCATAAGTATGCTTCAAACCCTTGATTTTTCTTCTAGTACTAGCACAAACTAATTTGTTTGATTACTTTTTTCCAGTCATTGTTTCGAGCATCATTGGATCCGTAGTACTTGCACCTGTTTTGATTGGTTTATTATGCATTTGTCGTTGTCTTAGACGCTGCTGCAAAGGATACACACCAATTTGAATTTTTATCAATATTCCAATTTTTCATATTCATTTTAACTGCATTTAACCATTAAGTGAATACGATTTATATCTCTATATCATGCATGTATAATGTACTTATTCCATACCACTACAATCAACAACGTATTATATACAATAACGACTATTTGATGCCAAAAGGAAGCTCAGTATTCGCACCGAACATTTACAATCCCTTGATGTAGCACAAAATATATTATCAAAATAGTAACAAAAACAAAAACGAATTTGTTATTTCTCATTTGTTATCTTAGGATTCACTAACACGAACTTGTCTGTACATTTCATGTGTGAGAAATGAAAAAATGATTTAATTGCAATCGAAGTAAAAAGAAAAAGTAGATTTTTTCTTCATTTCATTATTTAACACATTTTGTGGCACATTTTTAGTTTCTGAATATTTCAATGGTTACGAATTGGCCCATATCAAGTCTTGCTACGTCATTATGGCGGATTTCGTAGCACTCACAATCTTGGCATGAAAATCATTTAAAAATTAATTTTTTCATCTGATAACATTGAATTCAGCTGCAAGTGTGGACGGGTAAAAGGCAACAAGTGAAGTATTTGCTTTTTGCTTTTCAAAATGAAAAACATATTACAGCAATTCATTCTCTGTATATTCAGTTGTTTTGGTAAGTAGTTTCTCATTTAAAATACCGGAAAATACTACAATCAGTAAATGAAGCCCGTTGATCGTTATTTTTCAATAAAATTTGTATAATAGTAGCTACAAATGCCATGCAATGGGACAGCGCCGTAGCCAGAAAAAAAAATTGGAGGGTGCAAAATCGAAATTTTTCTTTTGTTGCACCTTTGAAACCCGATTTTGCACCCGACTTTGCACCCGATTTTGTTGCACCTTTGAAATTTTTGGAGGGTGCAATGCACCCATTGCGCTGGCCTGGCTACGGCGCTGCAATGGGAGGACTGCATTTCAATTAATTTCACTGCTCGATTGTGTATTTCTGACAAAGGTGACCATCTATTTTACGTACTATAAATATTTATAAATATTAAGAAAAATTTATCCGAGAAACATTTCTTTTAGTGGAAAACATCAGTGCATCATATGATTTACCGCTGTATGATTCCAACGTTGTATCCGGAAGCTGTGGCAATGCCACCGACCCTATTTCAATCAATTGGATGGATACAAATCATACTGACAGCTATATGAAGCTATCTTTTACATTAAATCATCGCGAGAAAAATTATACATTGAATGAAATCGCTTTGAATTTTTCCGCAATTTTGGACATTAAAAACAACAAATCTATGGAGATGTTTTATCATGGTGATAATTTGACGACCATAATGGGCCATTCATATGGCTTCAAAGCAAATCAATCGTTGCCTTTAAAAAATGAATATCGAAATCAGTCCATGGGAACACTCGAACTATTCAGCCTATGTTTTAAACCACACAGCGCATCTGAAAAATATATGCGTATATTTAACGCCAAAATGATGGGTACGCTCTCGAATAGTTTTCCAAAGAAAAATCTTGGAACTAATCATTTGAAATTATTGCTTTCAGGCATAATCTTTTTATGCATACCACTTGCATTCGCACTATTTGGACTTTATTTATCGTAACAAACATAACTGACTTTATGGATAGGAAAGAATTGGAGAAATCCTGCTGATATTTCCATCGCTTGTGGCTTATCGAAAATGTATAACAAAATCATTTCACTTAAAACAGAGATGACAGAGATGACAGCGCACCCGAGTATTTTTGTTGTTTTTTCGTTCTACTTTAGCTTTTTGGCCAGGATTTTCTTTAAATAATATTTTGTGTAACATAACGAAGAAGAGAAGACTTACATTTTCTGCCCCCGGTATTCGCATTGTGTGGTCATATGCACCTAGTAATTACGCACATTGAATATAGACTTGAAATGGGACAATATTCCAAAAAAGTTTTTCATTTTGAATCATTAGATGCTGTTTCGACTTCAAGAAAAGACGTACAAAAAGCTAAAATTGGATAAAAATGTGTTTTATTTTAATTGTTGTTTGAATCAAATTCACTTCTGATTGAAAAATAAAACAAACCAAATACGGAATTTAGTTGTTGTGTTTAGTTCATTTGAATGGGAACACGGTGCAATTTTTGAATGAAATTCTAGAGAATCTGGAAAGTTGTAGAATGTTGAACTCTATATATCACCTTTGAATGTGAGTATTGCAAAGAGTCTATGCAAAGAATGTACAGGTAGTATGACTCATTTTAACCAACAATATGCGCTATAAATGGAAATTATTCAGCAATGCATGCTCTAACGGCATCTATACGGTTTAGTTTGGAAGTATAAAAAATGCAGAAATATCTGTAAGAAATGACATTTCAAACGTTTTGGAATTGCTGAATATATCACCACTTCATAGCGTTGATTTTAACAATATGAAAAAGTTTTAATTTACACTCGGACGTGTGACGTAACGTTACTGACGGCTCAGAGACACATTCCAACAGAACTCCTCCAACAAAATCTATTCGATTTTAGCGGTTGAGGTGATCGAAAATGAATGGGAATGCGATAAGAATAATCGATTCGATTGTTCTTTTGTTCGAAAATGAGTCAATCGAAATTTGAAACAGATAAGATTAGAGAAAAGTACGAATGAAAATTGAACGAAAAAATACGTTTTTTCTCCTGAAATGTGTCCAATTGGACAAAAGAATATCAATACTTATCGTCGAAACTTGATTGTTCATTTTTTTTAAGCTTTCAGGCGAAGAGATATGTAAGCCATGAGCTACTTTATCGTACGCATGATTGCTCCCTTATTTCGCAGTAAAAATACCTATGAAATAATAAAAAGTATTTTTCTTAAACATACGATTGCAAATCAAAAATCATACTCGAGTGTTTTCAGTTAAAATTAGTCTGAAACAACCAGTACACTGTTAAAGCTTAACGAAGTAAACTTCAGTTTAGGAAATAAATAAAATTAACTGAGTAAATTTTATGAAAAAAGTGAATTGTAAACTTTGATTAAATCTTTACAGACTCTCCAATTTTTTATTTCAATAAATATATCTGATTAGCTGTCATTTCATTTGCACAAGATTCCTATTGGAAGTGAAAAGGTATTGTTCCATGAGAAAATGATGAATACGATGCAGAAATCCTTTTTCTTCATTTTATATTTTATCGGTAAGCGGTTTTCCCGATCAGAAAATGACCAATATTTGTTGTAATTGTTAGTGTTTTAAGTGAATAAAGTTTAGTTTTGTTTTTCTTCCCTTTAAAATGAATGGTTAAATCCCATTACAGCTGCGGATGTCATGGCATGGAATTCAACCGATTTCTGTGTCAATTTCTATTTCAATGCTCGATTGCATATTGATGATTATGGTAATTTTCTATGGTTTTTTTCTCTAGTGCAAATAAATAATTCAATCTGATTTTCAGACGGAATTCCAAAAAAGATATACGATTTACCTGTGAATGATACAAAGGTTATGGATGGAACTTGTAGCAATGACATAAGCACAATTTTAATCGATTGGACGAATGAAGACTATGTCGGCCACATGAATCTATCTTTTCCGTTTGACCGCCAATCGCATTTGTATTCATTGACTAGAATTGCATTTGATTTTCCCGCAAAAATTTTGGGCATTAATCAAGACAAAAATCTGACTATGTTTTATCATCAAGAGTCTTTTGACGTTTTGAAGACCGACATGGACAAAGAATATCAACCGGAAAATACAACAGTATCATTACGGTTAACAAATGAATATGGAAATGAATCAGTGGGAACACTTGAGCTATCAAACATATACTTCAAAGCATTTAGCTTATGTAAATTTCAGAAATATTGTGACAAAGATCTAACAAGCTCATGTAAGCATTTTGATGGTATAAGTATTTTTGATAGTTTTAATTAACCATTTTAATTTTAATTTTAATTTTTATTCTCAGACATTATGTTTTTTGTTACTGGAAGTGCAGCAGCTTTAGCTGTCGTTGCAACATTGATTTATTATCATAGAGCTCTGATATCCGCCTTTTGATAACAGTTTTGTACACTTTCTGAATATCTCCAATGGAAATATGTGCCTGATTGAACAATAAAACCAACCAAATACGGATTTTTCATTAAATGCACAGCAATTACATGTCCACAATTGATATTTCCCTTTACTATTGCAAGAGCACGCTTGGATTTTGCGACAGTAGCAATGTCAGGATATGAATCTTCAAGTCTTTGATGTAATACCATCAAAATTGGTTAAAGCTTTGCAAAATGACTCATGGTCACATGTTGAATTTATTTGAATTGTTCCGAGTATGCTCTTTCTGTTTCTCTTGGAATTTCGAAAGGGTTTTTTTTCCTTTTTCAGAGAAATCATTGAATTATGTTTCTGATAAACTGCTTAGTAATAAACACCAAAATAAACACAGTTAGTCATTTGTTTTTTTTACGATTGCAAGTAGAAATTACACTTGGCTTTCAGTGTTATTATGATTTAATCAAGCATCAAAATTGGCAGTTGTGAACATTTCACTGTATAAATGTACACACATTTCGGATAGTCGAATGTTTAAAAATGGAAAAAAATTCTACGCAGTGTCTGAAATTTGACGTAGATAAAGTATTATGAGTCTTTGGTTTACTATATAAATCTGGTGATATGGTCCATAGTTTACATACATTATATATTGTACATGCTTGAATTGAGTAGAGGACATAATGCCTCGAATGAACAGCATGCTTTTGTGTTTCTATTGCATTAGAGTATTGTGTCCGTCCGGGGCGTTATGACCACCACTCCTTGGATTATAAGCCCCACTCTTGATATTCCCTTCAAGTTATAATGCACACTACACATTTTCAAAATAAAATAATTTTGTACAATCAACTTTCACATTTTGATTCGAAAACATTCTAAAAGGAAGGAAGGCAAAAAAAAATCCGGACACATTCTAATTTTAATTTAATATATTCGAAAATCATGAATAGTTCATGGAATTTAATGTTGATTCTTTTGAGTGGTTTTGGTAATTATTATTTATTGTTTCGAGATTTTAGTTATTAAAAATATCGCGCAAGTAACTAGTTTCAGCCAATGATTCAAAATAATTTTTTCCATTCGAATTTCCATCCTCAAAGTGAATACATCGATATTACTGGAAAGAAAATTTCTTACAGCTAATGCACAAGATGTACCAGAAGTTGAAATATGGACATATGGACATGATAGCTCCACTAAACCGTGTATCATGGTTTCATTCATCGTTAGACTCAATATTAACTATGGTAATTCGAAACATACTCTCAAAAATGGAATACGCGAATAATAATGGGTCCTATACTGCAAGAATAGTACAACTATGGTGATTCATTTCCTTTGCTTTTCAATGCAAACTCCAGCTTGATTTTCATTTAATGCATACACAATTAAATGGTGTTTCCATCAATTATTCCAGGTATTATTGAAGGCACATACGATTTGCCTGCCAAACAATCACGTGTGGTATCTGGAAATTGTGGTGTAAAAACTCAGAATATTTTAATTGAATGGACGGATAAAAATCATAGAAACGCAATGAAATTGAAGTTTAACTTGAAACTGGCTAAAGAATCCTCTTATTCATTGGATGAGATTGCGTTTGAAATCTCCACTTCACTTTTCGCCCACAATGATAATACTACATTGAAACTACTGCATTTGGCCAACGATTTTACAACTTGGTTGCACTGGTCCTATCTCTGTCCGAACGATCGAGAATTGCCATTGTACCATATGGAAAATATGGAAGAACCCGTCGCAATAATGGAAGTGTCGCATATCCATTTGGAGGCCTTCCACGTTCAAAATAAAATGCAATTTTCACGACCCATCAAATGTGATACCGGGCTATCGACAGGACGTATGTCTCATCGAACAATTTTTTTATTTTCAATAATTTCACTTCACTATGTTGATCTTTCAATGTCTTTATTTTATTTCAATTTTTCTATAGAAATCATAGCGATTAGCATAAGTTCAGTACTGATCGCTGTCATCTTAATTGGCACATTAATTTGGTTTTACTGTTGGCGCAATCGATATCAATCTGGCTATATTCGAATATAAAAACGCAATATTTCTCCACTTGACTTCCTTCACGTTGTCGTACTTTTGAGCGAACTGTGAAAACCACTTGAACATATAGCACGTAAATAGATTTGAATCTCCGGTCGTTTTTCAAAATTCTTTTTATATTCACTCGAAGAATGCTCATGTATCGTTTAATTGTGTTATTTTAATTGGCACTTGAACAATTGTATATAATAAAACAATCTGTGTGCTAGAGTAAATGTGGTGTTTTTTTCATTATTCTAAACAATGATCGAGTTGTTTAATGTTTCGCGCAATGCCGACAGATTTGTCAATGGGCCAATATACTGATTATAGAAATAATATGATTTATATACAGATTATTGCCGCTAATCAGTGCTCGCAAATATGTGCGTCATATTCGTGTATGAAACGTATCAATACTGACAAATGAATTGACATGGTGTTCAAATTAACACTCAATTGTGAAACGCCATTTTCGATCGTGAGTAAGATTTTGTACATCATTTTTGTTCAGCTCAGTTTCATTCCGAACATTGATCAAAGACTGTGAAATTTTCGAATAAGTTTTTAATATTTAAAACCAAAAATGACACATCGACATAAATTGTGATATGATTTTTCACGGAAATGTGTGTGCATTGCTTACGTTATCAGTCAACTTATCGTTTCATGAACTCTATAAAGTGTTAATCACCGCCGTTACATTTCTTTTGTTGTTGTTCCAATTCAGTCATGCATTTATCAAAAACCAAACGAGTTTGTTGCTCAACACACAACAGCTGATACTTCTAAGCGAACCGGATAGTTTAGTTCGTTTTGACATCAAGTCAGTCGGTCGCAGCTATTCTTAGAAAATGGATTTTAACACTCGTAAAACCAAGCGTTCAACTTTCTTTTTATTATTCATCAAGTGAAATCAATCGAAAATGAAGTGCGTTCTTTTTTACGCATTGATTTTTACCATAATCACAGTGTTTTCAGATGCGTTACAAGTCAAACCATGGCGATTTACCGATCATATATCACGACAGACGTGTATTTTGGTGCAATTCGACGCTCGATTGAATTTATCGTATCCAACTGAAGGTAAAAGAAGAAATTCACACATTTTTGTTTAAAATTTCGGAATTTTTAACAAATTTTTAGATGGTAAATCGTCTCACGCCGTTTACAATATTCCAACGAACGATTCGTATATCGTTTCGGGTAGCTGTGGCGATGGCACATCCGATCAAAATATCACAATTCAATGGACTGACAAGAATTTGAATAACACGATGGATTTATTGTTTAAATTTTACCCTGAAACACATTTGTACTCGCTGAATGCACTTAAATTTAACATAAACGCAGCTATTCATCCCAGTGGCTCTGCTCAGATGTCAAATTATTTGTATGTTGGCGATGATTTTTGGGCTCCGTCTGGATGGTCATACCAATGTAATAAATGGCAAACAGTTGAACTGAGCAGCGAAAACAGACGCTATCGCATGGGAACGGTCGATTTGATAAACATTCAATTCGAAGCATCACTCACGCACAACATAGAAGCGTTTTCAAAGCCGGTTGAGTGCCGCGTTGCTAATCTTACAACGAGTATGTGTTGTGACGCAATCAATTACGTAGAATTCACCGAAAAATTCATTTCAAAGTATTGAAAAGAACTTAAGCACTACGTAGAATATACGTGTGATATGTTCGTTCGTATTGAATGTGTTCTTTTTTTAGACTTTTTTATGTTTTTGTTTGTTAATATGCTAACCAAATATTTTTTATCTTTGTTTCGGTTAAACAGAAATCGTGTTCGTCTCCATCGCTGCCGTTGTAGTCACATTCATTTCAATAGGCGTATACATTTATTTTCATCGTTTTCGCTTTTGAAACACCATATTCATAAGGTCATTGGTCGCTAAGTATTGAAAAGAAGAAGTGTTTTCGGGTCTTTTTATGTAGAATATATTATGTAGAACTTATGAATAATGTGGAGAATTTTAATATGTCTGTTAGTACAAGTGGATGTAACGAAGAAAGTAGTTCAATTTAAGACGAACACAGTGATGCCAAATCTTTATCTTTTATTAAGTACTTTTTATGAATCATTATGTTTTATAGATTAGTTGATTTTAATTTGCTCACAATCTATTTATGTTCGTCGGGATGAGAAAAAGTTGTAAAAATTGCCTCGTTAAGATAATGGAATTTGCTGTAAACTTCGAAGCAATGTAAATGCGATAAAAAAAAAGTTTGGGATAAAACTTTATTTTCTTAAGAGAAATGCTATCATCAGTTTTCTAACTCAAAATCTGGCATGTTTATAAAACCCATTATTTGACTTTATCAGATGTGGTAACCATTCGAACTATGGAAATGTAACTACACCAAACTGCACCATTTACTGCAGATCTAAGCTATTTTTGTTCGTGTCAATAGGTTTTTATCGACTATTCCACACGAAATCGACTAAGAATTGAATCGAAGACCCTCTCCAAATTGGATGAAAATTTCCATGGAGTAGTTTTCAGTTGCCGCAAACCCATTTTTTTCAATTTCTTGACTTTTTTAAAAACCTTACAGGACTGCTCCAAAAAAAAAAGTTGGTCGAAGAAAAAAAGCTTCATCCAGTTTCGAAAAATATACCTCAAAAAAATAGGTTTGGTCCAAAAAAATCATATGGGTACCATCGGTGCCGGATTTGGGCACGTGCAGAGCGTGCATTTGCACGGGGCGGCACATGACAAGGGCGGCAAAATCACAAATTGAAAAAAAATATAAGAGCAGAGAAAATGCAAGAAAAAAGAATAAAATAATGCAATATATACTGCGAATCACGAAAACAGGTTCGCAATACAGTTTATACAAACATATTCAAAGTGTTTGTGCTGATTTGACGAACACCAAGCTAAATAGCAAAACATGATTATGCACGTCAAAGTTCGGTGCTTGTGCTGCTACTGCTGATTAGCGCACGCTAAAATGTTTATATCTGACAATTTGTTTATCTTTGAATTCTCCGTTATTATTCATTGCCCATTTCGATTGCACAAAGAACAGCTTCTTTGCATAATGTTGTTCAGTTGGTAATCAGATTTTGTATCGATGACAAGTGACAAGTCACTCCAATTTATTAGAGCCTTCATTTATTAAACCCGTGAATTTAATTCGATATTTTTGATTGCAAAATGAGTGACAAACGCATAAAGCCGTCTGGAAATTTTTTTCGCGCCCAAAAAAGAAAACGTGAACAGGAAAATAAAACACAGGGAAATGATTTGCGCCGAATGTTTCAGCAAAATAGTTTTCAAACTACAGGTGAATCAAGTGGAGCCGCAAACAATGATCAAAATGCAGCTGAAAATTCTCAAAGTTCAAATCAATCAAATGACATACCAAACGCCGATCAAAATGAACCGACAGTATCGAACGAAGGAGAAAAATCAACGAACGAAAGTGATGAAACATCTTCAAATCCAAATGTGAACGAGACGCACAGACATCAAATTTGATTCATTGTATTTACAAGCTGAAACAATTGCGAAAGAAATGGACATTTCAGTTGATTTTGCTTCATTTGGTGCAATCCGAAGCCTTCGAAGCATGCGATACAGTAGTGGAAGAAGCGCAAATATTGATCCAAAATCCAAATATAAGGCTGATTTCTATTTTCATATAATCGATGTCGCCTTGAATTCGCTTGATGATCGTTTCAAAGCATACACATTTTTGAGTAAATATTTCGGTTTTCTGTGCGATGTATCAAAGCCGTGTGAGAAAGCAAATTGTAAGCTGTTGGAACAACTATTAACAGCAATGGATGGGAGCACAAACGAAGAGCTAAAGGATATCAATGGCGAAGATCTTTACAATGAAATTCAAATTTTCAATCAGGTGTCTCCGGTCGATGATTTCCGCCCACTATCAATTTTGAATTATTTGGCATCGCATTCAACACTTGAATTGTATCCAAACTTAGTAACAGCATTGCGCATTCTTCTGACACTACCGATAAGTGTGGCTTCGGGCGAAGGAAGTTTCTCAAAACTCAAACTAATCAAAACGTATCTCCACTCAACTATGTGTCAAGAACGATTGAATGGTCTTAGTGTAATATCTATCGGAAAATAATTGCTTGATGATGTTCATGTAGATGAAATAGCCACTAAGTTCGCACAAATGAAAGTACGCCGTCATTCAGTTTGAAAACTCGTTGAAAATATGAATAAAAATTATTTGCTTTTTTCATTATGTACTTCAGACAAATGTTGTTTTTATTTCTTAAAATTGGGGCAGCAAAATTACGATTTGCACGGGGCGGCAGAATGCCCAGATCCGGCACCGGGTACCATATAAAAACCCATGGCAAGCCCCATATCAAATTTTTCATGACAGCGATTTCGGAAGTCATTTTAGATCGTAACATTTCGACCGATTCCATTATTCCAGCCAACTTTTGGCAAAAACTGATGATGAGGTTTTGTTTGGCTCGTCAATATCTATAATTATTACCAAGACATCAGCCCTTGAAAAGGCATTCTGGGCCAGTTACAGTGTAAAATGACCAGAAAAATGACAATTTTTCGGCATTTTTTGCATTTTTCGCTCTACTGGCCACCCAGGTGGTAGACTTTTGTTCAATTTTCGACTCGTGTCGCATATCCAGGGGCCGTATAAATAATTTGGCACTTCTCAGATTGCAATTTGGATGGAATTTGGCGACAATTGATTTACACATATAAGACAAATTTCAGGCCAAAATGAGCAAATCACAAAGATGAGCTTCGGTTTGACAGGTAAAAGCAAATGATTTCTACCTTTTCTGCCTTTGAACATCTAGTATGGTCCTTTACGAACATTTTGAGTACTTACATGACCAAATCGAGTGATGTTTTCACATATTTCTGGCCTCATATTCGATTTCAACTCCCAAAAATCGACTTTTGACCAAAAAATCCTTAAGTATAGGCTTTTTAGGGATGGTGTCTTGGTGCAATGTTATTTTTTCTCCGAAATATGGGGAGTCTACCCAGACAAAAACTCTCAAAATTGACTTTTTAAGGTACCTACCGAACAAAAGTTACGTTCTTCATGGCAAATTATCATTTTTTGTTCGACAGATACCCCAAAAATCATTCATAAGAGATTCTGTGTGAGTAGATTCCCAATATTTCTCGAAAAAAATAACTTTGTACTAAGAAACTCACCCGAAAAGTGTATTTTTGGGGTCATTTTACACTGTAACTGGCCCAGAATGCCTTTTCAAGGGCTGATGTCTTGGTAATAATTATAGATATTGACGAGCCAAACAAAACCTCATCATCAGTTTTTGCCAAAAGTTGGCTGGAATAATGGAATCGGTCGAAATGTTACGATCTAAAATGACTTCCGAAATCGCTGTCATGAAAAATTTGATGTGGGGCTTGCCATGGGTTTTTATATGGTACCCATATGATTTTTTTGGACCAAACCTATTTTTTTGAGGTATATTTTTCGAAACTGGATGAAGCTTTTTTTCTTCGACCAACTTTTTTTTTTGGAGCAGTCTAAGGCTTACACTATGTGAACTCAAAAACGTAGAGTCTTTTGGTTTTCCCATTTTTTTCTTACCGAAAACCAGACTCCATGCAAATTTTCAGCCAATTCGGTGGGGGTCGGTCCAATTCTTGGTCGACTTCGTGTGGAATGGTCGTCATATGGAATTTTTCGAAAAATGTTGCATCCAAACGTCTCATCTGATAGCAATAGCCGTAACGACTGTGTGCTATAAACCATGTGTCACGAATTAAATCAACGGTGAGGTTAACGCCTTCAACAGATTTAGAATTTGCAGAGAATAAACATGTACATCAAATAAATTATTAGTAATCATCTGCTCGAATATGTTTTACTACGTTTTATTCTTTTATCGTTTAATGAAACGTCATCGATCCGACAACCTGTAATTAACTCGCAGTGATTCTATTTTAGAAATACCTTCGAATATAAATTGAAGCTGTTCTGGTCTGCATCACAAATATATAAAGGCCACCAGTTGTATGTATCTTTCCATCTTATGAACAAATGCTCAGTATTTTTCCGTATGGTGTACAAATTGCACCAAAATGCCCAACCAGTATTTTTCCATCTTTTTAAAGACGCCATACGCGCATTGCTTTTACTTTTCAATAAATTTTGCAGTGTATTATCGAGTTTTATGCAATGCACCAATATTTCGAGTGTTGTGCAATCATCGAATATGTTTCGGGTGAATTGCTATAGCTTCATTTGATTGCATTCAAATCTTATATTTCACCAGTTGCGCGACCGGTTTTCAATAAACTGTGTCACTTGCGTTCTGTCATAACACAGTTTGGCCGGAATCGAAGACAAAATGCAAATAAATCAAGTCAATAAAATGATAGCTCAGTCAATGAGATCGGTTTCCGTCTATTTTTATCCACATATTTGTTTATTGTTATTTGTTTGTTTGTTTATTTCCGAACATCGTTCGTAAACTGGAACTTTTTTTTATTTTTTCGGTCGAAAATAAGAAAAGTCTTTACGATATTTGCATATTACAAAAACGATATTTTGCATATAAGAATAACAAAAAAAAGATCACGAGCCAGTTCGTATAGGGATCGGTGGAAAAAAACACACAATTTAGAAAAAGTTTTGATTTTTCATCAAACATTTGTCTTTTGATTGTTCCGAAAATCGATTATTTTTAGCTTTGTCAATTCGCATCAATTAAAATGATTAGAAAAAGTTGCTTATTATAATTAACAGAGCCATGCATGAAATGGCCATGCATTTCTTTTTCGATTTCTTTGAACCTACATTGTACAATCACCATGACCCAAATACACGAAATGTGGAAGAAAGAATTCAATTGCATGCATATCTCTCTCTGTATGATGTGACCACAATTGTTGACTGAACAACTTTTATATTTCGTGGGTTCCGTGAATTTAAGCACTGTTATGCTGCGCTGAATATCAGTATTCCGTCGGTGCTCAATCCATTCACACGATCGCATCGAACACACTATCAATCGAAATACAACACATCTGGCGATAATTCCAACGCGAAACAGTTAATAGATTATTTCGGTTATCTGCATTTCATCGCGTCTCTGACGTTCAAGTGCTGTTTGTTTACCGGAAACATTTAAGTGGCGAATTTTCGATTCGCATTGTTAGTTCGATTTGTATCCCTGTTCGAGGCAGTTCATACATTTGACAACATGTCGTTTTTTGAAAGAGTGAACAAATTTGTGGTCGTCTGGACTTTGAGCATTTTGTTTAGTATCCTAGTTGCGGTGCGATTGATTTTTGCATATATTGTACACTGTACATCAATACCATGGAAGCCAAAAGATCGCATTTTAATGGAACAACCAGCTTGTTTCTCTGATCCAACATACGGAACACACAAATATGCTACGGTTAATGTGGGGATCAATGATCAATACCGATTTTATTCTTTTTTTTAATTTGTTCAAAATTTTATAGAGAATTCGTTTGCACTATGTGGAATCTGGTGATAAAAGTAAACCATTGATGATATTTGTGCATGGATTTCCCGAAATGTGGTATTCTTGGCGCCATCAAATTACCGAATTCAATAAGGAATACTGGTTTGTTTGCTGTTTGAATCCATTTTGTTATTGTGATCAAGTTACTTGAGCGGAAAATGTGAAAGAATTACAATGAATTGTTCAATGATTGTGCAAATTTGAATTAACAACAGAAAAACAATATCGAACGCATTTTTAAATCCAAAATAAAACCTAAGACCCTGAATTGAATATATGTGAATTGAAAAAGAAATTTAATTTTAGGGTGGTTGCTATCGATCAGCGTGGCTATAATCAGTCAGAAAAACCAAGAGGGAAACATAATTATAAAATCGAAAATATGATTGTCGATTTAAGAGCACTCGTCCATCACTTGAGTATGTGAAGAATTATTTTGTGAAAAAAATACGCTCAAAAATTAACGCAAGTTTCTTTCGTTTAGATCGCAAACAATGCATACTGGTGGCTCATGATTGGGGTATGTGCAAAAATATCCATTTATTTATGTGACAGAAATATTGAGCTGAACAAAAATCGATTTTTTGAGATTCTCTTTTGCCAAAAACATTGCCTTTTTGTTGAAAATTTAGTTCTTTTTTTCGATAGGCGCATTCGTTGGTTGGGAATTTGTGGAGCAAAATAAAGAAATGGTACAAAAATACGTGATGATGGGTGTTCCGAGTCGAAGACAATACTACAAATTGGCTCTAAGTACAATGGATCAATTTAAACGTTCTTGGTATTTTTTCGTCTTTAAATTCCCATATTTAGCTGAGGAATTGTTGACCGCTGGCGATTATGCGATATTCTATGAAATGTGGAATCGAAAATTTACGGATAATTTCACGGAAGATGATTTGGAAGCGTACAAATACGTGTTTTCAAAATCAGGTTGGTTTTTCTTTTTCATAATTCCTAATAAAAAATTATAAGTAAATTCCAACGATCAAAAAACTTGATTTGATCCAAATTTGTCCTCTTATCTAAAGGCGCAATCACTGCTGCACTCAATTATTATCGAGCAAACTCGTCGTTCATCTGCGAACCAGCAAGGGAGAAAGATGATGGTGCCAAAGGAATGTTCATTTTGGGACAACGTGATGCTGCTATTTCCCATGCTGCCTGTATTGTTATGGCCAATGAATGTCCAAAGTTACGCGTTGAAGTCATTCCAGGTGCTAATCATTTCGTTCATCAAGACGCACCGAAGGCAACGAATACACTAATTCACGACTTTCTCGGACCTGCCTCAAATTACAAAGTCGAAACACTCACGTAGACATAGAATCAATGCAAAAATAAATATGACAAAAATGACGGACCGTGTTATCATTTGTTATAGTAATGGTCAGTGAAATCATTTCTTGGAAAATAATAAAATGGAAAAAGAAAAGAATAACGTTTTTTCAATATCTCTAAGATTATTTTTCCTACTAACAATTATTTTGTTCGTCGAATTTGGTCCGAAGTTCGTGACATAATGCACAAAATACGGAACACACATATATGCCACGGTTAATGTGAGGAAATGAATACAGTTTCAGTGGTTGTCATCGTTCAGTGAAATAACATAAAAATATGTGATTGTAGGGGATACGTTTGCATTATGTTGAATCTGGTGATAAAAGTAAACCATTGTTGATATTTGTTCATGGTTTTCCCGATTTTTTTTTATTCAACAAGGATTTCTGGATTTCAACCATTTCGCCAATAGCTTACGTTGTTATGGCAAGAAAATATCCGAAGTTACGCATCGAAACCATACCAAACGCCAATCATATTTTGCACCAACACGAACCTAGTGCAACAAATCAGTTACTTCATGATTTCTTAGGACCTGCTTTGAACTTCACTGTTGAAACCATAACATTGAACTAGAAGATCGTTGTGATTATTGAAACAATCAAAGAATAAAAACGAAAGAGGTTTGAATTATCTTTAAAGTTGGACTTTTAATACTTTTTACTTGGCCAATTTCGGCCATTCTCCTAGCCTGTAGGAGTCAATTGGGCAATTTAACAATTTTTATCTACAGCTAATTGCAATTGCTATGAAATTCGTAATAGAACACATTCTTATAGTTTAGAAGAATCCACCTCCATAGCCACCTCCGTAGCCTCCTCCGTAGCCACCTCCGTATCCGCCGCCGTATCCGCCACCAAATCCACCCGGTCCGTATCCACCGTATGAACCATATCCACTGAAAAAAAAGAAATTATTCATCAATTATTGATTCTATCGAACACATAAATCAACAAATGTGATTGGAATTAGCAAATGCACGATTTGTATGACTCCTTTGTTAGCACAATGACTGGCGAGTATTGGTTTTTCCGTCGAAGTTACTATGTTTGCAAATGAAATCAAAAGAGAAGAAGTAGACGTGGATTTAACTTTCAGTGAATGCTCGTTTTGGAAAAACCAGTCAAAATTCATTCATTTTTTTATTTGCTTTGCTATTCTCTTCATTTGAAAATCACTTGAGACAAAACTCTTGAATGTGTCACTTGTAAATTGATTGAGTAAACGATTCGTCTGTTATTAACAGACTATTAATAATATGACGTTGTCTTTTTTTCATCTTACCCGCCCTGATGATAGCTACCGTGTTCATATCCATAACCTCCATACCCACCTCCATAGCCACCTCCATAGCCTCCGTAGCCGCCATATCCTGGAAAATATCGACACAGTTTTGTTAGATTTTCTTTTCATTTTTGATTTGAAGTTTCACTCATCCTCACTCTATTCGAATGTTCCACATAATTTCCATAAACAACGTGTACATCGGGTAATAGTATTAACCAATTCATTGATTTATTTCAAATTACACGATATTTTATCGTTTTACACGTATTGTAGCATAAATCCGATTTTGATTGATCTTGCTGTGTTGTTTTTTACATTTTTTTTCTTTGTGTACACACAATCGCCAACTTACAATTATGCATTGATTGGCATAAAATTGCGATATTAAGTTATATTGAAACAAAATCTACCTTTATAGCCTCCGTAGCTGCCGTAACCTCCTCCATAACCACCGTATCCGCCTCCATACCCTGGGCCATAGAATCCTTTTCAGAAGAAAGTAAATTGTATCATCAGTTTGACTACAATCGATAACAAAGTTCTTTGGAACACTGTTTACGGCTGAAACTCTTTTTCTTTTTCTTTGTTTCTTTTTTTAATTTTCCTTGTTCTTTTACTTGATCAATTAGAAAATTTGGAAATGATCTCACTCAATTTGTTTTCATTCAACACTGATAATTTACTGATCAAAACATAAAGTTCCATTTAAACACTGATAATTTGGTATTCGCACCTGGACCACCACCAAAGCCGCCAAGACCTTTAACGCCACCTCCTACGATTCCAATTCCGCCGATAATTCCAACTCCTCCGATACCACCGATCAATCGAGCCCTTCTCGTCAAAGGTCTCGATGAACCGCTAACTGGAACTGCATTTGCAGCTTCGATATCGGTGAGAGTGATAGGCGCCTCAGCTGCATAGCTAAGTGCTATAGTGCACACAAGAAGTATTATTTCTACTTTCATATTGGATAAAATCTTTTTGTGAGTTTGTTTTCACTTGTTATAACAAGAAAAAAAACTTAAACAACACACTTTGATCAACACTATTGGCACTGAGGTGTTTGAAACTAAAACTAAAACTGGTCGAAAATAATCCGTTTATTGACTGGATGTGATAAAATGAGCGTTCGATCGAAAACTACAATGGATAATCGCAGTGCATTGTTAATTTATATACTGAATGGTGATGCCGACCTAGAGCATGTGTCATGCCTTTTTCGGTGCGGTAGTCCAAACCGTTCTTTTGCACCACTGAAAGAGCATGGTCCAAAAAAAGTGTGTATTTTGATGAGTGGGGAATTGACGTAATTTTGCGCGCTGTGTGATTCTTATGTGTGTCCAATGGAATTGTTGTTGTACACACACGGACCGCTGATTCAAACTGCAAACAAACCTTCATTGCCTGAATTTTTTCGGTTAAATCCGACAACATCGTTGGCGTTGGTCATTGAACCATGCACTTAAAACGACGGAATCGGCATCGTGAAGCGATTCAACGAGAGACGCGGTGATACCCCAATTAATGTGCTCATTATTACATGCGGTCGTTATCAATGTTCGAGATCAATTGTGAAACCAGATTTCAATGTTAAATTTTCCGTAATTGCTTTATATTGTTAAAATATCATAGTCATTTTCTTATGGTTTGTTAAGTAAGTTATTTCCTATACTGAACCATATAACAACCAATACGAACTAATGACCATAATTTGTTTATATTTACAATTGATTCGTTTAAAGAATGGTTTAATTGCCGCGGAAAACCCCAAAAAATAATTTTTTCCTCTCGAAAATATACATCTATTGACGTTGTGATTGATTAACGTTCTGTTAGAACGGAAAAAGGTCAGCAATAAAATCGTAATTAGTTCACAATTGTTGCTAAAAATAGAATTCATTTTTTTGTTCAGTAACCGAATCTCCGAATCTGCAAGACAATATTTCATTTTCTCAACGCATGAAAACCTTGATGAGGCCCTTCGTAAAATGCCAAACTGTGACATAATGATCACGAAATAATTGAATCTTACCTCTGTTGTCTCACATTCGTAAAGAATATTTCTTTTGACATACTTACACTTTACATAAGAAGTGAAAAATCAAAAGAGCAGAAAGTGGAATTATGTCATCGGTTGTTCGCTAAAGAATACAGATAAAGGTAAAATTGCTAACCATCATGCTAACCTATTCAGTCTGGTTAGTTTATTCTTATTCTTGTATCACGTTTTAGCGATCATTCTGAATACTCTCACTTTGTTCTTTTGTCTTTTGTTCCGTACGAATGACGCAAAGAGCGAACGTGTGAATAGTATACGCGTCGCAAAGAAGCAAAACACGAGCACTCCTTTTGTTATGATCAAGGTCAACGTGCACATTGTATATACATGGAAGGTGTTTAATTACCTAAAGATGGACAAACGATATATTACATTAGGGTGGTCCAAACTGATAAGGTAAGGTATATGCTCTCAATAGCTTAGAATTGAATTGGGCTGAAAACTAGCTGATTCTTTTTTTCAGATAAAAAAAAATGTTAGAATCACATCATGATGACTGTTTGCGGCGAAATTGTAGGTTTCAGTGGGATCTAAGACTTCGCTGAACAAAGTTTTGCTCCATCGCATATACGCGGTACGAGTTATAGGAGAAAAACCGAAAACACGCAAAAAAATCCGTATAAATGTATAGAAAAATATCAATTTTTCCCACTGAAAATTTTGTTATTTTTTCTTGGGTGGATTCGAATTCTGCGGCCTAAAAAACCATAAAAATGGCTGCCTTAAACAAAACTTACTCTTGGTGGAAAAATACGTGGAAAAATGTGATTTTTTTCCGATACGTGAACACTATTAGAAAATTTTAGTTCTGAGATTATTCGATTTTTGTCATCAGCATAGTCGATCTTAAGGTAATTTGAGGCGCTGAGTTCAAATTTGGTGTTAAAAATACACTTGGAACCATGTATTTTTGCTATATGGCTGAATTTGTTGAAAAAAAACCATGTACTAAAACTTTTTTAAAAAGCAACATTAGCTAAGTTTTGACAACGGATTCGTGTGCAGCGTCTCAAAAAACCCAAACAATGATATGTCACCAGATTCGATTTGAATAACCAATGGGTTTTCTATCAATATATATGTTGAAAAAAGGTCAAAAACAGCCATTTTAAGTACGGCTCTATCGACCACTCGATCTGAAAAGGGAATCAGCTAGTTTTGAGCCCAATTTAATTTTAAGCTATTGGGAGCATATACCTCACATGATAAATCAGTTTGGACCACCCTTATATTACATCAGTTTATATTCTCAATGGGAGTTTCCCATGAATATCAAACCATCCAAATGGGCATCATATTTTATTGAATGAAACATCAACAGCGAATTTTTGTGCTTCCTTCCGCGAGAATATAGGCATTTATGGCAATATGTAAATGAACAAAACATCAGCTGATTCAACATATTCAACCAGAAGTTGAAAATAAGATTTCCAAATGATTGTGTGGTGCAATTTTACCATTTTTGAATGAACTTGTTTAAAGGAATTCACTTTTTTAATATAGTTTTGAGATTTCTAGTTCCAAAAAAACTGTAACGTTAATATTAAAGAGAGTACATGCTGTATGACGTCTACCTCACTTGATGAACTGCCGTTTCATATGATATGCCTTTATTTAATCTTTTAAAATTTTTTATCCCAAACCATTCTTAGAACAGTGGCCAGTGATTTCGAATTTATAACTGGAGCACACTGGATTTCTTTTAATAAATTGATTCTTCTGTGATTGGATTTAAAATCCATAATAGTTTAAAGCAAGATTTTGAAATTTTACTCGTAAGTTCACTCTTTATTTTTGAAAGTGGCAGTAGGCACAACACATTGCTTAGTACCCATGTTTTTTTCATATCAGCGATGATTACAATGATCAAAAATTATCAGACAAGAACATGACAATTTGTAACATTTCAATAGAAAATGGAAATTTAACACAGAAACAAAAAATAACAAATGTTGACATTACAAATTAACAGAATAGCCATCATCAAGTCTATAAAACGCCGAATTAATTTTTCTGCCAATAATTCATTTCTGAGCGTTGTATAAATTCGTATATCGTCCACCCAATGCCAATAGTTCAGTGTGGGTTCCATACTCGACGATGTTACCACCGTGTAAAACGCAGATAGCGTCGGCATTTTGAACGGTGCTTAGTCGATGAGCAATCACTAAACATGTGCGACCTGATCGAGCTGAGTTCAAAGCTTGTTGAACGATCTATTCAAGACAAAATGATCGATTAAGGGTGGTTGGTTTAAAAACTCGACTCAAATCAATTACCTGCTCGCTTTGTACATCTAAAGCTGATGTGGCTTCATCCAACAGAAGAATTTTCGGGTTTCTAATCAAAGCACGTGCAATGGCTATTCTCTGTTTCTGACCACCTGACAGCTGAGCTGTTTTATTACCGACATTCGTTTCATAGCCCTTGGGGAAGAAATTTAATTTAGCTTCAGTATTTAAATTAAAGGCGACAATGTCGTACCATTGGTAATTGATTGATGAAATTGTGTACGTTTGCCATTCGAGCAGCGTTTCTTATCTCGCCCATTGAAACTTTCCGTGAGTTATCGCCATATGCAATATTTTCCGCGATTGTTCTGTCAAAAAGGACGGGTTCTTGTGATACAATGCTCAATTTCGATCTTAAATCTTTGATGGTAACGTCCCTGGATATCTCATCCAAGCCTATATGAATGCGGCCATGTTGAGGTTCGTACAATCGTTGTAACAGTTGGATGCATGTGGATTTGCCACAACCAGAGCTACCGATCAAAGCTATCGTTCTTCCTTCCATGACGTCCAAATTGAAATTTTCAAGAATCTGAACGTCTGGTCGCGTTGGATAGCGAAAATAGATTTTGTTATATGTGATCCTGTTGTTATTATTCGGTTTTTCCTGTTTGTACTGTATGATTGGAGATTTGATCTGGGGGGTTCGATCGATTATTTGAAAAATACGATGCGCTCCAACAAAAGCAGCTGTTAATGATGGAATATGGACCAAACTATGACTCATTTCTATAGTTGCGTATAGTAACGCCTCGGTCACTCTGAAAATGAAAAAAAAGTCGCGTTTATTCGTTTATACGAACTTGTAACTTCGAAACTAAATAAAAATGCTAACTTGATGACATTTTTGAAGTGGATTTCACCATTGATGACAAGAAAACCACCGTAGCAAAGAGTAAGGGCGTTGGCGAACGTTGGAATCGTTTGAGCTAATGAGTTCACAAAGCCACGCCAAGCAATCTTCTTTCGAATCAACGTGAACATTTTTCTCGTTTCGGTAACATATCGGTCAATCATAAATTTCTCTTGCCCTAAATGAAACCGAAATAAAATGGTTGGATGAATGGACGCACTTGATTGTGCAGATCGATTTTCTTACTTAAGCCAGCAACAGTTCGAATGTTAGAAATAGCTTCCGTTGCAATTTTCATACTAATTTCAAGTGATTGCTTTTCGATGAAGCTGATCTTCGACATGTGCCTGGAACGAATATACAAGTTTAGATTGATGTAAACTATAATAATCCATTATTAATTGCCGCTACCATACCCACGATGAATACTCAAATTATAACAGTGCCAACCTACCTAGCTTCTAATATGACGGTAAGCAACGACAACGGAAAAGCAACCATGCATGCAATGGATAATTTCACGGAATAACCGAATGCCACAAATATCCCGATTGCAAATGTGGAAAATGACCGGATAATCTCATTCAACGGATTACCAATTGCATCTTGTAAATCGCCTGCATCGCTAGTGAGCCGAGCGGAAAGTGCTCCAGTTGAATTATTTTCATCGTCAAACCAAGCACAATTCTGTTGTAGCAAAGCGGCAAATGTCATTGACCTTTATTTCAAAGAACGATAATCCGTGAAATTTTCAATTTTTCGAGGTTGTAAATGCGAAATAATTACCGAACTCGTGTTGCCAATTCGACACTAGCCTCTGAAAACCAGTACGTCTGACATATGGCTACGAAGAATGTTATCACACTCACCACCAAATATAGCATGCAAATTTTGTTTGTTTCTTTCGATGCCGTTTCGGCATTTTCTAATGATAGCGCCTGTTCAATAAGAAAGGGAAGAAATTAAAGTTAGTCGAACCGATTCGAAATAAACAGGTTTTATACTTGCCCCATAGATTTCACCAAACAATATTGAAATTATAGGTAGCGTAGAGCCAATAAAGCATGCAAAAATTATGGCCAAGAGTATGATCAGCCATTGTGGTCTAGCTAAATTCAAAATTCGCTTAAAAATATTCCAATAATCAATGTTTTCTTCAACTTCGTGTGTGTCTTTTACCATATCATCAGCAGATAAGTTATGAAAATGGTCTTTTTCATCAAATTTATCAGTAATCAATCGCTTGACACAGTTCTTATTCTTACTATACTGGCAATCGTTCACATTGTCTTCATTTGAACTATTGAATGCACCATTATTGGCGTCTTCCACTCGTCCGGCTGTTATCATTTTAAAGTATCGTGATTTTAATGCCATCAATTGATCGTGTGTTCCGTCTTCGATTATGAGTCCATTGTCAATAAATAGAATTCGGTCTGCATTTCGTATGGCTGACAATCGATGTGATACTACGATCGTTGTTCGCCCTTTACTCGCTTTGTCCAGTGTTTCTTGAATAATCTTCTCCGATTGGTAATCAAGTGCCGACGTTGCTTCGTCCAACAACAATATTCTTGGATTTTGGATCATTGCACGAGCGATAGCGATTCTTTGCTTTTGTCCACCAGATAATTTTGATCCTTTTTCACCAACCAACGTGTTATAGCCTTGTGGTAAATTAGCTACGAAGTCGTGTGCACCGGACATTTGGGCTGCAGCAACTATGTCTTTATCGGTTGCATCCGGATTTCCGTAGCGAATATTATCTCCGATTGTCGTTGAGAACAGAACTGGCTCTTGTCCGACGGTTGCAATATTCGAACGCAACACATTGATGTTCATCGTGCGAATGTCATAGTCATCGATCAATATTCGTCCCTCATCTGGATCGTAGAATCTCTGCAAAAGTTGTAAACACGTTGATTTTCCATTTCCCGAGTCTCCGACCAGCGCCACTGATTGACCGGCTTGGATTTTAAAATCCAAACCACGAAGAACCTATGCAATGGAAATAAAATCGAATCAGATTGATTCAATGTACATTGTAATGACTTGTTACCTGCACATCTGATCGAGACGGATAGCTAAAGTGTACACTTTTAAATGTTATATTCCCTTCGATATTCGAACTCGGCACCATCCCTTCATTTGACATCGAATCAATTTTAGAACTGCGATCGATTACTCGGAAAATACTTGCGGCTGATCCACAAGCCGTGGCGAATGTTTCTAAAAACGGTGCGGTATTCTCGATATTGTCAGCGCCGATGAATAATCCTAAGAAAGTCTGGAAGAAATACCGTTCGTTTGGAAGTGCATTGAATGTGTTCATGTTCAAAATAAAAAGACTTGAGAAAAATCAACATACAATCATCAACACGGTTGGAGTGTATTCCTTGTCATCTTTGTCACGATCATCTAGCACAAGGCGCACGCCATACCAAAAAGCAAGTGCACTGCATGCCAAAAAGAGAAAACGCATGATGCCATCACCGATTCCGGTAATTAGTCCCTTCAGTTTAACAGCGTTCTTAGCCTTGACAAGCCGTTTGTTGTACCGTTTGATTTCTGACCGCTCACCGCCAAATGCGTAAACTGTTCGAATGCCACTCAGAACTTCTTCGGTAACATTTGAGGCAGCCGAATACGAATCCAATTCTTTAGTTGATAGTGCCATTTGAAACTGAAGCGGAAAGCATTTATATGTGTAAATAAAGTTTTTCAATTGAATTGAATTTGTCTTGATTTACCCTTCCGATGATTGAGTTCATAATTATCACTATCGGCACATACGCTATCATAACGAGAGATAGTTTCCAGCCGTAAATGAACGATATAACAACGCAAATCACAAAGCTCATTACCAAATACAGAAAATGGCTAACTTTCTCACCGATTCCATCTTGAATTTTCTCAATATTTCTGCAAAAGAATTTCATTGGTCTTCTTTTCAGAAATGTTCTTCTCTTCTTTGAATTTATTGCTTTGCATTCTACTCTCATAAACTTACTCGATTATTCGAACGGTCAAGTTATTACTGCCACCAGCGACATCATACCAACCGATCTCTTGGCGCATCAATGATTCAAAGAATTTTATACGAATGCGAGTGATTTGGCAAATCGCCACATAATTGAAACAATCAACACATATGATGCCCACAATAAAGTCCAAACAGCTGGTCAATGTCAGCAAAATCCCATACGCAATTGTATCGTTCATAATTTCGTGGTGGTTTTCTTCTTCGGTTGCATTTGTTCTACGTGGAAATGACCACTGTACTGGTTGGTAGGTAAAAAAGGGGAGTAAACATTTTGTCACTTACAATATTTTTCCACCGCCAAATAATGGCAAGAATATTGTGGTTGAGCTTGTGCCAATGCCCAGAGTTCGATCGACCAGCAATGATGTATATTCACCAAAGATGATGTTAAATATTGGCAAGGCCATCGATTTGAGTAGTGTAGCGGTGATGCCAATCAATAACAAAATCATATCCCATTTTGTCGCAAATCGATACTATAATTTTGAGTTAAAAAGTCATAATTTATTTCAGCAATTCTATGGAAATTCAAATTGTAGGAGAAGACTTGCCAAACTAAAATAGTTGACTGCGTCAGTATTGGCCAAATCATTTTGGTAAATGTTCTTCACAGAAGTTAAAACTTTCATTGTCCGACAAATGTACACCTGCGATGGAAAAAGCTTCCAAGCTTACTAATACCTTACAATTTACTTAAGAAAGAAAGAAATGATGTGGTCTGTCTTTTCTTCTGTAAATTACGAAAATTTCTGTAATGTGCCAAGAAGTACTTCAAGCCTTTAGCTTAATTCTGCTTTATGAGAGCAGAATTTTTCGCACGAGATTACATTAAAAACGAATAAATATAGAACCGCTGTAAAACTCTCACGTATACAAACTGTGATACTGTTCCAATTTCGTCAAAAGTCGAAAACAATTACATTTTAAACGGGCTTCGAATGTTTCATTGTCATTGCAATTGTTTAAATAAAGGGTCGCCACTGTTTTTCATCTTTTCGTTCGATTTTTGCTTAATGTTGTTGTCATATAAAGACGTAGGTTTACTTTATATAAAGACATGTGAGTGCGAAATACGAATTAATTTTATCCAAGAAACGAAATCATTATTTTTGTATTCGTAGTCATTGTGCAATAAATAAAAAGGAATAGGCAAATGTATCATAACATCATCAAGTTAGAAATTGAAATTTTGGTTTTTCAGAAAATTTTCATCACTTTGTATCAATGTTCGATTTCATGAGGAATGTATAGCGAAGACAAAGCCGTAGGATTTCAGAAATAAAATTCATTATGAGCCAATTGATTCAATCAATTTAGACTCAAAACTTTGTTACAATACCTTTTGTAGAGTCAGTCCATTAACATTGCATCTGTACAAATATTGGAATGATGTAAATGTTCAACCATTTTAGAACACATTCAAAAGCTGAACATTGCAGCAGTGAGAGATTACTTTGTTCAATGAACTCTTCCAGCTATTTTAACAGACACGAGCCACTGATATTTCTAAATGATATGTCAGAATGTTGTTGCATCAGCTTTCAGCTGTGTGTACACTACCGTGCAAAAGTTTGGAACCACTAGGTATTTTTCATACAAATTGACCATTTTTGGTGGACTGATTAACATATTTCGGAAACACCTGCACTCTTGATATTTTGTGCATAGTTTCTACAACGTTTCAAAAGTAAATCACAGAGGTTTCATCAAAAAATATTCATGAATTTCAAAAATATAGCAATTTGAATTTTTACTGTGTGAAAAATGATCAAATTTGTATGAAGATTAAAACAGATCAAATTCAAATTGATATATTTTTCAAATGCGTGAATATTTTTTGATGAAACCTCTGTGATTTACAATTGAAACGTTGTAGAAACTATGCACAAAATATCAAGAGTGCAGGTGTTTCCGAAATATGTTAATCAGTCCACCAAAAATGGTCAATTTGTATGAAAAATACCTAGTGGTTCCAAACTTTTGCACGGTAGTGTATATCTGTATGCAAAATTGCAATACAAATGAACGAATTAATTTACTAGGATGAGATTAAAAACATGTCGATTTTAAATATGATATGATTCGCTGGGATCGTTTGAATGTGTCAGTTTATTGTCTCTCGATTCCACATGGGAAGTTGGGGCGAAATTCACAAATTCCGAACAGATTTTAAAAATAATTTTCTATGTATTTTCTCTTTATGGTAAAATCTAATGTCAAATGAAACGGGATTGCAAAAAACGTACAAGTTTCAATGAGTTTTATTGTGTTACTAATTATTACCCCACCTTCCCCTATGAAATCGCAATTTAAATTTATAATTGAACATTCTTTATATGAGCCAATGAGTAATTTTAAATTTACGTGACTTCTTCGTAAGATTCTGTAAACGCTTACTTTTATCCAATACTTCTCGTCATTCTACGAAGTGCCGCCGAAGGAAAAGTCATTATTTTGAAATCAATAATGAATTTATTAAATGGAAACATGTTATTTTCAAACATTGGTAAGCTATTTTATTATTACTTTTAAAGTCTAATCAAATGCCATATCCTTTTTTCATTTCAAAATGTTCACAATAATGCCAAAGGTTTCAAAGGCTGGCTAAAAAATTCATTTTTTAAATTTTTCCGTTAAGATGTATTTTCATGATATAAAAAAATATTTCTTGATATTTGTGTGTGTAAATTAAATTGCTACAATATCGGCCGTTTTACTTTTCCGTACACAACGTGTCAAGGGAAAGTAAAGGAATTGGTCCTGAAAACTTTTTTCGCAAAATTAGCTTAGATCATCATAAAAACTCATGAAACGCGTAGAAAACCACTTTTTGAGACACTTTTCCGTTCGTGTGCCGTCGTTGTCGTTGTCGTCGTCGTCGTCGTTGTCGTCGTTGGTGTTTGTTAACACGATAACTCAAAAAATAATTGAGATAATCAAAATCTGGAAATGCCAAAAGTTTTGTATTCGAAAAACTTAGTTTAAGTTCGAAGATGAGCCATTTTCGATTTGATCCTGGGGTACTTGCCCTAAGAAAAACCTCAAAAAATGGACACTTTTTAATGGGAGGTACCTGTAAATCGACTCCGATTGGCTTTTGGGAGAAAAATAAGATTCTGAAATTTTGAAACCAATCGGAATCGATTTACGGGTACCTCCCATTAATTTTTTTTGAAATGTTGACAAAAATTACCGATTTTTGGACAATTTTGTATGGGAGGTACCCGTTAATCGATTCTGATTGGCTTCAAACTTTCTGAGGTTTCATTTTTTGGAGAAAAAATAAGATTCTGATCATACAAAATTGTCAAAGTTTTAGTTAAAGTGACCGATTTTTCACTTTATTTTTATTATTATATTTCTATTGACTAGATCGAGAAGAGAGTAGGTTCATCTGACTTTGTTACGAAAGAGAAGAGTAAGTTTCTTTCGACTCAAAAATGGTTAAAGGCGAGTATGTTCATTTTTGGCGGGTCCTCGCGGTTTTCCACGGTTTCCGCGCAACAGATAAGAGACAACAACTTGGTGTCTTCGGCAAAGTTGTAGCACTCGAGGTCTTCTATAACATTGCTGAAGTCAGTTATCTCTTATCTCTTATCAATTCCGCGAAAAGCGCGAAAAATGATAAGAAAAAAAAGTTCTATATAAAATTTGCTTTTTATGTGCGCGATTTGCGCGCAACTGATAAGAGATAAGAGATAGATGACTTCAGCAATGTTATAGAAGACCTCGAGTACTACAACTTTGTCGAAGACACCATGTTGTAATCTCCTACCAGTTGCGCGAAAACCGTGAAGACCGCAGAGGCTAGACGGTACTACAACATACTCTACTTTAACGCCAACAGAATCATCAGAAAACATACTCTCCTCTTTCAAAATATATTAGAATTTTTTCACATACTCTCCTCTCGATCTAGTCAATAGATTTTCACTGCCTTTATTTCAAGAAAATTCACAAAAATAACCAAAAGTACCTACGGATAACGCAGGCCAACGGTACGGAAAAGTTCGGGACTACCAATGTAATTCTTTTTATTTTTTATTGATTTTCAGATTCCAATGCCAATCGCGATATTCCACCCAATCTGATAGCCACAGACAGTACGGAGATTACCGCGGTCATGTTGCCACTTATTACATTATCTCAGGCCGAGATTGATATCGTGGTCAAGCAGGTACCTGGTGGAGTAGCCAATATTCAAGATATTTATGGATTGACACCATTACAACATGGCATATTGTTCCATCATATGATGGACAAACAAGGGGACTCGTACGTGTTGGTAAGGCGTGTGCATTTTACTAATCGAGAGGCACTTGAACGTTACACAGCCGCTCTACAGAAGCTGATTGAGCGTCATGATATTCTACGCACTTTATTCATCTGGAAAGGACTAAATGAGCCAGTACAGGTTGTTTTGCGCCAAGTTCCTTCAATACTCACCGAATTTGCGATAAATGATACCGAAAAGCCAGTATTAAAGCAATTCAGCTATCAATTGGACCTGACACAAGCACCACTATTGCGTTTATTGGTAGCACCAACATCTGACGGAGGTTGGGTGGCATTGAAACTAATGCATCACTTGATTGGAGATAATGTCACCCTAGAGAGACTATATACAGAAATGCAGACCATAATTGATGGGCGGTATGATCAGTTGACAATGCCTATACCATATCGAAATATGGTGGCTCTAGCTCACCTTGGAGTTAGCCAAGACGAACATACTCGCTTCTTTACTGGAATGCTGGCCGATATTGATGAGCCGACTTTTCCGTTTGGTTTGAGCGACGTTGGCCAAGATGGGGCTGAGATTAGTGGTGCACAGCTGAAGCTGCCACAGACACTCAATAATCAGTTACGAATGGTTGCACGGAAGATACAGGTGAGCCAGGCTAGTATTTGCCATTTGGCTTGGGCACAAGTTCTTGCTCGAGCTAGTGGACGTGAGGCAGTAGTCTTTGGTACCGTGCTCTCCAGCTGTTTACAAATTCGAGAAGAGAACAATAACATCGTAGGGCCAATGATTAATGCGCTTCCAATCAGAATAAATATCAATGATGCAGACGTCGAGACTGCAGTGCGCCATACTCATGCAAGGCTGAGTCAATTGCTGGCTCATCAACACGCAACACTTATGTTAGCACAACGTTGCAGTGGAGTTCCAACTGGCTTGCCTTTATTCACTACATTGCTGAACTACGTCCATAATAAGAAGGCCGAGAATTTATCGCCATCGCTTAATGGAATAAGTGTTATAAATGAAGTGGAAGTGCGAACCAATTACCCATTAGCCCTATCGGTTGAAGATGATGGTGATTCCCTCGATTTGATGGTTCAAATAATTTCACCAATATCACCAACACGAATCTGTGCCTACATGCAACAAGCTCTGGAATCGCTTGCCGATGCATTAACTCACGATTCACAACAACCAGTTCGAAGATTGACTGTGATTCCACCGGAAGAACGCGCATTACTGCTACACGGCTTTAATCCTACAGATGTTGCGTATTCACCTGCCCGCTGTCTTCATCAGCTATTTGAGATGCAGGTGGAATTCGATGCACAAGCGGTTGCCGTGGAATGTAATGGAGAGTTTCTAAGCTATTCAGAACTCAACGCTCAAGCTAATCAGCTGGCGCATTACCTTATCGCCAAGGGCGTCAATTCAGATGATCTTATCGGACTTTGCGCTGAGCCCAGTATAACAATGATCGTAGCAATGCTGGGTATTCTAAAAGCTGGTGGCGCCTATGTACCACTCGATCCAGCCTACCCGAGTCAACGGCTGACTAATATTCTACAGGATGCAAACCCTAAATTTCTTTTGGCGGACGCTACTGGTCAGAAAGCGTTGGGAGACCATCAAGTACCAGTGGTTGACTTGTGCACATCTTTGCCTGCCGATTTATCAATCGACAATCCGGACGCGGTCAAACTCGGAGTCACTCCAAGCCATCTAGCCTATGTCATTTATACTTCTGGCTCAACAGGAACACCAAAAGGAGTAATGGTCGAACATCAGCATGTAGTTCAACAAATGGTGGATAATCAGAACACATTTGATTTCAATAAACAAGATAAGATGTGTGTGATCTCTTCGATGGGTTTCGACAGTTCTGTATGGGAGATATGGAGTGCGTTTTTTATTGGTTGTCAATTGTCGATCGTACCATTTAATATCATCCGTTCTGCCGACAAATTGTATGAATGGATCTGTGCCAGCGGTATTACTGTATTGAGTCAAACTCCATCAGCATTTAAAATGCTTATGCGAGCGGAAAACATCAGTTCCCGATCCCATAAATTGCGATATATTATCCTTGGTGGTGAGGCATTTGATCCATTGATTTTAAGGGATTGGCATGAAAAGAATCCTGAAAGTCAAACCGTGTTAGTCAATATGTATGGTCCAACCGAAACTATTATTGATGCAACAAGTTGGATTTGTGATATTGAAACTTCTGAAAAGTTATTGGTAGTACCAATTGGTCGTCCGCTGCCAAGCTATCGAATTTATCTGCTGGATGCATATGGCGACCCTGTACCACTAGGAGCCGAAGGGGAAATGTATGTGGGTGGTGTTTGTGTGGCACGCGGCTACCTTAACCGTTCTGAACTTACCGCAGAACGTTTTCTACCCGATCCATACAGTGACAATCCAGCAGCACGCATGTACCGTTCTGGTGATCGCGCACGACATCTGCCTGATGGCAATTTGATCTATATGGGACGTATTGACCAGCAAGTAAAAATACGTGGATTCCGAATTGAGCTAGGCGAAATCGAAGCCCGTCTGGTCGAGCATCATCAGGTACACGAAGCTGTTGTGAATCTTGGTGATGAATCAGATGCTCGTTTGGTCGCTTATGTGGTGGCCGACGCAGATTCATTATTAGCCCAAAACCTACGCAGTTATCTGTCAAAATTACTGCCTGATTATATGGTACCAGCGGCTTATGTGTGTTTACCATCTTTACCACTCACACCCAATGGTAAACTGGATCGGCGAGCATTGCCACCACCAAATGATGAAGCTTTTGCCACTCAGCCATATGAAGCTCCACAGAATGCGATTGAAGAATTATTGGCCGTTATCTGGTGTAAGCTCCTAGGTATTAAACGTATCAGCCGAAATGACAGTTTCTTTGAGCTGGGCGGAAACTCATTCCTCGTTATGCAGTTGATCAACCAAGCAAAACTACAAAATATTCACATTAATGCTCGTGGAATATTTTCGTTTCCAGTACTTAAGGACTTAGCATTGGAAATAATTGATGTTTCAAATCGGTTGTATTGTGAATTTGCTATTCCAGTTCGTCAAAGTGGTAATCAAACACCCATATTCATGTTGCCAAGCGGCGATGGAGATATAGCTTACGCTTTTGAGCTAGCGCATCGGATAGATGAAAGATTTCCTGTTTATATGTTACCGTGGCCTTCACCAGATAAAAAACAGCCATCATCTATGGAGGAAATGGCTACAAGAATGGTAGACCTGATAAAGAACGTTCAGCCAAATGGCCCTTGTGCAATTATCGGCTACTGTACTGGGGGTATTCTGGGCTATGAAATAGCAAACCAACTTCTAACAAGTCGCTATCCAGTTTCGTTCCTAGGTTTTATCGATACATATTCACTCGATGCAATTAAACCCAACGAAGATGAAACAGAAGCTGAATCCTTTTTAAATTACTTGGCATACAAATGTTCAGAATTTGATGCGTTCAATGAGTTGGAGTGGTGGATCGCGACCAGCAAAATGACTCTCAATGAAGCAATTGAAGAGGTCAAAAAGACGAATATAAATTTAAAAAGAATAGATGTCGAATGGGAAGCCTTATTTTCGAAGCAATGCGACCATTACCAAGATATGTGTATAGCCTACAAAATCCACTCGTTGCCGCTGAAAGTACATTTATTTAAGGCAATGGAATACGGATTATTACATACTAGAAATGAATTCTTAAACATCAATTTTCAGCATATTATCGAAAGCAACAAGGCATTTTATGATCTTCCAAAGCTTGGCTGGGAAAATAGCCATCTTACGACTGAATTCCACGTTATTCCGGTTAACGGTGATCATTTAACGCTGATGTCGGAGCCAGCTAATCGGATTTCACTGGCAGACAAAATAGCTCAGTTGCTCCTTGCTAATGAGTGTGGGCCAGTGTCTGAGACAAAATGAAAATCTTCTGCGGAATAGAGTAGGTGTAAGCGCATGAAACATGAATAAACAATAATTTTGTTCAAAAACCAGATCTCCGACTCTGAAACATAGTGTTTCATTTTCTCGTTTCATTAAAACCCTGATTTATAACTCTTCATATGGAAAGGCAATTCGTCAAGTGTTGTACTGTGATATAATGATCATGAAATAATTGGATACTTACTTCCTTGCCCTACATTCATAAAATAGTAGTAAAAGCAACCAAAAGAAAAGAAGTTTAATTATGTCATCGACTTTTATTGAAGAATGAACAATGAACATGGATGAAGGTAAAAGTGCTATTCAACATATTAACCAATTCAATTTGGTTGCTCTATATTTTTGCGCCACGTTTTTGCCATCATTTTTCATATTCTCACTGTTCTTTTGTCTTTTGTTCCGTGTGAATAACGAGTTGAGTAAAAGGAACATGTGAATCGAATACGCAGCGCAACGTAATCAAGCAACACACGAGCACTTCCTTTTGTAAAGATCAAGGTCAACGTGCTCATATGCATACATGGAAGGTGTTGAATTACCTAAAGACGGACCAACGATTTATTACATTAGTTCATGTTCCCGTGAAAACCAACCATCCAAATCGGCAACAAACCATATTGAATGGAACATCAACGGTGCTTTCTGTACTACTTTGCACGTGCTATGCGAACTCACAATGTCTATGGAACGATGTGATATGTGGCGCAACTAGGTGATGGCCGCAGAAGTTCTGTCAAAATTCATATACAACCAACTTGACATTCAGTTATATAGTCCAGCTAACCCATAGTATATCCGTCCATGGGCTGGGTGCGCCACCAGCGTGAAAAAATATGACAGTATATGATTAATACACAGCATATTGTGAGTTCGTGCTATGGCTATGCAAATATCTAGATTTTAGTATGTGTTTATTAAATAATATTTAATGTTCCATCAGAAATTTTTCGATTATTTCTAAGAAGTTGGAAACTAATTTATTCGTCTATGCCATTTTCGATTGAATTTCTTTCCATGAATTCATTTTTTTTAATATAATTCATATTTTATCAGAGCTCCGACATTGTAACCAAGATATAAAAGAGGGTGCGTCAGCTTAGTTGCTGGTGATATGATTTTATTTATTTCATTTCTCTTTTCATAAGAAATTTTGATTCATTCATATTATTTCGGACTGTAATTTCAATTGTATAACTGGAATCCTGAATAAATAAATTCATTAAGAATGGAATTTAAGTTAGTTTTTCGGTTTTCTATCATATTTCTACTGTTTAGTTTGGACATGTACGGTGGGTGTAATAAATTACTCAATATTTGTATATTATTTGTATCAGTGATAAATGTCGATGATCAAAAATGATTAAATAATGACCATTTGTAACATTGTGTAACGTATCAGATTGCGAAATTGTAATAAAAAATAGAAGCATTTGTTAATTGCCACTTCGTCTGTTTATTTTATGTGAAAGAAATAGGCCTATTTATCGTGTGCATGTATGTGACAAACTGTGTTTATTGTGGACCAAATTTCGTCATTGTGTTCGGTGGCAACGGTGCTTTTTGTTTTGCTTTTCAACTGAAACAGTTGTCTTTTTTCACTTAAAAGAATGAGTAAAACAGTTTGGCAATATCCAAGCCAACAACTCTTTTTTTGACTTAAAGGTCAATGCAGATTGTTGCTTTCAACATTTTTACGTTCAATGTTCCAATTAAGGAGAGACATGTGTCAGAGAAATAAGGAAACCGATCACACAATATACATATTTGCAAAATTCATTGAACTTGACAAAAATGCCATAAAATGTCAAGAGAAAATACACACAAATATGGATGTAACTTGCATTTGCATTGCAAATAGTGAAGTGGATACGACGAATCAAGCTAATTTACAATGCAAAAGTTAGAAATAATGTTTATTTGGAATTCCATTCATGCTTCATATATATTTCAACCAACGGTTTGCGGTACGGTACACTCATTATCCAATTAGTCACACTAAATTAAATAATTGACATTTTTTTGGTATGAGTTACACTAGCTGTATCGCTCGAAATGAAATATTTCAAGAATGAAATGACGAAACTGATTTATGACATGAAATCAATGAGATTTAATTCCAGCTTAATTTGCTGAAGAAATCCGAAAATGTGATTAACCTCGTCTTACCTACAAAATAATTATAAACTTAAATTTTGTCCGTTTGAACTCGTTTTAAAGCCATTTCAGTAAGCACTAGATCATCAAAAAGCCAAAATCAATCACCCGATGGACGTTGTATATTGGTTACGGTTTGCGCTCGATTAAATGTTACTTACCCCACAAAACGTACGATTTTTTTTTTCATATAATTTTGCTTTGACATTTTAGAAATGTCAGTTACTGTACTTTATTCTATTTTTTTCAATCTCACTTGATTTAATTTTTGATGTTTTCAGATGGAAAGCCTCAGACTGAACATAATTATAAAATACCGATAAATAATAAGCAATACTATTCCAGTTGCTCACACGATGAAACTTATCAAGAGATTTCCATTCAGTGGATTGACAAAGACAAAAATCTATACAATACAATGAATTTGACATTTTATCTGAATGACGCAACGAAGACATTTACGTTGGGTGCTATTGCTTTTCAATTGGCTGCTGAGATTTTTCCTAGCGGTTCATACGATTGGTTTGAATTATTCTACTTTGGAAACACTCTGTCGGCACCATTTGGCAATTCATATCAATGCGGTCGAATCAAATCCTTGCCATTGCGGCTGAAAAACGATAAGAACATTACTGGAATGGTTGAGTTGACAAATATTCAGTTTGAAGCGTATCGCAATGGAAAAAGAAGGAAATTTTCTACTCCGAAGAATTGCGAAATGAATGAAAAACCCAAAACATCGACTGAAGGCACAACATCAAGTGAGGATAATAGATTGGCTGAACATCAAACGTCAACTGAAGGCGAGAGCCATAAATCTAATGGAACGCAAATTTCCAACAACTCAACAAGAGGTTCATATTCACTATCACCTCTGTTAGCGCTATTTTAATGACAACGGAATTTACTAATAGTGTTTTTTTGTTCCATTTCAGATATTGCGATTATTATCTCTGTTGTTATTCCGTTCATACTTGTTGCACTTATTGCATTAGTATATTTTATCTATCTTCATCGCTGCAATTCGACTACAGCAGATAAAAAAAAGCTTTACAAAGTAAAATGCACCGAAAGTAATGAGAAACTATGGCTTTAATGCTTTAATTTTTTCAACACGCTTTTCAGACTGAAAATTTCAGTTATTCTGCGGTCATATCGGAAAAGTGTCCACATTCTCTTCTTTCTCAAAGCGAAAAGCGACAACAATATTCATCAAATTAAAATAAATACAAATAAAAAATGCTAAAAGAATTTTTGTCACCATTTTTTTTTTTTTGGAAACAATACTGACACACAACATTCGAAAGAACCATCCCCATTCAAAAAGTTTTTCTACACTATTCTTTTACACACCGTCTCCACTCGCATTTAGTTCCCATTACATTAGATACACGTTGACCGTTGAAATCCAATGGAAGTGGAGAATAGTGTAAAGCTGTTTGAAGTTCTTTAAATTTTTCATTAGATAAGGAAAACCGATTCAAACACACTCCAGAAACCGATTCGTCATAGTCTGTGTTCATAGCGATAGCCAAATTATTTAAAAACAAATAATATCAGTATTTTGAATGGGTTTGAACACATAACACACGCATTACGGATAGAATTTAAATTTAAGAAATGTTTTTTTTTAACGCAAACAAGTTTATTAGTTTATTTAAAAAATGATTGAGTGGAAAATGAAGTGGTTGGCGAGATTTACTCTAGTCATAAGCATTTGTGGTAAGGGTTTGACTTAAAGAAACAAAAAATATGGTAGCGAATGTAGAAATGCCAAACAAATAGCACGTTGACTTACGACAAAATAAAATTATATTTGATTGTTGCATCATCGAAATACTTGAACGAAACGGTACAATAAGTGCACCATTCATTTAATCAACGTGCCAACAACACTGGAAATCATACAACTCGGTGCTATTTTTAGACGAACACCTTACGTTTTGAACACGTACCTAATAAATAAAATTGATGTATTTTTAAGTTTTTTCTCTCTCTTGAATTTCCAATTCATCATTTGTGATTTTTTTTATTTCGTTCAAGTCTTGGTATTTTTGTTTTATGAAGCTGACTTATTCCCCACTGGAAATGTTTCAAAAGTGGCTATACTAAATGATAAAAATGGGCACAATTGCATCATGGTCGCTTTCTCCATTCAACTGAATGTATCTTATCCTACGACGAGTAAAAGAAATCCAGAACATTTCATCAAATTTAAGATTTGTTTTAATTTAAATGATTTATCCTGATGATTTCAGATGGACAACAAAAGTACGGCCGCTACGAACTCCGTGATAATACAACAACTATCAATCAAGTCAACGGCATGTGTTGTGATGGCAAAAGTGAACAATATATTCTGATTCATTGGATGGAAACAGGGAGCCACGACTTAATGAATTTGACATTTCATCGAAATGAAAAATCACGCGGCTATTCTCTAAATCGAATAGATTTTAATTTATCCGCCAAACTCTTAGCAAATGGTACCGATGAAATGCTGACATTCCATTATACCGGTGATATTTTTCAAGTACCATTGGGAATGTCATATCACTGCTCTAGAGAGGACACATTCGAATTAAAATCAAGTGAACATACAAATGATTCGGTCGGGACGTTTCATTTCTCGCAAATTATGGCAGAGGCATATCGCACAACGACCAATACATTTTTCTCAACTGCTATCGATTGTTCGTTTTCCAGAAAGCAACGTGAGTTTGAGCTAAATATTTCGACCCATAATTTATATATATCGAGAACACTTGGATTAAGCAGAGTTGAAATTTTCAATTAGAAAACTATTTTATATTTAAAAAAATACTAGTAAAGATAACCCAATTTCAAAGAATAATAACACGTTTTTAAAAATAATCTCGTTCAATAGAAACCAATTTATTTTCGTTCATTTCAGACGGCATCTTCATTGCGCTTGGAATTGCAATCATATTATTTGTGCTTTTTTGGAATACTACATTCGGCATCGAGGCGAATCGACCACTTAATACAAACACATGTCATAGTCAAATAAATTTGAACTTTAAATGCTTCACAATGTTTAAAAATCGTCTCATTGGATTTAACGGACTTTTGAATCGAATGAGTTCCACTTGGGACATATAAATGTTGTGGAACAGTTCAGTGGATGATTAGCATTGGAGCGCCCTCTGCGTTGTACAATGTATCAATTGACAGATAATTAAATGCATTGAATTGCGTTGTAAAAATCAACTCATTTGTTTTTTTTGTTGAGAAGTGATCGCAAGCGAAACCAAATCGCACCCAGTCAGTGATAAAGAATAAGAAGAAGAAGAGCAAAGAAAAATATTTTAAAACTGTTTATTAAATACATTTTCTGTTCCATTGAATCGGTCGTTTTCTTTGTCGAACAAAGAATAAAAACTTGACTAAATTTCGGATCAAATTGTTTAAATAAATTGAGATAGAGACAAAGGAAGAAAAATGAAGCTCAAGGCATTTTCAGTGATATTTTCATTGTTTATTGTGGGCCTTTATGGTGAGTACTGACTTTACTGTTATCTTCTAACCTTTTCTGCTATCGAATCATTTTTGTATTTGATTATTCTATTTATGTCGCCCTCTAATGAATATTTTTTTCCATGATGTACGTACAGCGACACTGAAATCGCCTCTTTTTTTCATGTTTTGTTCATTTTTATAATTTTTCATTTCGTTCATTTATCAAAAAATGAAGTTCATTTTCTGTGTGTTGCGTTGAAAAAAAAACAATCTTTGTCTGTTACTTTGTTCTTTTAAAATCAATTCAAGGATTAGGATGTGAAAACTCATTGCAATTGATAATTTTTTGTTGTGATTCACATAAACTTCCCAACGCAATACGATTTACACGAACTACTCAACCCGATGTAAAATGCTTTGCCCGCATTATTGAGATAGTCGTCATTATGTTGCTAGTTTTCGGGGAGGGGGAGACGTTTCCAGAAAATGTTTATTGCTGTAATTGCATTAAAAAGAATCTTCACAAAAGACACAATTTTGTAGAAAACAGCAACAAATGCTTATGATTTAATATTATTCATGTCCATTTTTCGCACCGAAAACCAAACAGACTTGATAATGTGACATTCATTTTCCGTTGCAATGTGATTTCAATTCTGACTCGTCATTACGACTCATTCTAATACATAATATCGATGAGTCAATGGTGCAACACATAATCTAAACCAATTAAAGTGATCTCTGTCTTGTCTACTTTGATTCAAGTGACAAACATATTTGCACACAGCGCAACGTTATAATCTCAATCCGATGTAACTGTATTAAAACGTGGTAGTTGTGTTTCGCAACACTTGTTTTTCTACTACTTCCATTCGATAATACACACACCGAGCGTTTGGCGAAAAGAGCTGCAAAGTTCAACCGTTTGGTCAATATTAATGTAATTTAATCTAACAAACGCAGTGATTCACTTTTTCACGCGCTCATAGCAGCTGAGCTCAGATCAAAATGTAGCAACGTTCATCTCAGATTCTACATTGATACACATTTTTCTGTTTGCTAGACCGACTAGGTTTATCTTGCCTTTGAAATGTTCACTAAGAAAAAAAATTATTTTTTACTTTATCTTCTAGAATTTTTCGATTTTGCGTATCATTTTTTAAACACAGACGCTATGCTCTTTTTAAGCGGCATTTATGTGTATCGCTGCCATTTTTATCTTATCGCACGCGTTGTATGAGACTTCATTTTATGGTATTTTCCATTGCTCGACCAACAATTTATGGTACAGATTATACTATGCAACACTTGCATATATGCATACAGCGCAGACATTCAGAAGTTGTTTATATTTTCTCAAGCGGGTCTATTTAAAAAATGACTGAATTTTGCCCATAACAAATCTTTCTCCAATGGACGATTCCTTTTATTACAAGTGGAATTAAATTTTGGAACAAAGTCCTATATTGTGACTAATATGAATGTTTTTTTTTATTTTTCGACTATTTTAAGACAAACCAATCGTATCATATAATTTGATTTGATGTTTTACAATCTTTCAAAAACAATGTTATTTATCATTTTTCGACAGCCGCAAGTGTAACTGATTTACCACCAGCCACCCAACCAGCAGAACTCCCTGCTCCAATTGAGAAGAAAACAACCACCACGGTGGCTCCTTCAACAACGACAGTATCAACCAGCACCACAGAGGCTCCGGTATGTTGAATAAATTATGTTTTGAAAACAAATTTCATTTTGTTGTTTGAAAAAAATCAATTCAAGCTGACATTTCTTGATTAAATAAGCGCAAAGGTTGACAAACTTGTCATTTTCTTATTTAAATAACAGACTGAATCAACGACAGCAATACCGACAAGCACAACAACGCCTTCACCAGCTCCGGTACGTGTTATCTTTGATTTCTTTCCGCTTTGGAATTTCGAGGAAAATTTCGCATGGACTTTAATTCTGGATTTATCTAGCGATTAACGTATCCGTGTCTGACGAGATTACGCTAATTACAAACAATTTATGTTTTTTAAATCATTGTTCAATATTCGACATTATAATATATAAAATGTTTCTGTTACTTTCAGACAACTCCTACTACAACGGCAGCTACGGTACGTGATTCGTTCCTATTCTTGAATTATCTCAAGCAGAAAAATATGGCAATAATCACGGCATACCGTTGCTATTGCTTAATTTGTTATCATTTTGATAACCATAATTGATTGTTTTAATAAGCAAATGTGTTTAAATTGTTATTTACAGACAACTGAAGCCCCCACAACAACAGTAACACCAACACCAACAACAACAACAACAACCCCGGCTCCAACACCAGCACCAGTACCCGGAAAGCCACAAGAAGGAAAGTATGTTGTGTCGAATGGAACTACGTCCTGCATCTTACTCCAGTTCGCTGCTCAGTTGAATGTGTCATACTATGGTAATTGAAATTGCATGTTTCTTTCTGCTTTGAATAATCCGTTGGAATATTTAATCAATTTCGTTCTTCACGAATATTCCATCATACAGATGAAAAGGCCGGTGTCCAGTATAAAATCTACAATATCCCCGGAGCAACTGGTGATAAATTCAAAGAAGCTGAAGGAAACTGTGGCAACACCTCCCAATTTATTGTCATCGAATGGACCGAAGCCGATGAAAAAAACACATTGAAATTAACATTCAGCTTGAACGAAACCGCTAAAGAATTCTCATTGACAGAGTCCGTGTTCAATTTGTCTACGAAAATCGTTCCAGGCAGTAATAATCGTACCATCTTATACTATGTTGGCAACACATTTGAGGCACCAAAAGATAAATCTTATCACTGCACTCGAGTTCAAACATTGAACTTAACCGACACTGATCATGTCACAAACACCACCGTCCCATCTGGAACTGTGAGTGTATCGAGTATTTTGGTCCAAGCCTTCCATTTGGGAGATAAACAAGAATTCTCAACAGCCATTGACTGTGATGCCATTAACACGCCAGGTACATATACTCGATAAAATCTTCAATTACGGTTTGGAAATGATTCAATACTCAACCGATTGTTTGTGTTTTTTTTTTTTCAGATATTGTACCAATTGCCGTCGGAATCGCATTGATTGCATTAGTCGTTGTTGTTCTAATCGCATACTTGGTAGGACGTCGTCGTGCCGCCGCTCATGGCTATGTTAGCATGTAAATCGAATCAATTGATCGATTAGTCAAATTACAAACCATCCCAAAAAAAAATACGAGCAAAACAATATAACATTTGGCCTTTATTCTTGCGCTAACATCAAACGCAATTCGAAAAACAAAAAGAATTAATTAATCGAAGCAAACAATTTTTGAGAGACACCAACACAAATCTTCTTTTTTTTCCTGTCTTTTTTTCTCAAACTGCAGTTTATTGTGCTGTGAATTACAAAAGAAAAAAAAACCATTTAAATATTTGTATACAAGATAGTAATTAATTTAGAGAACGAACTGAAATGTAGAGTTAAACGTTAAAGAAAATGGATAACCGATAAAAGACACACAAACGAAATTGGCGTGAAATTTGTACCGTTTTAAAGAGTAGGTTTTTTTAAGTAGTTAATTCCCGAATTTCAAAACAATCAAACACAAATTTTAACAAACATTTTCCTTCTTCACTTTTGCGAAGAAACACACGAAAACACTGAATTAAAATGCTTTTCCAGAAGGACCATTGTAAAAAAAAAAAAATAAAGTTGAATAAGAAGGGAATTCTTCTCTTGGTTTGCATTTCATTTCATATTATTTTGGATGAAGAAAAAAAATTTCAGCTTGAAAAATTGTGTTGGTAAAATCCGAATCTCGCGCAGAAAAACGGAGCAAAAATTCCGTCTGTCACAATTCATTTCGTATTTTACGTTTGGTACGCTTTGGGTAGTTCGTAAAAGTGACGTTTTGCGTTTCGACGGCATTGTGTACGTTGTGGTGCGTTCGTATGTTTGTTATGAAAGTTGTTGTTGTTGGACCAACTGTCAAAATCGCACAGTATATCTTATAGAGTAAAACGTCATCGAACAATAGAAAAAAGGAAGAAAAAAAAGATTATTTCTCCTTGGATGCATTTGGGTGGTGAACTGAAATTTTGATTGAGTGTAATTTCATTTTCGAGCGATTGTTAAGACATTTTTGGCAAACATGGCAACGCGATCGTTATCCCGAAATTTGCCATATATAAATCAACAGATAGCTGCATTATTGGTCAACACGTCACCGTCGGTTAAGTTCATTTGTATCGTCACCGTATTCGGTTATCTGCTGTCATTCTCTGAAACGGCTATAAAAGCGCTGAGCGTCACTCCAGGCTACATTCTACCGCCACAATTTTGCATTTGGACGGCGTTCACCTTTTGCTTCCTGGAACTGTATTTGTGGGAAGTATTTTTGGATATAATCATCGTTGGACTGTGTGGTAAACTCATCGAACCACTATGGGGTCAAATGGAAATGATGACTTTTTTTGCCATCACAAACATCGGTGTGGCCGTCCTCTCGTCCATGTACTATTTGTTTGTTTATTTTTGCACAAAAGACGATGAACTATTGTTTGATGTTCACATCCATGGACTATCTGGATACGTGGCAGCCGTCTGTGTGGCCGTTCGACAAATCATGCCCGATTTGCTGATCGCCAAGACACGTATTGGCAAACTCACAAATCGGTATGTTACCCAATTTTATCTATTTTGCCGTGTGAAAAATAAAACCTTGAATCGATGCCAATTATCGAAAAAAGATTTACAATAAACTTATGGTTTTTATTTGTGTATTTTTAGCAATATGCCATTGATTGTGGTGTTCTTTTCAATAATCTTCTGGTTGTGTGGAATTTTGGACGGAACCACGCCAACGATGTTTATATCGGGGTTGATTGTCTCATGGATCTACTTGCGATTTTACCAGTTGCATGCCAATGGTAATCGAGGCGATGGTTCAGACAGCTTTACATTTGCTAGGTAAATAATATTCAAACGATGGTTACATTGTAGGCAATCGATGTAATTCTGATTTCTAATACACAAAACAATTCGAGTTTGTAATGAAGTTAAAGAAAATTCCGTCCATATTTCAGCTTCTTCCCGACAATTTTGCAACCAGCAATCAGTGCTCTAGTCAATCCATTACATAAGCTATTTTTACGCATTGGTATCGTTAAGCCGCATGTTGCGTCACGAAACTCAGCACATTCGTTGACCTCGGTGGTGTCTATACAAAATGTTGATATGCACGACATGGAACGGCGACGACAAATCGCTCTGAAGGCATTGAGCGAACGATTGTCACGAACCACAGACTCGAGTAGACAAAAAATTCTACCGAAATCATTTCCACATCATCATCATCACCATCAAGGTCACAGTCATGGTCATGGTCATGCTCATGGACACCAATTCTCCGACAGTGATCAACCTTCGTTCATAGCGTCGACAAAGGCTCCGATGGAGTTCACTATACCTGCAATCCCCTTGCCACCACCACCATCAATGATAACGCCCGCACAATACTCGCAGCCAACTGAAGCAGCTGCACAAGGTGCCACAACGGCAACCCTCATTGACCTGGGCTCGTCGACCGATCAACCGTCGAATAATTCATGAAGCTCAGACATTGATTTGATAGCAACTGTTTGAAGAAAAATTTTTTTTAGCAAATTCTAATTAATTAACCGTTAATGATATGTAAGCAACGAATTAGTCAGTGATTTATCCTTGTTGAATGCGCGATTATTGTCTCCTTTGAACTCATCCAAAATAATTGATGCATATTACTCTTTGTTTCATTCACGGATTAATGGACTTGATCCGTATCGACTTATTTTCTCTTTTTTTTCCTTCTCTCTATCAATTGGAAAAACTATTCATCTAATGTCCATCTTATTTCCATCGACATTTCGTTCTATTCATCATCGAGAAGCATTTCTTTTTCTCAGTCTTTTTTAAATTTACAAATGAAGGCGATCCATGCATCGTTTTGGAAACATTTCTGTACTTTTGTAAATATTAAAACACTGATAACAAATTTTCAATTTAAATTATTCATTTTCGGGTTTTTTTTATGAATTTTTTCTTCGCGTTTTAACTTTTTTGCTCATGTGCAAAGAAAAAAAAATGATATGTAAAAAGTGACATGATTGTATAATGTATGGTCTAAGATTTATTTGATTAAGAAAATAAAACACTTTCTGAAAATTAAAACGATCTGTTGTTCATCTCATTTTGCTTTTTTAGAGATATTTTTTCTCGATTTTTCTTATAGCAAAACATACATTTCGAATGACATTTTGTATTGATTTACGTTTCAGCTTCACTCACTCTCTCATTCAAATGTCAATCAGCTGTTTTGGGTGTTATCGATCAAACAAAAGTGTTCAGTTTCCTATTGCAGCAATCCTGTGCATTGAAATTTGGGATTTTCGATTGAAAAACGCCTTCACAGTTTGTGCACCGTGAAAATGCCACCGGATCAAAGGAATGTGTTTCAACGATTGTTCAAAAAAGATACGGTAAATTCCCTAGTTCGTCGCATTTGTGATAAGAATACGTGTCATGATTCATTGGACTTGGTGTTATCGTCAGTTTATAATCACGAAAAAGACTTATTCGTGAGTAAATTTCACACATTACTGCAACTCGAAAATGCCAAATATAATCCGGTCAAAGAAAAAATATACAATGAAATGCTTGAGGCTCAGAGAAATAATATTCATCATCCGCTTGTGATTGGTAAAATTCAACTGAATACCATTGAAATGACTGTTATTAATTTAAATCATTTTTTTTTTGTTAAATTGTTGGCAATTTTGTTCGTCAAAAGGTGGAATTACCGAGAAGAAATCACCGCATAGCGTGAAATTGATTTGCATGGGTCATCATACGCCAATAACAAACCCAGGATATTCCAGACAACCACTCGATGGAAACATCTTCAAATATTGATGACTTTTACTTCACTTCGGTTTTGGCTTTGAGAGACAAAGAGAGAAAGAGAGAGGCGTCTTCAATGTATAACAGCCCCTGGTTCCAAAAATTGTGTACTAGGTATGATCTTGATATCCATACCTCACTGTCGTCCGCACAATGTGCAGCCAACAGTGCACTATGAGTATTCAAGTAGAGTGAGTACCCTTTTTCAAATGCAAGCACATTTTTTACTTATCCTTCAATATCCAGCTAATACGTTGCACTAGCGAATCATAAGCATTTTGATATGTTAAATTTACCTTTAGACGTTTTCTCAGGAACAAATACCACATTGTCTTCTTCAATATTTGCAGCAAATATGTTTTTAATGTAGGAAAACCCAATTGTAGAGAAAAGAAATGTTCAATTTGATTTGCAATCTCGAAATGATCAATCAAGTTTAATGCCATGCTGAAAACTAGATGCAATAACATAGCACACATTTTGTTGGTGTATAGTTTACGTTTATTTTATTTTCCTTCCAATAATGATGTTTCAGTTTTTGCATATTTTTATCCAATTTTGAAATAAAACAAAGATCGAGTGTACATCTATGCTCTTAAAACATAAAATCTACGTTATTTGTTGTGTTTTTTTTTTAATTTCAGTTAACATCAAGTTCGTGTGTGAATTTATCAAATGAAATAAAGTGCAAATAAAGAATTTTCAATTGTTTTTGAATTCTTTCAACAAAAAGTTATTCCTTTGTTTTCATGAGAGTCACAAATTGGTCATTTGTTTGGATGCAAAAAAGTGGAAAAAAGGTGGCAATTTGCCACAGAATCTGTTGTATGGACATTTGTTAATGTGTTCCTATTGAACATTGTGTATGAAATGGGGGGAAAAAATTCATTTGTTTAATCTTCATATAAGTTGGATGATTTTTTTTCTTTTCACATACATTGTTTTATGAATCCCTACCAAATCTAACAAAAATGCCATCTAATACGATAAATTTATGTTGTTGAGTTCAATACGTGGTACGGTAGAAATACTTACCGCCGTTAAATGGTTATTATTATTGATAAAAAATATTCATTTTGTTTGTTTATTTAATGAAAAAATGTATGTGTATGTAATATTTTTTTTTTTTAATTAGCCAAGATGAAAGATTTTTGGGAAAAATTGCATCTGAAAATAGAAAAATTTCAAAAAAAATAGTTCGTTGTAATTGCGTTGCTAGTGGCTTGGAATATAGAGGTAAACATATGTACAGATAAAAAGAAAAGATGTAAGAAAAAAAATTAGTTTTATGAAAAGAGTTGAAACGAATGATGATTTTCAGTCTTTAGTGGTGCATAAAATATGCACGTATCAAATGCAAATATATATCATCTCAGTTCAAGTTCAGTCATGGAATTGAATGCGATTGAATGATTGACACAGGATTGGTCTGTGTGAATGTGATTCATCCTTTGCAGTTGAAATTGTGTGATCAAAGATATGTATATAAATATGGGGCGGATTTGTTGGGGATCGAATTGGAATTTGAAAGAAAACAAAATGGCAGTGAAATAAGGATGGGGAATTGTGGTGTGTTTGGTTTTCGATTAAGATCACAACTAAAATGGTGTGTTTGAGATGTGGTGAACGTTGAAATAATATCAGACGATCATTTCTCATTGTGTGTGTGTGTGCATATCACGCACAACATTGGTATATAAATTCAATAATTTAAAAGAAAAATGTAAAAAAGAAACCAAAGAATCCGAAAAACAAAATAAATGTTGAAAACAAATTTAAAAAAAAAATCGTTGATGTTCTGGTTGTTTTTCTTTTTGGAACAATAAACTTAACCGCTTCGTCGGCAACGGATGGTCTTGTGCACCGTACAAGTAGTGTACAGCGCCAATTCTGCCAGCAGTTTGTGTGATTCTATCGATACTTGGATCTCTTTTTCGTTCTTTTTTTTTTCTTGTTTTGGTTTTTGGAAAATTTGAGCCCGGAACATGATCTGGATCAAAATGTGTGCACAGCAAATCAGGTCGATTGTTCACCAGCTCTCAAACGGATGACAAAAAGACAGCGAACGCCGATTGTTTTCACATTTGGACCGAATTATAAGCATTTTGGTTTGTTTGGTTTTGCTTGGAATCGAATTAAAACGCACACACGAATCACGTTCGCCAAAAAACGAAATGTGGTCTTTTGTTTTGTTTGCTTCTGCCATCATGCGATTTGGAAGAGAGAGCCTTTTTCACACGGTATTTTTTTTCTGAATTCGGTAATCGCGGACGCACACGGCACTGGTTAAGTGCTCTTGAGAAACGGCAATTGCTTTTCTTTTCTGAACACAATGCACCCCGCGCACGCGCACGCGCGCGCACACACCAACATCGAATCAATGCAGCCTCTTTGCGAATCGCCTAACATTCATTTTACTCTCTGCCCCATTAACAACCCTCTCTGAACTCTACACGAAGCTCTGAATCGCGATCATAGCATATTGAACTTGACATTCATCTCCCTCTCTCTCTCTCTCTCTCTCTCTCTCTCTCTCTCTCTCTCTCATCTGTTACTGATTGATTCTGCTCTGACTGCAATTTACTGCTAAGCCGGAACAAGTGGCCTGCATATTAAAATTGTAGATGATTTTTTAGTATGTTTTATCGACACATTTGTTTGTTTGTTTGTTTTTTTTTGTTCAGGAAAAAAATTAAACATGTTGAATCAGTTGTAAACGGATTTTAAAATACAAAATAAAAAAAAGGTTTGATTGTTGTTCTTATTGTTTTGGTTGTGTGTTTTTTGTGTGTGGGTAAACTAAATTTGCAAATTGGAACCAATGAAATCTATTGCATAATCGATGTTGAACGGTGAAACAAAACTCAACATATCTATAGATAAATACTCACTAGGGAGACCAAAAAGAAATGAATCACAAAAAAATAATAATGAAAACGTTGTTGCGTTGGAAATATTGTTGGTATATGTATTATGTGTGTGTGTGTGCGTGTGTGGAAATAAAGAGCAACGGCTAAAAATTGTACCAAAACGAAAATGGACAACAAAATGGAGAAAGAAAATGTTCGATTGCAAAATGATATTTGTGTTTCATTTCCAAAAAAAAAAAAAATTCTCTACAACGAATGATGATCGATAGCAGTTAAATTGCTTTTGCTCTCGGTCAGTAAAATAATTGCTATTGGTTTCGGTTTAAACTGTTTTCCCCAAAAACAAATTTATGTGTGTGTGTGAATTGTGGAGATCTTGACACCAATTGAAAGTGAAATGGCGAACGCATTGGCAGAATTTTGTTTTTTTTTTTGTTGTTCTTATTTGGTCCTGTTTTCACTATTAATTTGTTCCACTTATTATTTTCACAAAGAAAACTGAAATGCATTCAAATTCTATGCTGTATATTTCTTTTGTTTTAGTGGAAAAAAAGATGTGTGATAGTTTTTTTTATTGATTGAATTACCTTGGCATTTTAATTCCGTTGCGGGCAATTCCAAAGAATGTGGTATTGGTGGCCAGCTGAAATGGTAAGAAAAAAACCCATATATGGTGAGTGAAATGATGGAAAGTGTTTGATGTTTACGGTTAAATACCTGTCATGGTGCAAATTTAATCACGGCTATGACTGCGTGAAATGCTTCTGCTGCGACTGACCGAGCGGTTTCGGCTGTGGCTACGGCTCAACGAGTGCTTCTTAATTGGTGACTCGGAGCGTCCACGGGAGCGTGATCTTACGGATCTGTAATTAGCATTGATGTCATAATCGAATTAGTTATTGCGAGACTCCATCTTATTTTTAAAGATGATTCGTTTTCTTTAAGATGCCATCAATCAAATTTACACGCAAAGCCGGAGCCAGCACTTCAACTATGATTATCACACTCCAAATTTGGTGCTCAATCATAATGATCATTCATACATGTTTATTATTTATATTTAAATTTTAGAACAAAAAACAGCACACAAACCTGGATCGGGATCTTGAAACTGAACGACGACCGCGCGAATGGCTTCTGTCACGACGTCCTCCTCCTCCACCTCGTTCGCGGGAACGGCTACGCTGTCTATCACTAAAGAACCGAGAGAAATGCTTATTAATTTTCGATTATTTCCATAAATGAGGAGTTCAAGGCGCCCGTGTGTGTGGAGGTGTTAAAAGAACTTTGCTTTTGGGTATTTTTTTTGTCTCCTCATCTTCTTTCATTTTAAATGCAGATGATTAAGAAGAGAAAAAAAAACGAATTGAATGAGTCAGTACTTTTATTTTCCGTGTTTTACTTATTTGCCAAAACGTGTAAACCACAAACTAATTCCTGCCCACGCGCACACACACACACAAAGCAATTCAAAACAGCTAAGCAAACGACCATTACGTTTACAACGAAAGTTTATTGGCTCGAAAAACGACCGAATATGGTCAAAATGACAAAATGCTATTTAAGATTTAAAAAAAAGGAGACTTAATGAGCACACTTACCGTCGACCTCCTCTATCTCTATCTCGTCGATCACGATCTCCACGTCCTCCTCGACGTGTTTGCGGTGATGTTGGTCGACCATAGCGTGCCATTTGAACTCTTAACTCTCTGCCATCAAGCATACGACCATCCATGGCCTCAAGCGCGTCTTCAGCATCACGTTTGTCATAAAACCTACGCAAAATAACAAAGATGAATACACAAATCAATCAAAAGATGTCATCGTCACACCAAAAAATTACCATAATTTATATTATTTATGGTTGTAATTGAACTCGTTCGAAAAGCAGAGAATAAAAAATCAATATTTAACTTACCGTACAAATGCAAAACCACGGCTTTCACGGGTGTATCTGTCCCGAGGGATGTAAATATCACCAACTTCGCCGCATCGTTCAAAAACACGACGCAAATCATCTGGTGTTGTTCGATAAGTAAGGTTATCGACCTAAAAACACAAATTCCACTCATATTAATGCCAAATTTTTCAAAAATATTTACAATTCATTGGATTTTCGCACGAATAATCTATTTCATCGACATTTGACTGATGGAATATTAATAGAAAAATGGAAAAATTATGAAATTTCCGGCGAAAAAATGCCTCTAATGTGATTTTCGACGCCATTGTTAATTTTAGCATTTTGCAATATGGGTTTAATGCGGATGAAAAAAAAATGCCTCACCTTCAATGAAACCATTCCATCGATTCGAGGCGGTGGTCTTCCATAGTTACTCATCGCGTAATGTAATCGTCAATGTTTTACTGTCCGCGCGACGCTTTTCAACGAAATAAAATTCACTTTAAATCGGGTTTTGTCTGTTTGACTATGTCTAAGCGTCTGCACCGTTTCACACTAGTTCTAAGTTTGAGTGATTAGTTCGCGCTTGATGACGATGTGACCGTCTACTTTACAATTTCGAACATGCCGACCGAAGCGACAAGCAGACTTGGTTTCGAATTTCGAAATGCATCCCTATCGAAATCCAGCGATGTTAACGATGACGGTTTCTGTCAAATGTGCGTTTTACTTGAATTTCGCAATGAAAACGAAAATTGAGAAGAAAAAACATTAATTTTTCAATGATGTATTCAATATTAAAAATTACTTTTGAACTTCATGAATCATGACTTTTTATTGATATTTTTCTGGAAGAATATCAACGAGATCAGCTCAACCTAGGAGAAATACACTTAGTACGTTTCGAATGTATCGAAACGTGTGTGTTCAAGTCTTCGTATTCGAAATGTCATTTGGCGCTTTAAAGTCGACTTTCACCAATATGTGTAATATGCGTGATGGAATTTTACCGATGGGGCGGTTGGTATCATTGTGTGTCTGCCACATAAAAAGCCATTTTAATTGAAGTGCCGAATGTGAAAACGTGTGTGTGAAAAACTTCTCACAATTTTCACAATAAACGATTTGCCCGAGGCCGTAGTGTTTCAGTTTTTTTTTATTCTTGTAGACACTTTTCCTCGCATCCTCTTGTTTTTGTATCATCGGTTTTTCTTCTATACTGTGTAGACACTTTCTTAGAAATCAACTATTTGAACCGTGAAATAGAAGAGAAACGGCAATCATGGCGCAAGAAGGCAATTCCGATATGTCGACCAAATTTTCCACATTAAATGTAAATGCAATGGAATTTGTGCCTAACTTTGGAGCTCCACCAAGTGCACCGACCACCAATGCACCAACCGAAGCACCACCGGCTGAATCGGCCGAATCACCAGTCCAAGAAGCAGCACCCGTTGAACCAAAATCACCAGATGCATCACCCACAAAAACAGACGAAGAACAACCTGTGTCAGTAGCAGCAGCAACGGAATCTCTTGACGATAAATCGCCGGATAATCCTGGTTTGTGTTACAGTTTTCCAAAATTATCGCTTCATGTAAAAATGTCGAAGAAAATAGTATAAGCTTCTTGAAAACGTGTCATCGGCCTATCTCAATGTGTCTGTGTGTTCGGTCGATCCGGTTTAAAGCGGTTTGAACGAGCTGTCAAAGTCATTCGTGAATATGCGATGATTCGTTTTTCTATTATGCGTGTTGTTTACCTTATGTGTTGTCAATTACTCACTAATGATTAACTTTTATCCATTCTTTTTAACAGAGAGCGAAATGCTTGACAGCTGGGAAGATGAAGTGGCAACTACACCAGAAGATGAGGTTTGTATTTTTTCCCGACTCATTTTACCGGTGTTTTCATTTTTAAATGACAAACTTTCAATTCGCCAAACAGGAAGGTGATGATTTCGAAGGAGGTGAAAAGAAAGCAAAGATAGTCAAGAAAAAATCGCCAACTATTGAAGAAAATAAAAGTAAAAAGGAACATGTCAACGTTGTATTCATTGGTCATGTAGGTGAGTTCAGTGTCAATTTCATTTGAATTTTGGCGGAAAAAGTAGGCGTTGTCATTATACAGAAGAGAAAAAAAAAACAACTAAAAACTCTCTTAATAACACGTTATGAACTCAAAATTGTTTTAGATGCTGGAAAATCGACAATTGGCGGTCAAATAATGGCTCTAACCGGAATGGTTGATAAACGTACTTTAGAAAAATATGAGCGTGAAGCTCGTGAAAAATCACGTGAAAGTTGGTACTTGTCATGGGCATTGGATACAAATCAAGAGGAACGTGACAAAGGCAAAACCGTCGAAGTGGGTCGTGCATTTTTCGAAACGGAAAAGAAGCATTTCACAATTTTAGATGCACCCGGCCACAAGAGTTTCGTACCAAATATGATCGGTGGTGCGGCTCAAGCCGATTTAGCTGTGCTGGTGTTGTCAGCGCGTAAAGGTGAATTCGAAACCGGTTTCGATCGAGGCGGTCAAACGCGTGAGCATGCGATGTTGGCCAAAACAGCTGGTGTTAAACATTTGGTTGTTCTTGTTAATAAAATGGATGATCCAACGGTGAATTGGGATGAAGGACGTTACAACGAATGCAAGAATAATATTTTGCCATATTTGAAAAAACTCGGTTTCAACATTCAAAAAGATTTAACATTCATGCCAGTATCCGGCCAACAAGGTCTTGGCTTGAAAGATATCGTTCCACCAGAGATTTGTTCGTGGTATTCCGGTCCATCATTCATCGATTTCATCGATCATTTACCATCGATGAACCGAAAAGCAGACGGACCATTCATTATGCCAATCGTTGATAAATACAAGGATATGGGAACGGTCGTCATGGGCAAAGTGGAATCGGGAAGCGCACGCAAAGGACAAAATCTATTGGTTATGCCAAATCGAACACAAGTCTCAATCGATCAACTGTGGTCCGATGATTTTGAAGTGACCGCTGTTAGCCCCGGTGAAAATGTTAAAATTAAAGTTAAGGTAAATTGAATCATCAACAATTTGAGTGTTCATGTTCTAGAATTCAACTTATGTAATATGAGTTTATTCATTGGCATTTTGCTTTTATCAATAGGGTATCGAAGAAGAAGATGTCTCACCCGGTTTTGTTCTGTGCGATTCGACGAATCCAATCAAAGTTGGTCGTAAATTCGATGCTCAGCTTGTGATCTTAGAACACAAATCCATCATTTGTGCCGGCTACTCAGCTGTCATGCATATCCACTGTGCGGCTGAAGAAATTACAGTTGCTGTAAGTATTGAATGTGGTTCAACTTCATTCTTCAATACTTTTCACTCCATTACATGCGTCAATATTTAACGCTTTTCTTCATCTTTCAGGCTTTGCTGTGCTTAGTCGACAAGAAAACTGGTGAAAAATCAAAAACACGACCGAGATTTGTTAAACAAGATCAAGTAGCTATTATGAGAATTGAGTGCTCTGGTCTGATTTGCCTTGAAGAATTCAAACGATTCCCACAAATGGGACGATTCACTCTTAGAGATGAAAGTGAGTTTATTCGATCACAAACATTTTTGTTACAAAAAAAAAACTAATTCTTAATTTCATTTCATTTTCAGATAAAACGATTGCCATTGGCAAGGTCTTAAGAGTTATTGAATAAATTGCATAAAGAAATACTGATACAATAAAAACTCACAAAAAGAAAAACACTTCTGAAACAATATAAATCGAAACACACAATAGACCTATCTCTTAAATGAATGAGCTATTAAAAATCGCTAATAAAAAAAACAAAGTTTGATTTCACAAATACAAACAAACTTGAAAAAAACACCGACGCATTTTTCATATATGAATATTTTCTAATCATGCCGAAGATTCCGATAGAAAATAAGCAGACAACTTTGTTCAACCATTCTGTCGTCATCTTCATTGAGTCGAAATAAAGCTTATAAACGTATAGTTCACACAACGGAAACATTCGCAAATTGCGAATCGCAATTCTGAACGGTAGTTGAACGATGCACAAGCACATAGAACGCAGCTAATCTATTCTATTTCCACATCCTTTTCACAGAGTGCATTTTGTCTTCTATTAATAAGAATTGAAAAGAAAACCTCTTAGAGTGCATAACTTCACAACTTGATGGTTCTTTACCTATTCGAGGTGAAAAAAGAAGCAAAAAAAACAATAAAAAAACCATATATATTTTATGTTATGCTAAAGGAGGATAGATTTAAGACTGTTTTTTTTACTTCGATTTGAAGACTTCTGATTTTTACACCAAATCCGAGCACAATACGATATCACATCGAAAAAAAAATCGATTTTCTCCCAATATTTCTTCTGGAAAATCACGATCAGTTTTTTTTTCGTTTATTTCAATTTTCAACTTAAGACACTTCTATTATATGTTCTTTTTTTTAATCGATATGAAAAGCTAATTGAAAAACACAAGGGATTGGGAGAATTAAGGAAAACAAATAATAATGGAGAACATGTTTTTTTTATATGAGACATATTTATTTTACATTTAATATGCATTTCTGTAGCAAAGCAAAAATATAATTTTCATAACGAAAATTGTCCATTGTTTATGATCATTTTCCATTTGCAGCTGGGCCGTTCGTTCCGCATTGAATGCGGAATCCATTCACGTTGTTTTCAGTTGTTTACTCTCAGTTTCGTTGTCAGCAGCTTCGTCATTTGGGCGCTTTGATGTGTGTTTGTTTTGATTTCGGATTCGTTTGGGCAATTTGTCGTCACCAACCCTGAAAAAACAACAAAAAACGCTATAAATGATGTTTCTACAAATGAATTACAATTTTGAGCTTACATGAGTGTTGATCGTGTGCCAGGTCCCCAGTTTGGCATCGGATTGGTGGGGAATCGTGATAATGATCGCTGCCGACTACTTGGATTTGCTTCGGGGTGAATGTCATGTAAATTGTACGTCATTTCCGGTTCTTTGCTCAACATCACTCTTATGACTGGGTTCTTTTCGAGATGCTTTGCATTAACTGGATGAATTTTAGCCCAATTCCGTAAGATATCCCATAGAACTTTCGCCGGAGCATTCGTTTTAATCGATGTTTTGCACGTGTGTGAAAAGGAAACTTTGTATCCGGCATGAATCAGCGCTGAACGTAGTTTGACTATTTGAATGCATTGCAGTTTCAGAACGGAGCACAAGTGACCGAGTGTATAATACAGAGGCACATCGGGTAATTCTTCTCGAATCACAGACAAAACACCGTAGATACGTGGATTCGTTTCTAGGTTTTTGTATGGTTCGGTTTGAATCAATTCGTAGAGTGAATCAACGAAATCAAAATCATGAATTGGTGCCGTCCAAATGGGACCACCCATGTGATATTTGTTGTTGCACTGGTCACAGTGCTGGTTGACGCTTGGAACCGTTGGCAGAGCGTATTTGAATTGGTTTGGATTCTTTTCAGTCGGATTTGGCTTTAGGATACCGAGCGGCTGCAGAGAATACGTCTGGCATCCAGTGCACTGATAGAACATTGACTGTTTGCTACTGCTCATCTTACATTCTAACGGACTGGTGAATACACGCACAAATACACGAATGTAGAAATCCACCGAGATACTTAACAACGGCTTAATGTATCGACCGTAACGAGTGGCATGACTTTCAATGCATCGCAGAAGAATTCGAAGTGCTTGCTCGTGACAGGCTTTTGTTTTCAGCGGCACCGAACCATATTTTGCGTAGCAAGATTCTGGATTATTTCCAGCTAAAATGGCCATATCCGTCGCTGTAACCAGCAATAAGCCGCCTTCGGCAATGCATTGCACAGCACCGTCTAAAAATATTGTTGGATTTCCATATGGATCTAAGGAGTTGATTGAACAATTTTAGAATGATGGGTTGTTTCGTTATTAGATGATATTAATGAAGATGAATTAAAAACAAATTTAAAGCCTATCAATTTTAAACTGGAATCAAGATTCTTTCTCACCCAAATCGATCGCATCAAAGCGGCTTTGTGGGCTGGTGGAATTGTACATCAATGTCATAGCATTTGCTTCACTTGCCGTCACCAAATGTTCAACATTATTCAATTTTATGTTCTTTTTGATCGATTTAACAGCCGCTGCTGACAAGTCATTCGCAATTATCGCCTTTATTCCGGGCACTTCTTTGGCATAACGAATACTTCGCAATCCGGTGGCTGATAGTGCTTCCAAAACACGCATACCGTCCTATTTGATTGAAGAGAAAATTCATACACAATTAGAAGATTCTTCAAGATTCAAAGTCAATAAAATAAATAAAACCTACCGAAAAATCATTGCCTGGAATCTTTTTCCCATTTTTTCGCTCTTTACTTTCATTCTGGCAGAGTTTCCAAAACATTGACAGCACTGACAAGCTCAAATCCCGATTGAATTGCTGCACTGGATTGTAAAATACGCGATTTTCCGAAACAATTTTCGCGCTTCCTTCGCATATTTCAACGGTTACCGCTTGCTCCGGTTTCACTGTTGGCTGCAAAGATAACCCAAGCTTATTGAATATGCAACGCAATTGATTCATCATTAAATTTTCTACAAAAGTCACTTATTTACGTTTTCATCGGTTTCCATTTTCATTGGTTTTGCTGGTTTTTCTCTTTATATTAACAATCGATTTGATGCAATCAGAGCACGTGTGTGCATTTAAATGAAGTGTTGACATGGAACGTCAAACTGTACTCACACTGCTGTTTTGACAGAACATTACTCACTTCGAAAAAACAACAACTCTGACTTCGAAAATCTAACCTCATTCGAATGTCATAATAGAATGCCATTCGTCGCTCACACAGAAACTAAATAAGAAATTTAATTTGAAAAGAAAAAAATGTTCAAAGTGTTGCGATTGGTTTGTCATCAACGGCAATTTCCTGCTGTGCGGCAATTTTCATTCAAAAGTGATATTTCAACAGAGGTCTTGTATCCAAACAGCAAACAACAATTATTTACACCACCGCCACCACCTCCAGTAAGACACTTGAGACATAATTTAATATATCTAATGATTTTAAAAATATTTTGTCCATTTTTAGCGCGCTGACAACAAATTCAATGGATACATCCCGATGAATGCCGTTTCAGTTACATATTCGCGTAGCAGTGGGCCAGGCGGTCAAAATGTGAATAAACTTGATACGAAAGTTGATCTTCGGTTTCATGTGAAAACCTCCGAATGGATACCAGAAGCTGTGCGAGAGAAAATCCTTATCAAGGTGAGGAGTCAGTGATTTTGAAGGTTCAAATGACTTTTTTGTAATTTTGACTTTGTATTTTTTAGTTCAAAAACCAAATCAACAAAGATGGTTACTTTGTGGTGAAGAGTGATTTGACTCGCTATCAGCACTTGAATTTGGCTGATGCTCTGGAACGTGTGCGAAGCATAATTCGTGATTTAGAAGAAGATCTCACTCCAAAGGAAACAAAGCCCGAAAAGTTGGCAGAGATTCAAAGACGACACGAAAAAGCCGCACGAGAACGATTATTTGTAAAACGAAGCCGATCACAAACCAAATCCGATCGTTTAGTCGGGTAAACACCCATTTTGTTACTATGCAATAGCCCCGGATTGAACGGAATTTTGAATTTAATTGAATAAATGTGGATTTATAACAAAAAAAAAACATGCGTGTTATGTGTTTTCGTTTAAATTGTCTTGTATTTATTAGAAGGTCGTCGACCATTTTTGCGAATTAGATGTAAAAAAATATGAATCTAGGCAGAAGAATACCTCCAAAAACGGTATTAGTTTTTTTATGTTGTGTTTTTTTCTTTCTTTCTTCTTGATATAGAATAAAGTGGCTCTTAATTCTCAATTTCTATACAATATAATAATATATAATATAACGTTGAATGCACCTTAAACTATTATTATAAAAAATAATTTCCAAACGATATCATAAATAGCTTTGTAAATAGTCGGGAATATTCAAATCATAACCATGATATCTCAGTAGCTCCGTGCCGGATTTTATAAACTGAAATGATGCGAGCGAGAGAGAGTAAGAATAGTGAGTAAATGTGTGCTGGCATTCAGAGGGAAGTTCATGTGTGACAACCTACCTTTTCTATCGTTTGCACGTAATTATGACTTTTTCGATCGATCACATTGAACACGTCGGCAATGTCATTACGCAGGGAGCTGCAATCCTTAATAATATCCACTTCAAATCCGTATGGAATTATGTCAATGGTGTCTTTATTCATATCTTTGGGCATAATGTACATACAGCTGTGGGGATAAAATTGAATGTCATTAGAATCAATCAAATTAGGACGTTCTTCAGCGGAAGATTGAATCAATTCAAAAAAAACTCACTTGAATCCCATGTCGATGCAGTTTAGAATGAATCCAATGAACGGTCGATCACTTTCGATGGAGAATTGAAGTTGCATATCGGCTTGTGTAGCAACGTCAGTTCGTGATGGATTTGCTTCAAATGTTGGAAAGAGAGAAAATAAATCGAATGTTAGTTGAAATTTGATTGATAATAACACTATATTACACTTTTTCAATCGGCTAGTAGATGTTTTGGACAGTGTTGCTTGAGCTTGTGAACGGAGAACCAGAATTCTCTTGTTAATATCATTTCATATACTCACCATGAAATGTTGGATGTGAATGAAACCAACCGACCAGCTCATAGCCTTCATTCGTCAAATTGGCAGCTTGTTCAACTTGGGAGACTGTTTGAAAGAAGATTCGATTAAAAATCGTGTAATGAATTACGAATGGGCAACTAAAAACGTACCTGGACACATTTCGCAGGTGGTGGTTGTTTGATGTGCCGTTTTGCATGGTTTGTATCGTGTCAGACTGAGTTGGCTGCGTCCAACGGATTTGGTGCAAAATCCACCTAAGAAGCCCATCACCTCGAATTTCGACGACAATCCATGTAGGTACAAACACAACAGCGTTGACAGTGTCATTGACACTTTAAACGGTGGCATTTTGTCTTTGGGAAAGCGTAGGCATTCGATGAGTTCAAGTTCCAATTTCATCGGTTTGGATGCTTCGCGTCGCAAATTTTCACGATCTTTGGGCACAGCTGCGTACAGAAGTGTCGGTACACCGTTCACATGACTCACCGTATAATTGGCATCAATGTCTTTTTCCGTTGTGTGGTGATGCATTGTAATACTTTTGTTCCGTTGGCGTCGGCCCAATACTAACGACGAGCTCACATCATAATTGCCACTTGAATGAGATTTTTTATTTTGTGAACTTTGCATAAAATGCTCTTTGAGCTTCACCAATGGCCGAATGTACTCAAAGTGCTCTCTGGCATAGCCAAAATTGATTGCACCAATTTGTTCGAGCATACAATGTATGCGACTGATACAATTCACATCGCCGCAATGCTTTAATCCATTTCGTACCGTTGTTTTGCTCACATAACCAGGTCTCGTTTCAATCCATGCATTCAAAATGAAATCACGAATTTTCGTATAACGTTCCGGCGTTTTCGTTGGCCGTCCTTCGAAAAATTCCGAATGAAAATACTTTTCTAATTCGCTTACTTTGTGCAATGGTAAGACCAATTCTTCCGTTGGTTCGTTGGGATTGTTCAATGCTTGCAATAATTCGGGATCTATATTGTTCAGATTTAGTTGTGGCTTCATTTCTTCGGGCTCTTTCTTTTTAACGGCTTTGATTTTGAGTGGCGGCACTTTTTCGGGAGTGATCGGTGTCATCGGTTCAACCTTTACTATAGAAAACATTGCACTTGAACCATGCAATTCAATGAGATCGTTGGGTGCGTCTGATTCAATGTCTATTTCAACATCCGAATCCGATTCGTGCTTGAATTTTACCTGCAAATGATCGAAATTGTGTTAATTCAGGTGGAAATTGCTTCAAAATTGAGAGAAAAAAAATGTAAATCCAGACAAACCTTATTCGAACCAATGTTCGATTGAGAATCAATTTCCTCCACTGAATCGGTATCGTTCGGCGTACAATCATCAGCATCATGATTTATGGTTATATTTTCACCGTGTATATCAACAAATTTCTTGGCTTTACCGGTAAATGACTCTGAATGTTTGCTCCCATTTTTCCCCTTCGTGCTCCCACTGTGATGTGTTCGATGCTTGTGTTTTTTCGACCGTTTCGATTTCTTAATTGTCTTTGCTAATTGTGAATCCACTTTTATCTTAACGCTGAACTTTGATTCGGGTTTTCGGATTTTAATCGGTGGCACTTGTCCATCGTTGGATTTCTCTTGGATTTCCGATTTGAGCAATGAAGTGCCCGCCTTGGGATCAACGGCAAAATTCCGTTGATTCAAAATCAACAGATTTTTACTAACCATTAGCGTTTGCTTGAATTTTACAGCCGGTTTCTTAAGTTTGTCCAATCGCATTGTTTCATTCGCCGCCATCGGCGCACTTTTCCCACTTTCCGATTCAGGCACATAAGTATCAGGTAATTGATTTGAGTACTTTGTCGAATCTTCATCGGGTTCTCCACCTTGTGATGATTGACTGCAACAGTCTGAGTGTTCATTGTCTTCGGATGCTGTTTCTTCGGCCCCAATAACCACTTCCTCTTCTAATGATGCGGGTATATCTTGTTCAAAGATGATATCACCACAATTTGACGCCTCTTCAGTTTCACGCTCTTCCACCCAATCGAAATCAATGGGAGCTGGCTCTTCGATAACAACTTCATCTTGTACTAATTCCATTTCGTCTTGCGAACTTTGTTTTGGTAGATTTTCCGGCCAAAGGTTCTCCGCCCCATCATTGTTATCAGTTAGCCAACGTGGATGAACTGTGTACTCACAAGATAGTATTTGTCCCGAGCTAATGTTGGATCTACGAACAAAGAAAATTTCCATTAAAAATTTAGATTATTCAATCGTTTTTATTTTTATTGCAATGAATTACATTTCTCTTTCGTTTTTTGACATGAAATTATCCAAACCGCCCACGATATCCACATCTTCATCCTCGTCCATGTTTGTGTTGGGCTTTGGTTCCTTTATTGTTACCACCTGAGCCAATTTAATTGATGTAACATCAATGCCTATCGCTAATAATGAGTCATTTGTTTCCTCGCCATAAAATACAATTCTTCACACCAAACCAACGTTATTTCACAAATTGAACGCATTAATTGCCGTTTTAATGTAACAAACACAATTTTACACAATGCAAACTTGGTGAAAATGATGAATGAAAAAAGAAAAATTTCTTTTTCAAGAATTTTTTTGTGTGAATGTTTATTGTTTTGATGAATTGGAAGCGAATGCAAGCGCACTTGTCATAAATTACGTATGTTTTATTTATTCTGTCAGTGTCAACTCATACACACGCATATGGGACGCCATCTTGTGTCCCAACGACCAATTTGTACGTACATTGTACATTGTACACACAATGTATCTATAGTATACACAATGCATTGCATTAATAATGCATAATGACTAAAAAGTGCGCTTAATTATTCGAATGCAATTATGAACGCAACTTTATTTTATGCGAGTTTCATTCTAGTTGTTATACTTTTTCTTGATGCCTTTGTCATCTGAACAATCGTAATGACTACATAGTTTGATAATTATTCGTTTAAATTTCCGAATTCAAATTCATTCTTATTTCAATCCACACTCAAATACGCACTTTCACTCGAATAATTGACATTGATTGAATAGTACAGACAAAGTGGAAAAAAAGAATGCATTTTGAATTCAAAATTCGGAATCGATTTTGAGATGTCATAAATTACGAAAATACATTCATATTCTGTCAATACGTTAATCATGTGTCCCAGCTACAATTTTTCAATCACTTATTCACCCACAGCGATAAAAACGCAATATAATCAAGCAATATTTGGGCAAAAACTTCCTCATTTAAAAAAATGATTAACCCACCTATAATCTTTCCATCTAAATTTAGTATGTCGATATAATTCTGATTACTGATTTTGAATTTCAACATTGTTTGAAATTTGACAGCTTATAAAAGGTTTGACAACGGGAGTTATTTCGCTGACACATGTGCAATGTTGCGTCAGTTTGTTGTTATTTACTGTTTCGGTATTTTAGTTCCGAACTAAAGACATTTTTACCTTATTTTTAGAAAATGTATAGGCAAAAGCAGCAGCTACACATAACCACGGCTCAAAAGCAGTTGGTGAAAGCCAAAGAGAAAAGTGCAAGATATGTGCCGGGCTCGATAAATCTGCAAATTGTTGGCAATGGAGCAAAAGGTGCACCCGCTTCGGTTTACTTATTCACCGATCAATCAAGGTAAAGAATTAACGACCAATTTATCTCCATTGATGACAAAATGCCATTTGAAAAAATTAAATTTGTTGACATCTCCGCACAATCAATAGATACCTGTTCAATTGTGGTGAAGGAACGCAACGTCTTGCACATGAACACAAATCGAAATTAACGCGATTGGAACACATTTTCCTTACACGAAGGAGCTGGCATTCATTTGGTGGTATACCCGGTTTGAGTTTAACCATTCAAGATGCCGGTGTGCCACATATCACGCTTCATGGCCCAAGCAAATTGAGCGACGTTTTCCATGGAATGAGGAAATTTGTGATTTTGAAACATTTGAAAGTGGACGCTCCGGAGTGCAATCAAAATGGATTCTATGATGATTTCGTTTTGAAAATTCATTACTTGCCGTTGAGGTAGTTGATTAGCTTGTGAAAAATTTATGTCAATTTTGAATATTCATCACATTTATCCTTTATAATATCACCAGGAATGATAACAGTAGCGACGATTATCCTGTGATGGCGTTCATTTGTGAATGTAAACCAAGACCTGGGGCCTTAAGTTTAGAAAAATGCTTGAAGCTAGGTGTTCCAAAGGGACCATTGCTCGGAAAATTAAAGAATGGAGAGGCTCTAACGTTGGAGAACGGTGTCACTGTTCAACCAGACGATGTTCGAGAGCCAGATGATCCGGGGCCAATTTTTCTAGGTAAGAAGATTAATCAAAATTGATAGCATTGTTTTGATACAAATCAATTTTGTTCCAATTTGTAGTCATTGATATTCCATCGATCGGTTTCTTAATAAGTCTACGTAATAATGAACAATTCAAAGAATACTTGAATAAAAGCCACATTGAGTCTGATCGAGGTGATTTAATTCTACATTTTTCACCGGAATCAATCGTTGACACCGAAGAGTACAAGGAGTTTGTTGAATCATTTCCAAGCAGCACAAAACATTTAGTTCTAAATGAATCAAATCAGTGAGTTCAATCATCGAATTTGCAAAGTTTTTTTTTATTCTATTCATTTTATATCTTAAGTTGCTTAAATTTATTACGTGGCTCGTATTTCTTTTAGATTCTCTGGTTATGTAGCGGTTCATCGGATGCAATGGCAGCTGAATCAATTGAATCAGCAGATATTCCCAATTTTAAAGTGAGTTCAGGAAAAAAATCAGTTTCAACATAGGCATTTTGCAGAAAATTCGATATTTTCAGTGAAACATTGAGTGAAATTCAATACAGACTAAATTATTTCAAAAAATTTACAGGGAGCCACTTCCACCAGAGACAGACGACTTTGAAAGTTCCCCCAAAAAAATAAAATTAAATGAATCACCGCCACCACAAATGGATGAAGAATCGGAGCCGAAAAAGTTGCAATTTGCCATGCCAATGACATGTGTTCATTTGCGACCGCGAAAGTGTATCGACCGTAGTCTTGAAGTCCGACCGAATCCATCTGAGTTTGTAAAAGAGATAACAGATATCGAAGGCGTGACTGAAGCATTAGACGCGTTGAAAAAGGATCGCTTGCATGCAACTCCCGTTGATAGAAGTAGTCAATATCCGAAGGTAGTGTTTCTCGGCACTGGCTCATGTATTCCAAACAAAACGCGGAACGTGAGCTCAATTCTAGTTCATACAACGTAAGACAACACCATAACCTATGGAAAAAAAACATCCGACCAAAAAGAATACAAATAAAACAAATTGAGTGTTTTGTTACAGAAACGAGAGTTGTGTACTGTTGGATGTAGGTGAAGGGACACTGGGTCAAATAATTCGTTTCTATGGTGACAAAGCGGACGATGTAATTCGAAAGCTGAAAGCAGTTTATATTTCACATCTGCACGCTGACCATCACATCGGTGAGTATCGAGTGTTCGCCAATCAAAAGGGACTTCACGTAAACTCCATTAATTTGATTGATTACAGGTCTCTTTGGCATAATACAAAAACGGCAGCAGTTGTTGTGCGATAAACGTGCATCAATTTTATTGTTGGCTCCAATTGAAATGCAACCATGGCTCACATTCTATGACAGTGAAATAGAGCCAATTAGTACGGAGTTTGAATTGATCGATAACCGTTCATTGGTGAGAGAAATTGATTAAAACTTATTGACTTTCACACAACTGGAATGAAAATAGAAATAAACATCGTTCGAATCATTGCAGATTGAAGATGGCTTATCGGCGGAGAAAGCGGCTCTCTTGGGACTTTGCTCGCTTCGAACATGCGGCGTTGTACATTGCCCAAGTGCATTCGGTGTAACAATGACAATAAATCACGATCAACCGTTCAAATTGACATATAGTGGCGATACAAAACCGTGCGATGCGCTAATCGAACTCGGTTTAGATTCCACATTACTAATTCATGAGGCCACAATGGAAGACGAGCTATTCGAGGATGCATTGGTAAAAATGCATAGCACCGTATCGCAGGCGATTGAACAGGGACACAAAATGAATGCAAAATATACATTATTAACGCATTTCAGTCAACGTTATGCGAAAATTCCACGCATCGAACAGCATTTGGTTGACAATGTTGGCATTGCATTCGATAACATGGAAGTCGTGTTAAGCGATTTAAATGACCTCAATATCTTATATCCAGCTATGAAAAAAATCTTCCCCGAACACTGGGACGATATGGAACAGAAATCCATAAAACGGGCCAATAAAAAGGCAGCCGAACATCAAGAGAATGAATCAAATTTGTTAATTGAAAACAAAGAAAAGAAAAGTAACTAAGTTAAGTTGAATAAAATGAAAATTCAAATGAAAAACATTAATTGCATTGTTCTTTATTTCCATTGAGAATCATGGGAACATTCCTTTGATATAAACGCATAAATTGGTCGAATTAATTTGAGATGATGCATACGTTTTAAATGCATTCGCATCAATCTTCTTTCTTTTTGCTGATTTTCGTTGTGGTTGCCTCTGTTGAATTATTCGCATTTGTAGTATTCCCAAGGGTGGAATTACTGTTGTGGTTGTTACTTCCGCCGGGTGACCCGGTAGCCCCGGGAAATGTCCATTGAAACCATCCGCTGGTATTGATTTCGGGAAATGTCCAATGAAACTCATAATCCAGCTCTTTCTCCAGTTTTTGTTTGAACGAATCAAATAGTTCGTTGTCACTTCTCGCTTCTTCCACGAACTAAAAAAAATGCCAATTCATTTAGAAAATAAGAAAGAGAAATCGACGTTGAACATGAGTTAATTGAAGGTCAAACCTTTGCAATAGCTCGGCCCTTTGTTTCGTCATGCGCTACCTGTGGCTCATACACAACCATAAGAATTGGTATGTAGTTCTTATAATATTCTATAGCGTTATTAAACAATGTTGTGCTCCGGAAAAATGCTCTGTTCAATGCATCCAATTATTGATCTACCATATCAAAACCACCGCCAATTTTTGTGGCATTAAACTAAAAAAAAAAGTTAAAATATTTACGAAGAAATTTTTTTTTTTTTTCAAATTCAAACAACCTACCTCTGTCAATGCGTCCTCTTTTGATTTCGCGAACTTCGTTTGAGTTTGTGCGTACGTTGTGTTTTTCACAATTTCATTATTAAATATCTTCACAACCTTCAAATTCAAATCTCTGCTTAATTTTCGATTATGGTTTTTCACTATGTCCACACTGATTGAATCCTCTGCGAAAATTCGCAGGCAAAAAATGCCAATCACAAACAATATGAAAACGAACTTCATTTTGCGTTAAATTCTATTCAAACTGACCGCAATGTCGACTTTTGATTCTTTATGAAAAATAAATTATGTTACAACGATAACACATTCGATCACTCGTTGGACTCCAATGTTTCAACAGAATCGTGATGATAACTTTGTATTTGCATCTAAAATGCTCTGATCGGAGCCAACGTAATGACTAATTTAGTGCGATAGTAACGTATGTGACAATGAGATTTGTTCATTTCATTTTGATTATTTACTGAAAAAAATGTGTCAATACACAACATATACAAATCCGTTTTTGCGTTTCAGACAATTTTAATAAACAACGCTTCGAGCGGTATGCTTATGTAGTACAGTCAAGACTTGATAATTCACGGATTTGTAATGGGTTCTTTCCCTTCTTTTCTGTGAAATTTCCATCGCATTATGGATACAGTTCCGAGAAGGATGAGATTTCAATGAGATTTGAGCACCCAAAACCAATGAACTGGATCAGAAATTCGCATCAATCGGAAGCATCACAAATTGTCATGTTTTTCTGATTCGCTTTCCATACAATTACGCATTCAATTCATTCAATTCGGCTATGTTTTCATCGATTTTTTGAACATCTGGATTTGTTGGCAGCAGTTTGCTGAAATAGCGAGTGTTGAAATACGCAACGATTAATTACGGTAAAGCTATAGAAAAGAATGCGGCAACTCTTCATTGTTATCAAATTGCTCCATCAAATTCATTGATTCAAAGATAGAACAACCAGTTCATACCATCAATTTAGACATACATAATAACGTCTGGTGAAGCCTCTATAAATGAAATCAAAGAACAAAATGCTCAACGTGCACTTCCTGACTGAATAAAATCACATTTGACCTTAAAAATTCTCGAACAAAAATAGATTGTATTAAGGCAATGTCGCAGTATATTTTTGAAGTTCGCGAATGGAGTTTTTTACTAATTGAACTAAATTAATGCAAGTTCAATGTAATTTCTTACATATTTGTTTTTGTCAAGTGAAAAGCAGTAAACTTCCACTAATTAACATAATTATTAACTGTCGAAACCACTTTTGCTCCTCGGTTCTGACTTGAAACATCTATTTTCCGTCCATCTTTTAGTGAGCGTGCGAAACTTTAGTACCCTTAAGTTATAATCAATTATAATCAAACTTTACAAATTAATTATGGCACGGTCATTATATTGAGTGAGGTTAATTTTTTTTGTTCATATTTCCCAGTATCTCGTTGCAGTGATTTTGGATTGGAAAAAACTTGCAGTGAATAATAAAACCTGATTAGGTGATTAAAATTATGGCATTATTTATCCAAAGAAGCACTCAAGGAATATCAGCTATTTTAATATCCAAATGGAATAACACAATACTTCAAAAGTAATTAACTTTTCCGCGAGCAGCGAACTCTTCTATGGAAGCGACACCTTCAATGACATTCTTCGCGAAGTTGTTGTGAACTGACGATAAGCATTCTTTTCGAGTGCCAATTATTTTTCTTTTACTTTGCTTAATCATATACACTTAGCTGAATGAATTGTGTTTTTTTGTAGAATTTTTGATGGAATGTTGACGAAACATTGCGGTGAATTCAACTTACATCTTATTCTGCTACCAGACACTGAACGTGGAATCATCTTCGTCGATTCTATGCAGCGATAGCTCCTGCAATCCTTTGTGTGAAATAATATATTCAACATCAATTCCAGGTATTTTCCATCATCATCATCATCATCATCATCATCATCATCATCATCATCATCACCGTCATCAGATGAAAATGTCTGCTTTGTATAATGTTCATTCGTTTTGCAACTCGGGCGAATGAACAACAACAACGCGAAAAATGTGTGAGAATAATTTTTCAATGTCTTCCACCAAGCGACTTATTCAATTTTATGCATGCAAACAAATGACATAAGTGAACAAACTTTGTCTCGGTTGTTGTCATTTGTCATTGATTATTTTTACCGCTTCCAAGTGCCATTTTCACTTCGCTCTGTATTTCATTTTCGTTTACATTAGATTTTTCTGGTATTTATTCAAATTCGAATAATCAACACGAAATGTAAATAAAAAAGATATGAAATGAATAAATATTGAAATAAAAGTTTGTTGCATTGCTCAGCGACAACTGACAACAAGATTGATTGAGGGCAGGAAATGGGTGAAATTGAAGAAAAAAAAAATCGCGAGATGCCTTGCGATAAAAAAGTCGTCGTCATGAACATAAAAACTTCCAAGTGTACCTACCTTTCTACCTTATTTCTCCTGCATCATGCTCACTTCAGCTACCGGTCCTACATGAACAAAAAAAAATGCAATCGACCACGAAGTAAACGCCCATGTTGTTTGCAATTTATTGATTGATTTTTATTTATTATTTGATTTAAATTTCAAAATATAGAAAAATCACAATTTACAGTCAAAAAGTTGTAGTAATTTTCATTAAGTTGTATTTTTTGTTGTTGTTGTTTCAAACGTTTATAGATATACGCATTGTATAAGTAAAAAATATATAAATAGCATGAAGATTTCACTAGATTTTCTTTGTTCTTTGTTTTATTTTCCTTTTTTTTGGTTCAGTTGATCAAATCGAATTAAGTGTGGAATGTCGTGAGTTTGTTTACCCTGCGTTTTGCACTTGAAACCAGTTCATAATGGCAAGAGTTGATTAAATTAGACTCCTGTAGAATGAAACGCGCAGTAAACTCCTTGAGATGAAAGCTCGCACAACACTGCACACTCACTCGACGCTTGCAGCATTCCAGCGTGAATAAACGGTGAATTCGGTGTAATAAGTTGTTCCAACCTCTTGAAAATGTTTTGCATTCTTTTCATTGGAAGTTTTCGCGATATTTCCATGACATTTAAATTCAATTATTCGGATGCAAGGTATTGTTCACATTTTTCTACTTCAACGCGTCTTCTTACACCGAACTCACTGTCGTTTGAAACATCGAATGATTTTCGTATCTGCATTAAGCACTTGATTTGAATTTGACACGCTTTCATACATTCCATGGCGTATAGAGAGTTGAATTCTATACATTTTGTGCATGAATGAAAAAATAAAAATCATTTTCGAACAAATCAACGCTGAAATGCTTCTTTTTTCATCATTTAATTAAATAGCGTTTTGTAAAATTTGCACCTATTTTCTCTTTACATCGTGTGTTCTAGTCGTTTAAAATCGATGTTTTTTGAGCTCTAACTACAAATCAAACGGAAAATGTTCTTCGATCAAAATCGTCGCTGCGGCAGAGCGACTCACTCATCGAAACAATCGATAGTGAAGAAACAAAAAAAGAGAGGAGAGAGAGAGAGAGAGACAAGGAGACATTGACTGTCTGAATGTCCAACAGATAGACCCATCTCCGCCTAACAAAACAAAAATATTTAGCTAAAAATGAAAATCAAACAACAACGACAGAAGAAAAATCAAATCACTAATCAGTTTCTTTGTTTTTAGCACAATAATTTTTTGTTTGATTTTTGAGTTCAAAGTACTATATAATGGTAGTAGTATAAAACGAATTTCCTTAGAATATTTGGTTAGTTGCTAGTTACACGAGAGAAAAAAAATTAAATGCTGTAGCTTTTCGCTTTAAAATATTTGTATCAACAGAAATGAAAAGGTGTGCATTTAAAATGTCATAAGTCGCTTAAGTAAAAATAGAGAGTCTAAATATATATTCTTATGCAATAGAATGTTTTCTTGATTTCAATCAATTTTTCCACCTCATCTAATCTTCTGGTTCTCTTTTTTTTCTTCTTCATTTTCTAAACATGTTAAAATTCGGTTTAAAAACATTTTTTTTTTGTTAATTCGCAGAACTGGTCAAAAATATTCACTTATCGATATTGATGTGTGATGTGATTGTATGTGAATGATATATCGGTTAAGAGTCGATAAAATTGATGTCATTTTATTCTCCCATTCTCTATCATTGGCTAAGTTTAAAATTAGAAATGAATTGAGAATATTTAAAAAAAAAATCGTTGCATGCTTTTGTCAGAGGAAAAACGATGATTGCATTTGCAATCATATATGTGATTCCAAGTTACAACTTGTGATGTACATAATTTGAATACGAAGACTGTGTAAGTGCCAGATAGCGACATTATAAATGGAAAATCGCAGTGGATACAAAATTAAAGTTTGAATTTTAAACCACATACATTGTACACATTGGTAATTATGTTAGTTTGGAATTTGCCACCGCCAAACATTTTCTCTATCGAACAATTCCGAATCGTTGCTCATTGCAATTAGGGGGAAAAAAATCACCGATGCATGCCCGTGTGAAAAAAAAATGACTGACTGACTATAACTTCAGTTGACTTTAGTTGATTGAATTTATATTTTTGTTCTAAGAAAATCACTTGGTCCCAAATGAAGCAACTTAGATTGTAACTTCAAATGATTTCAGTTAACTATGATAGACTTACACTACACTTTGTACTGAAATGTCAATCAAAGTAAGTCATTTTTGTCCCAAATTAGTTAACTGACTGCTCAGTTACTATTTTTTCACACGGGTGTTTAGCATTTGATTCGATTGGATTTGTTTTCGATTCGGTTGAATTCAATTCGATTTTGCCCCATACAGTACTCGACAACTTTCGACTGCAACATTTTAATAAGATAACGAAGACTCGAATCGAAAATGTAGATTTAATATTCGATTTTCAATTTTCAATTTATTCCGTTCAATGTCTATGTGTTCGAATAGAAGAAATGGTAATTTATGTTCCTGAAATGGCTTCATCGAATCCACTGAATGCTCCAAATTTTTCCTGTCAAATTAAAACGTTATGAAATAATATTTTCCACGAAAATCAACACACGGTAAATTGATAGCAAATGAAATAGTCAACAACAAAGCAAAAATTCGTAGAAAAGAATTAAGTTGCGACACATTCCAAAGAAAATGTATACCAAAAGCCGTTCAACCCCATCGATACGAATGTATGTTCTTCTTTATTACTTTCATAGAATTTGAACGCGCGCGCGCGCGTCGGTGTGCTTCTATCTGTTTATATGCTGTCGTAGGTTAACAAGTGAACATGCCCTTCTGGATCATTCCACTTGATTTGTTTACGAAAACTGTTGCTTTTTACCGTGTTTTCTTCGTTCCGGTATGATATTGAGTGATTTGTTGCAAAGTTACGTATGTGTGAATTTAGATAGAAAGAGACAGCAAACCAGAGATAGAGAGAGATTGTTTATGTTTTCCATGGCAAGGGCCAACAATATAGAATATATTTTGTTGGCGATTTTAAAGAGTCGACGTGTGCAATGGATTTTCAAATATTCATATATATGTTACTAAAGAATTTCACACAACGTTCATGTTCATATCATAATAATTACTGGCACAGAATTTGTTGGAACCCATATATTTTTTATGTCTATATTTATGATTTAATTTCTTACTTTAATAGTAGTGTTGAAATGAAAAACTGAATCAATTTAAGGCTCAAAGAGTTTTACATACATATACAGGCTTACGAAATATGCTTCAAGTTTGGTATTATATGCGTTATGCGTTATGTGTTCAGAAATAGGCATTCAGTATATATATGTTATTTTATGATTAATATGTTAATAAGAGCGCCGCACGTGCACGCAGGTATTGACTTTCATCTTTGTGGGCGCGAGCCGCCGTCCTTATTGAATATTGTACAAATTAGTAAATGTTGCGCAATATTTCTGTGTATGTGCGGTGTATAAGGAATGAGCTGTTTGCTTTTTAGATTTAAATTGGAAAGACACTACAGATTTTTATTTTCTCGAAAAAAAGCGTTGTTTAGAAAGAAACAATGTGTTCGTTCAAAGTTTTTCTTTGCATAGATCGCTTTGTTTTACAAATTCCATTTCCATGCGAAAAATTTGCATCAAATTGTTTGTTCTTTTTTCAAAAGTTGTTGTGAACTGTTTTCAAGTTACAGTACCTAATCAAATCAATAATTTAAAATACATCGACTGTAAAAGTGTTTGCCACAATAAATATATATCATTTCGTTCAACGTGCTTTAAAATTAAACTCCGAAGAAATAATGTATTACATAGTAGACTGAGTGTCGTCACCAAAGTCGTGCTTTTGTACACAGTAAGCATTTTCATTTTAGTTCAAAATGTAATAATTTTTGCGTAGATTCACCCTAAGCAAACATTTTGGTTCACGAATTTTCATGTGTATGCATTGTAAGAATTTGCTAAGTAAGTCTTTCCGGCGAAAGCTCACGTAAAGGATACATAATTTCATTTAATATTTATTATATATATATATTTTTCGTACGTAGTAAAAATGCCATGGTAGTATGTGTTCAGCATTTCTAAAATGAATTTAGTTGGGGATGGTTGGTAAATAAGAGGGATTTGCAAAAAAAAATAAGTATTTTTGCGGTACTGACCCATTTACAAAACGATAAATTGGGTGTGCGAATGAAAAGGCTATAGGTGGTGGTGAGGGTGGAAATGATGGTAATTTTTCATGAAATTATGGTGATTTACATACATTTTTGTTTTTTTTTTTCGTCTTCTCATTTCTTTTCATTTAAATAATCGTACATCATTTCAACACCCTGCAACGTATATTGAATAATATGTTTTGACCGTCGTCGTTTTTCCTCCTTGATACAACGAAAAATGAACTATATCGATTATATAATATTCACTACAATCGACGGAGAGGCGGAGTTTAGAAAGTGATATAGCATCCAACAATTACCGACTATTATATTTCGATGTGTTTAATATCTAATGACATCCATTGCAAACATACAAATTGAATTTCATTGAATGAAAATTAAATATCATTTGCAAATGAAACATCAATGCACAACCCTTGCACCACACTAACAAAACAAAGTAAAACACGAATTTGCGATGAGCGCATTCAGTAAAGTTCATTTCAATTCTTTACATCGTTAAACGCACTCATGAACGCGACAAATTGAACGCATCAACAATGTTCCGTAATGAAAGAAAAAATTTTTACTTATAAAATTGATGTTTATCACGTGCTACGCTCTCACAAAAATCAATTTTGCACATTCGTGACATTTTTATTTTTTTGTCTACTTTATTAACAAATATAAAAAAGATTCAATAATACATTGAACGATCTGTGTCACAACTTTTGACACTTGTCTCGTAGCGCTAGAAGTGAGCTGTCAGACGCTTAGATCGCAGGACCTTCACATCGATGGCATACGAAAAATTCGATGCTACAAAATTGAATAGATAGAAAAGTGGATTTCAATTTCCCGCATGATTACATATCATATATGAGCTACAAACTTTTCCTCTTGAATTTATTTTCACTTCCTTATAAGCTTCAAAGAAAAAAAAAACATAACAATAACTGAGCTCAACAAATACACATCCACAGATAGGAGAGGAAAGGTTGACAAATACAAAAGCGAGCGATATTAATATGATTGTGTATGTGTGTATAGTAATGTTACCATGTGTACTGATTTTATCAGTACTATACTGATTTTTGGCCAATTTTTTTGTTCGATACTGATTTTTACCGAATACTGATTTTTTAATCTTCATACTGATTTTATACTGATTTTTGAAATTTTGAGATTTTGTACAGAAATACTTAACTTTTGGCAGAAAAATTTATGTTTCTGTTAAAGAAAATTGTCAAAAAAAGCTCAGAAAAGCACGAAACGCAATTATCCCGAGACACGTCATACAAAACATAAGAAAATTGAAAGAGAACTTTTACAATTTATCTTACGTGTTTTCGGAAAATTTAGTTTTTTCTTTGCTCTCATGCTTTTCTTTGAGCTCGTATTTATATTCCTGAGAATTTGGTATAGCTGCAAAATACTTGGACAGATTGAAAAAAATCAGAAGTTCTATGTACGAGTGAAACGAGAACATCAATGACATTGGAAACACTAATTGCTGCGGTGCCAAAAATTTTCGATCACGTTTTATATTTCTTATTAATATTTTTATTCTATATATAAAACAAAACGTATCATTCAAAAAATTTCACACCAAATCGAATATGCGTTCTATTTCCTTGGTACTTCCACTCCTAGAACGTATTTTCGCTAGAGTGAACAAAATTAGAAGAAAAAGAAAGTTTGCGTCTTGATATAAATACTTTAAGGTCAACAAATAGTTGGATTCATTGGTTTTAAGCCCTTTTTTTGACTTAAAACTCATTACATCAATGAAATTTTGATATTTGCTTGGGTTTAAGCGTTTTCGGCATATACTGATTTTCTGAACAGCATACTGATTTTTTGGCCAAAGATGGTAAGCAAGTACTGATTTTTCAGCAAAATGACATGGTAACATTAGTGTATAGGTGACTTTTTGGAAACCATGGATATACATTTTAACTTACTCTCTCCCCGAATAAAACGTAGAAATGGCCGCCGATCTTGGTCGATTTTCAGAATTTTTGCTATATTTATCGAACCACTTGATGAGTTAACATCTTCCAAAAAATATAAAATTTGTTAAAATCCGTTCAGTGGCTCAAAAGTTATAGGAAAAATTTCGAATGCCCTCTTCAATCGGCGACCAAAATTGACCGCCTAGGAAATGGTACCTTAAGGCTTTGCATATACCTTGTGTATACATTCATAGGAGTTTTTTTTTTCTTTATCCTGTCTTTCGCAAATGTTTACAGCAAAAAAAAACAGTAACAATATTCGTTCGCTCCTATGCATACATACGTAAAGGTCTAGATGCCTTATGAACCGTTTCTTTTGTTCACTTGGGTCATCATCTGTTCATCATCATCTTCATGGGATAATCTTTTATGGTGTTGGAAATTTGTTTTCTCGAAACTATTCCGCATTGATAGATATTCTAAATTATTTACGCTTTTATTTTAGATACGTGTTACGTGCACGGTGACCGTGTGTCCGTTGCCCAGCAGATGTTTCTTATCATGTGCATCGTGTTCGTGCGAAATAAAATCACGCTGTTGCCGGTCGTCACAGTAGTTGCCATCTTCTTCGAGAATCTTTTCTAGCAGCATCTCGCCCGATGTCCCATTCTCTGTATATGTATGTGTGTGTATTTGTGTTGGTGTTTGTTTTAGCACAGCGATAATGCATACGCACGTGATTTCGTTGGCGATTTGTGTTCGTGTTGTTGTTTTATTGTTTTTGTGATGTGGATATTCGTAATTTGGATCATTGGGAGGTAACATGTCGCAAATCAAATTTGGGCCAGTTCAATGTGAGGAAAAACATTAGTGTTGATGTAAAAAATTAAGAATAGATTCACTGTTATATCATTAAGTGCTCTCTCAGTGCTAGGTATAATGGAATTTTGTGCTTTGTTTTTATTTTATTTTTGTTAAATTTTTTTTTTTTTTTTGGTTACTGTGGGTTTTCAGAATTTTTGGTTTGGTATTTCTGATTTAGGTTATCGCACAATCCGCGAACGGAAGACTCTCGCCCGTGAGAACATCTAATTTAATTGTGTGTAACTGACAAATGGATAGGTTCATTACCGTTTGGAGTGGTCGGGGTTACAACTTCACTAGTAATCGGGGTAATATTCGATTTTGATTGCGATAGTTCGTCGGCCGTTGTTAGTGTTTGTTTCATTCGTCGATTATGGCGTGTCGTTAAACCGCCCGTTTCTAAATCACGTTCCAAACGATGACCAGAACGTGAACGTGTTAGCTGTCGTTGCACATATTCCTCTAAATCATCCTCTTCGCGCTTGCTAATCAAACAATTTAGCACAATCAAAAAGATGCCGAGAATTACGGCAAATAGACCTGTTGCAACTAATTCGTTCCACCATGCGGTCGGTTTACCTATTCAAATGTGTGTGATATTGATGAAATTTCAAACGGAAATAAAAGGAAAGAAAAACCGAAATTGATTGGACATATCAAAACGATGCATTACATTTAATCAACGGGGGACGAAAATGAAAGGAAAATCTGTGGTTGACAACTTACCAGGTGTTCCTACGCCCGATAAATCATTCGGCAATAGTCCAGCGCCTAGCAAAAATATGCCAAACACTACGAAAACCACACCGATGTGCAGCATCCCGATGCTGGTCACTACTTTTGTATCGAGCATTGTGCTACCATTCGGCCCACTCGCATGCGGATGTCGATTTTTACGACGCGTTGAACCATGGAATGAATGATGAGTATCACCACTTTCCGAGCTATGTGTACTTAATCGTCGTTCACGTTCCCGTGCAGCCACTTCTCGTCGATGACGTTGACGCTTAATCGCCATCGCCGAATGAATACCCGCAACTGCATGCATTTTACTAGATTCCACCATAAACGAAACAAAATTGTCACACAACTTTAATCCCCTTAATGATTCGCAAACTGATGAAATTTTCTTGATATTAAAAGTGGCTTAATTTAAAGAAAACACCCTGCTCACAACATTGATTACATAAGATAGAACATTTTGGTTGTAATGGAGCGATTTTCCAACTGAATAACTGGCGCAAGGTTAATCATGTGTTTCAATGTTTTCATATGTTTTTTTTTCTTCTATTTTGTTCATTTCGATGGGAGTTAAACTCGCATTCATTCAATGGCACCAATCACATCCGATTAACCGATAAATGATACGTATAACAAGCGCGGTAGCAACACTGTATGTGGCTGCAATCGAGTAGTTTGCTATTAATCATATTGAATGATATCCGTTCAATTAATGGAAACGTAGATAAAAAGTGCTTATCATTTAAAGCGAGCGCGATAATCCAATGAAACCCGAAAAAAGAACAGGACAAAACCCATTAATCACTGTCTCTGTGATCCATTTCATGGTAAACTATCATGGAGCATGTCATTTAATAAAAGAAAGCCAACAAAGCGTTACCGAGATTTCGGAGAGTGGTTTTTTTTGCAGCGGAATATTACATTTTTCAAGTAATTTCCCTTGAAAAGCGGAATTTTCTGCATATTTTTAGGATCAATCTTTTCGCCTTGATAATTGAGCGAAATATTGTTAGGAGGAAGCCAAAAAAGAAAAATAGAGATGAAGACGCAAAGCTGAATGCGAAAGGCTGAATACCTCAAATTTGAAGGAGCTTACCATCTCGAGAAAAAAAACTGTCATTCTGCTGACATTCATGCAACAAGCGAAAAAGAATCATAAAATTGAATTATAATTTTATTGCGTTCAATTTTATGTATTCACAAATATCGCCGAAATATATAAGGATATCGAAGTATGTGATTATGTTGATGCTGTGCATAAAATATGCTCGTAAAATAGGGCTCGATATTTTTTTTAAAGCGTCGAATTTCCCGGTGTCGTAATGCAACATATTCCTAGTGGGGTAATTTTTAATTTTCACATCAAACGCAAACAATCAACTATTTTTTCACGTTGCAAAGCTTCGGTCAGGTAGAAAAAATCATAAAAAATACTGTGTAACCATGGATGTGCACCATCAAATGTTGCCGTGATTTGTAATCATGGTCACTTCCTATCCTAAATGAGCATTAGCGGAATTTTTATATGTCAAGTCACAAAGGTATTTCATCAGATCCGGTGTGCACGGCGGAACGGGGGCTGCGACACGTTATGATAACAATGTCACTGTCGACAGAGTTTCGTGTTGCTATGATGAAACGAAGACCACCCAACGCCTATAAATCACGAATATTTACTCGAAAAGCCGTAAATCAACATTTAATTATCAACAACGTAAACAATCCACATTTACGACTCATCAATATATTCGCTGACTCTTTTTCTGCCTTTTTTTCCTCTTGTTGACATTGGAATGGAATGAAGAAAAGCATTGATTTCCCTTCAATCGTCTTCGTTCTTCGTCATCGTCAACATCATCCTCATTTTTGCCAAATAACAAAAGTAAACACATTCCATCTTGATGTTGAGGAAAATGCTCAGCACACGATACAATGGGCTTGATATACACAATAGCAACGAAGAAAATCGAGAGAAATGAGGCCGACGAAGCAGAAATTTTCTTGAAAGCTAATGGAAATAGCTTCCAGCAAACGAATGCAAAGAACAACAAAATAATGAGAAAAAGATAGCGGAGAAAGGAAAAAACAAACGAAAAAAATCATTTTCACGAAACTTACAAAACAAAACATTAAGCATGAGAACACACCGCACACTCGAATTTCAGCTAAACAGAACCAGCAGCAACAACAACAACGACGACAAAAAATATTTGCTGGCAAAACCAAAATACAAGCACACACAACAATATTATAACCGAGAAAATCAATAGGTTTAATGGGGAAAATGTGGAATAACATATATATTATGTGGATTTGAATGTTATTGTTGTAGTTATTTTTTTGTGCATTAGCAAATATCTCCGAGACTTAAATTTTATGATGTATTTTCAGAGTTGCCGGGTAAAACAAGAAGTCGACGACGACGACGACGACGACGACGACGACGACGAAAAAAAAACTTGTAATATACTCAAATATCATGGAATATTTGTGCGTATTCCAATGCAAATGTGTAATAAACCCTACTCATACAAACATAAATGCTAAAAGCTCCATGTATTAAGTGTGTTCGTTCTTTTTCGCTTTGTCGAATTCTCAATTGCGATGCTATCCGAATTTGTGTGTGAGTTTCGTATGTGTCCTCATTTGTAGTGTTCAAATTTGAGAATAGAGCAAAGCAGATATCGGAATAGACATAGGAACGGAGCAAGATAGCGATAGAGGAGAGAGGGAGGAGGAGGTGGTGGAGGAGACTGTTTTTTAGATGTGCAAAAATATTTTGCCGTCAGAGAAAAATATCTCTGTAAAAGATTAACCGCCTAAAAGCAAAACCAAATGTACTTTTCTTCTTTCCCGCTGCCATTTCACGTTTCATGTTTTATGAGCATTCAATTTTTAAGGAAAAGATCAAAAGTGGAGCATTTTTCGCTGTAGAAAATAGCTGCTAAAACAATAGCTATTGCAACATCCAAACCAATGCTTGCGAATTTTTTTGGACAACGTTTTCTATTTACAATTTATTTACATTTATTTTGAAAATGGTAATCTATTCCCTGCTCTCGAACAACGTAAACATGTTTTCCTTTCTTCATTTGGATGAAAACGAAGAAGGAGAATACGAGAGAAAAAATCACGCGCAACACAATGTAATAAGTTTCTCGCACTTTGGATTTCGCATACACTCCCTCGGAAATTCGTTGGAAAAAAGTATGATCAATAGATTGAGCGATGCCATAAACGACTTGTATGTCAAGACAAATGACGAAAGAAAACAAAAATATAAATCGATAGCCAATAAATAAATAAACAACAACAAAAAAATATTTTTCCATAAATAAGCTGTCATTATGTTTGAAAGAAGCCATAGTCGAAAATGAATTTTTACATCTAAATATAAAAAAAGAACCATCGAACATTTCGATCAATTGATGCAGCAGACGCAGGGAAAAATCGTAAGGCAGTTGACAGGGAGGAAAATGCCGGCACATCACCATTTAGACGTCAATTGACTCAAAAACAAATCAAATATGAGTATGTGACGCATACTCAAGTCCCCACAACATTTAATAGATGAAAACCGATTCGATACATCAACCGTGTGCTGGTTTGTTGTCAATAGGAATTGCAATTAGATAGAACAAAGGAAGAAGTAACGAAATCAATACGCATTCAATTTCCAAGTCGATTCACTAGATGTGAACACACATCAGTGAAACGGAAAAACGCGCGCGCACACACACATGCACATGAACATGAATAACATGGAGTGAACTGTAAGCATTCATTCCAGAGAGCTTTTAGTGTCAAATTAGTTGTCTTTTGGCTTTGAAATGAATACAGGTGAATTGAGTTGAGATAGACAGAGAGCTAACTTGAGAGACATAACACGCTTGAAATGATATTGGAAAATAAGAAAAAAAATGATATCGGATGATCATATACAATTTGCCGAGTCAGGCGTATACCTGAAAATCCCATATCTGAATTCAAGCACACACACACACACACACACACAGCTCCCAATTTCGATCTGTGAATTCAGACAAGAGAATGCCTAATGCCATTCAAATCCAAATGTAGATGAAGACGATTGTTTGGTAACAAGTACACACGATTTGTATAGCAAAACGAATGCACAAGCACTGTCTGCGTTCCCGAGAAAGGATAAAATGAATTACAATAAAAATAAATCAAATAAAACCCTTGTATTCGTTTCTTTCGTTCGGTTAAAACCTCCTAAATGCAAAAGGAGTTATTTTTCTCTTCGGAACAACGGCACATTTTCAGTTTGGCCTGTCTGACAAGTTCAACGGGGAATATGTTGTGTGTGTTTCCACTTGAATCGGTATCCATTAAACCGCAAACTATACACACATATTACGTTCGGTTTGAAAAAAAATATATTTTGGGACTAGCTTTGTGTATGCAGCACTCAAGAAAGCATTCGCCCTAAACACAACGATGAAATAAACATAAGATAAAATGACTAAGCATTCAATAAATAAATTTGGCAATTGACGGTGTCTGAAACAGCATTTCACTGTGATTGAATATTAAATCGACACAACGAACAAATACACAAATAGCCCACACACCGTGCGGTTTCGGTTCGTCCAATATTTTTATAAATCATTAATTTTGGCGTGTCTTATGCAAATGGTAGGCCCGTCACACGCATGTTATTATTGGATCAACTCACCGATTGAGTTGATTAAGTCTCTGAAAAGCAAACATATTAGGGCGTAATGAGTTTAGAAGTTAACGGTTGGTAAAAACAACAACATATTGACTTTTTTGTCGACCAAACCATTCATTTTTGATGTGATAGGGAAATAGATGCTATTATCTAAGAATCGAAACGTCGATTCCCAAATGTGACCGCCCCAAATGCCAACAGATGTAATTTGATGCTTCCCTTCGATTCAATATGCGTTAGCATCGTAATTTTCGAGCTAAACGAAAACATATTGAAATTACGACCGCAAAATACTAGACAATATATTCAATGAACATTGTGTACGAAAAAAGAATTTATCGTACGTACGTATAAAGTATATAACCTGCTGAATAGCTCAATGCAATTATCGGAAACAAAAAATTCAGTGAGCATTTAAATTGTCGACTGTCGTATAATTCTCAATTGTACGACATACGTATGAATTCCAAGCGCTTATTCCACATACATATTCGTCGTTCCCATCTTACATTTCGTTAGTCAGATGCAGTGCACATATATATACTCATTTTTAATTCTCTGGCGTATAAAACTCTGGTATGGATGGCACGTTTGCAATGGCTCTTTTGGTACATTAAGTTCGAATGTTATAGTATATGGTTCATATATTTGGTTTCTTTTGCCATTCACAGTCATTAGCCTAAAGGACTAAACGAGAAAAAAAACTAACTACACACTGGAATTTCCTTTATAGAATGTCAATTTCATGTGGGCGAGTAGGGCGGAGGGAGAGAGAGAGAGAGGAAGTATACACAATGGAGCAGGCACGGCAACCGAAAGAATTCAATTTAATGTTTATAAAAAATGTGTGCACTTCCTGGTCGAATCGATGTTCAATCATATCGTCGCATTCCTTTTGTGGTTGTTCCAAGAAGAAGAAGAAACAAATTTGCCGAAAGAACCATTATAAAAGAATGATGCCAAAAAGACAAGACACAATTTCATTTTATGTGTTTTCATCTCTTTTTTTCCCTTTGTCTTTCGATATCTCGCGTCAAAGAACAACACACAAATTTGTTCGCGCGATTTCTTCTGCAGTAGCTGCTGCTGCTGCTGCTGCTGATGTTTTCGTTGTCGGTATTTTCACAAGCGCCGTCGGTCTGAGCCATTGGAATGTGTTCAGAAGGCCGTTTCTTAGAGACACATATCGGCATTCTTTGGTATGATTAGGGCGGATCTTGGACACACCGAAGCCTGATGACGCCATTTACCAGAAAACCATCAACATACCATGGATATTTTTATTTACTTTCACACATTTTTTTTAATAACATCGTACACTGGATATTCAATGTGTAATATTTACTGAACATTTCGTTCAATTTGAGCGGTAGTCATGTTGTCAGTAAAAAGCATCACTTAATCGCATCAGTGAACAAACAACACCTCGTTTGCATCGCATCAATTCATTTAGTGATCTGGACGGCGTTTTCTTTCACATCTTCTTTTCGTTCTTTTTCTGTGCATACTCACATTAATGGATATTAATTTATGAGCGACAAGGCAAAAATGAATATTTAAACAGTGGCGACCAAGATGCAAAATAGATTGGTTGTAAGCGCAACTGAACCAGTTCCAGTACATAATGTCAAGTGAAGAATTATGCGGCATTTTTCAATGCGAGAGATAGAGAGAGAGACAATGTCCAATCCGCGCACACAATGGTGCGTGTGTATCTTGCAAGCTTTTATCGGGCAATTTCGTCGTCCGATGTAATTTGAGTGTAATTCAAGCGGAGTTCCGACTCGCTACGTCTCAAACGTAAATTGAAAAGATGTTGCGGGTTGAAAGCAGGGAAAAAGTACGCAACAAGATAATAATGAGTTTTTTTCTCTCTTTCTCTGTTGTGTTTGTTTGTTATGCATACTTTGTGATATACACTTTGAGGTCGTAAGGTTGTGTGGATTTTGCATGATACCGTGACAACATGCATTTCAGAAGATGAGGCTCATGTTCTGGTTAAAACGAGTGTGTCGCCTACAGGAGCCAAAATAATTGGCAAAGTGAACGGAGAGAAATAAAGCATTTTCTTTGTATTGAAATTAATTCTCCCGACAAAAAATACACACGTAACTGAAACCCACATACACACAGACGTAAACGGGTTATTCAAGTTGGTGTCCTTCAGTTCCATTCATTGTTTTATTCTTTTTCATTTTATAATCGATGTTTTCACATTTACACCACCGTACCACCATACATACATACACACACAAACAAACAATTATGCTAATTATGGTGTAGTCATAAAATTACCTGTTGGTAATTCAGTCGCTAGCTGCTATCGAAACCACCAACAAAAATAAATTATAATAATATTTTGTGACCTCCAGCCACAATACCTTTCCACGAACGAGAATCGGAGATTTTTTTTGACGTTCGTTTTTTTCTATCGTTGATTTTTCCTGCTTCGTTTTTTTTTCGCTCGCTCACAAATCGGCGAATGCTGACATTAACATGGATTTTTTTTTAAAAATCAGGAACCGAATCTCGGGCAGGTACACACTAACGAAATTTCGTACCACGTTCAAATCAATCACGTTCGCTCATACTCTCAGTCCCAGCGACGTGCATACAGCCAACACAATTTCATGGGAAATGCTGTCACGTTATTTTGCCCAATCCCAAAGCTTTGTGCCAATTATTTCAATATCAATCTATTGCGTGCACTTTGTTTGTTCGTTTTTCTAAAATGTAACTTATCGTCGTCTTGACGCTTTGCTCTTTGTTGATGGAATCAAAAGACGAATGTGCTTCACACCCACCCAAACAATTCACTGGAAACAGCAAACACAAAAGTCCATGCCCACAAGTGTGCTAGCTCTTGAAATCACGCTTCACTTAAACGGTCTTTTTTCAGTTGCTGTTTAGATTGCGGCTCATTGATAACAGCCCGGCAAACTGTGTCTATGCTTCTTACTTTTTTGTCATTCGAAGCGAGCGAGAAGAAAAAAGCACTTGGGATTGTTGTTGTTTTTTTTATTGTTTAGGCGCAGTGTAACCACTTTGTTCTGCGCTCTTGTTTGTATTGAAATTCGATTTGGAGGCGCGTTCAGGAAACAATATCATATCATTTTCTTCTGAATTACACTCGATAAGAACCGATAAGAACACTTTCAAAAGTATTTCAGCATCGTCGTTGGCTCTGTGAATCGGCTTTTGTCGCGTTGCTTTTTCTTCTTCTTCTTTTATCTGTGTTCACCTCACGAGAATAATACGATTATGGTCAAATTCAAAGCATTTAGAGTTGAAAAAAAGACGCTTGAATCAAGAAATCACTTCACAATGGTTTCCGGCCCCGTTCATGGAATTAAATGCGATTTTTCCTTTCGACGCACATCACACACACAATATGAGTTGTCATTTGTTCTTTTTTTCCTTTTCGTTGGTTTCAAATGAAAATGACACACAATTTTTGCAAACACAGACTAAAAGCTAAACAAAAAGAACGAGAATATTCAACTTTGGAAATGGTTTCGATTCAATTCGTTTTGGTTATATTTGATTTGCGATTCTCTTTCTCTTCGTTCACAAGAATGATGGCAAAATGAATACAATGTTTTTGCTGAAGCCCGTCATAATGAATTGGCAACCTTTTGAGTTAATGAGATTCGACTGTTGATTATCGTTTGTGTGTTTGTAAGTGGGATTTCAATGTTGTGTACAGCTTTTTGGTCGCATTGATTATCTGCTTGTCAGTTCACATTACACTAAAAAAAACAACAATGTTTCGTCGATTTTTTTTTTTACCGAAGCACAATATTGTGTGTGTGCAAATATGAAAAATGGAAAACAGTTTTTTTTCTCCTTTTTTTGTTGTTGTTTTTTTTTCAAATCACTCGTCGTCTAATAATTATGTTTTTGGTCGATATAATCCATTTATTTTACTTAATGTATTCGATGGAAAGAAAAAAAAGATGAAATAGGGCACAATTTACTTGGACTACTGCTGGCTGCTGCAAAAATTTTTTTTCTTCTAATATCCTACTGTACTTGGTAGCAAAGAGATGTGCGCGCGATTGTATATTCCCATGTAAGCGATATGAAGGAAATGAGTGTACTGAGCCATGATTGCCGCATGGATGTGACTATGAGGCCCCCAAACACGATGGTTCATCGATGGATGAATTTCACGCATCGCCCGTACATGTTTGCGCTGCATGAACTCGATTTATGGTGCTGATTCATCGGTATGCGTCGAGCATGGTTGGTGGTTGTTTCTCTTTCATTTCCGTTTTACGACTTATTGTTAAACAGGTTTTTGGCTTTGCGTTGCGTCGTGCCGCGTCAAAAGCACACGTTCTACCATTTAGCTCTATGTTCAAGTGTATGTGTGTTAGAAAGCGCGCATATTGTTGGCGCTCTCGTATTTGTCACATAAATGTATTGCGTTTTTTTCCGCGCACATACACCGACCGCTTCGAGTATCCTGTACAGGGTTTTGTGAACTGTATATGCATTTTGTGTGTTCGCTGTTTGGATAAATGGTAAAAGCGTAGAAAAGAACAAATGGAAAGAATAATAAATGTCCCATCCCGAACCGATCTCATGGTTTTGTAAATATGTTGATAATGTAATTGCACATTTTGTACTATGATAGCAACGGAATATCCTTCCGTTATGTATGTAAGGGTATTTTCTGGAGATCAATAACCCAGAGAAAGCAGCAACATACTTGAAAAGACGATGTGTGAACTATTGTGTATGTATGTGTGTGTATATTTGCACAGAGTGAGAGTGAGAACGAGGATGCGATTTTATGTAGTCAGTATGGTTGTTATATGGACACGAAATTCGTGCATATTCATGTCAGTCGGTTGTATTCATCTGGAATATGACCGAACGAAATGAGTTATCAGGAGACACATAGACGCATCGAAACGATTGAACAAAAACTGTGTCATAGTCTCATCAAATGAATCGCTTTGTTGTTGATTTTTTTCTTCTTCTGTGTGTTTAATTTGCTTGCATTGTTTTCGATGATACGGTGCGCTATTCTGTGATCGGAAGAGCCGAATCATTTTATTCTTTGTCGTCACTTGAATACATCACAAACAGAAGACAAAAAGCCATGAACTGAGAGATAGTGGGTGGAAGTAGGTGAAAACGACACACAAGCTTATGATATCTCGTCCTACCATAAACAAACGGCAGTACAGCTCTCGGAACTCGGGGACCATAATAAATATGTAATATGTCATGTTCATTCGCACAAAGCACATACACTCGACACTGAGATAAACATAAAATGATTCCTGCATTCATTAGAATCCATGTAGAAATTTCCATCCATTTTTACGACAATTCACTGCCGTTCGCCTCTATCGGCTATTGCTTTACGATGAAATGCACACAGCGTTTCCGCGTAAATCGCTTCTAATATGGGGGTTCATTACATCCAATTCCCATATGTGTGTACCTTTTTCCTCGAATCGCGCACAATATTTTGTTCATTGTGAATTCATGAAAACGACTACCTGTGTGCGCTGCGCTCTCTGGCACGAATGGCTCACATTTTATCAGTCACTTTTATAGTTTTAACATGACGATCAAGATCAAACAAACTTTTATTGTTGTTCATATATTTTCCGACTCACATGTGGACTTTTGAATGTTCTTTTCAATTCCAATAAAATTGTTACATTTAAAAGAAAAGCGAGAAAAAAGTGGAGAAAAAAGCATTGACATCATGATGATACGGGTGAGGTGCATAGAGCTCTTAACGTTTAAACATTTTTTCTTTGAACTTACTGTCTATTCGTTTTTCCATTCATTCCGTGAGGGTCTCTCGTCTATGACACGCTGTGAAAATCTCATAAGTGAAAAATTACAGTAAAAATGCTACATTGAGCGACGCTCATCTCAAGTCGAGAGAAAAAAAAATAACGAATGAGACAATAGCATCCCCACTTGTATTTGCTCTGCAAAAAAGTGTGAATAATGAATGTTGTACGAGCACTATAACATATTTTACATCAACTTTAGCATTTTCTTTCCCTCCTTCCATGGAGTACGCCCATTCAAACTAATGCACATGGAAAATGTCATTGTGAAGAGTTTTTGAAAGCTTTAAAATTATATTCTTTTGCAAAACACTCGAATCTGTCACCATCGCGTAACGTTGAATTGTATTCACCCTCTTGTAGTCAATCTCTTGCAACCACCCTATGGACACAAAATCAGGTCAATTGAATATCAGCACGTCATGCTCATCAACTAATTTCTCACTCCAATGCTCGTCGACTGCCATTAGCTATCTTTTCGAATCGATTAAAGCGGTAACTCAATTTATACGCAAGCTGTCGTCGCACCCGCACAGCTACTCAGATATATATTTTTGTCGCCATACATATATGGGATGTATGGGTATGTAAATTTGTAATGAATTGATGAACTTTCACATTTCAAAAGAAAAAAGCAGCATTAGATGAAAAATGAATCTGAGCAATATTACCCAGCAACCATAACCCATTCATCGGCATTGAATGGGGTAAGGTTATGAGATGCCCAAGGTGTTGAGTGTCAGCTATTGTGAAAAAGGTTTCGGTTTTGATTGTTTTGTAACTTTGCCGAAAGCTTGAACTGAATGTTTGATGAGTTGAATTTGTGTTGTGTTAAACAACATCAACACACACACACTCTCCGCGTACACTTGCCTAAGCTCATCCATGGCAACAGGTATATGCTGAACCCTTGGCCAATCGATGCGTGTTGTATCGGAAATGTGAACCATTTTAACTTACCACTCTGAGATTATTATGGTTGCCAAAACTTTTGGGGCTTCAAGCATTTTTACGTACGAGTCGACGGCCGATGACTATATTTGACGATAAAATAATGATGATGCCGATCGAAACCAGTGTACACCAAGCAGAGAAAAAATACGTACAAACTTTCAAAAGTCGCCTTTATTCAATATTTTGTTTTTCGTCTGTTTTGTACACTAAACAATTTATAGATAATTAACTAGTAATAGAATAGGTAAATTTCCGAAGTAAAATCTAAATTAACTGATCGAATATTTTAACGTAGAGGGAAGAGTTGTAGTTTTTTCTTCTGTTGTGTTATCACCTGCGTTACTAGCACACGAGCCACAATGAGAGAGGATTTATTGTATGACTTCATACGGTATGCATAATAATAAATCATTAAACAAAAAAAACAGCTAACGACTCTGAAAAATTATGTATGTTTGTTAATAGGTATGTGTAAACGTGTCTAGGGAATCAATCAATTCAGGTTATATGTTGTGTACAGAATAAAATAACAAAAAAAATCCTCAAATAAAATCGATGCACCAACATTTTGAGATCGATACACTACACAATTGAATCCAAAAAAAAAAATAGTAAGTAGAAGTTTTAACTGGGGAAAATATGAAATTGAACTGCTCTTTTTCCATTAAAATAAGTAGTGAGAATTTTGCAATAAAAAAAACTCTTGGTATCAAATGTCATTCATCAATTGAAATTAGTAATTATCTAAGAGAAATGTCACCTTTTTTTTAAATTCCACATAAAAAATGCTAACAAAATAAGTATGCACTTGATTTCGGTGTGTTTGTAAAACGTGTTTTTAGCACTTTTTTTAGCTTGTATTTCACAGCACGTCCGTTTCAAACAAATTTTCGCATGTTTTGTGAAAATGACAGTTGTTTGCTTGAAGATTTTTCAGCATTTTTCGTCATTTTCGTCCAAAATACAATCAACTTGGAATATATGTGGCCATTCATTCAAAATACTTATTTATCTATTAATTAAAATATAATTTTCGAACTACACGTTCCGTGGGTGTGTGCGTTTGAAAAAAAAAAATTGTGTCATAATTCATTATTGTCATTGTGAACGGAATTCTACTTAAGTTCTAATTTGTCAAAAGAAAACTTGATTAGTTTGAAAAGACCGTTCAATCTAATACAAAATTAAGGAAAAAAGGAAGAAGAAAAAATCATCTAAAACCGAAATTAAAACGATTAAGCACTGTATTTATTTGTGTGATGGACAAATGTTTTGTGTGTGTGTTTATGTGTGTGTGGATGGAATCCTCGCTGAAAATTATGTGCGCATTAGACATTTTCAGCGCCGTTCATCATTTTTTCGGATTCGTTAACAGTTTGGAGTGTTTGTTTGGGTTTTCGATTGGTTGTTGGTTTTTTCGCCTTGGTGGTCTTGTTGCTGCTGCTACTCTGGCGTTTGCCTCTGAAATAGTCTTCAATTTCTGATAACTTTTTACCGTGCGTTTCAGGTAAGAAAAGTAGTGCGAAGAAGAACGCAATTATCGATGTACCGGCAAAAAAGTACTGAAAAGAAAAAGAAAGAAGCAAATATGAAGTAAGAGACAAGCAACCGGCAACCCAATCTCGATGTGAAATACCTGAATAGCATAGGCTCCGCCTAAAAATGCAGACAAATCCCTATAGAAATCCCCATCGAAACGAAAATAGAAAAAAAATACGAGTAATTTGAAAGGTTTGAGAAAGAAAAACACACGAAAATTATAAGGTTGAACTTACCGATAAACTTGAATAGCGATAAACATCAAAATGTTTGCCATCGAATATGAAATTGAATGGGCAATGCCGCGAATTTCATTCGGAAATAGCTCAGCCGTCATCGTCCATGGGATCGTCAAGAGTCCGATCATGGAGAAGCAAACGTAAAGTAAGAGACAAGCAACCGGCACCCAATCTTGTTGTGAAGTACCTGTTGAGAAAAGTGTGAAGAGAGGAAAAAATTGTGTTAACGAAAGATTTCGGAATATTTGCCGTGTGCTCAAGTACCATCTTTAATCCATTTGGTGAAAGTTCCGCTAACAAACATAACAATCGCCATTCCAATACCAGAGCACATCACGAGTGGTCGTCGTTTGAACCGTTTCAAAAACCATGCATTCGATAATGACATAAAAAATCGAGTGATACCAACGAAAATCGATACTTGGTACGCATTCACATTGCTGCCAATGTCCTGAATATTGTGTGAAATAAACGAAAAATGGAATTCATGAATGTTATTTCGAAATAAGTGTTATTGCCAGCTAAATTTTTTTATTGCACCGTTCAAAGTGTGAGGTATGGAAAATGTGAATTTATGATGGTGACTCAAGTCAATTTACCTGCATAAATGTGACAGCATAAAATAGTGTAATATAAATTCCACTGAATTGTTGAATCAAAAAGAAGAAGAACAGCATGATCATGGGCTTGTAGCCGGTTGGACGGAAGAAACCAGACCATTTCGAAGTCGAACTGTCGTAGCTTTCAGTTTGCATCGGTATGGTAAACGATGTGACTGAGAAATTCTTCGGAATATTTTTCCGGAATCGCGATTCTTGGTCACGCTGCAAACTAGCCAAATGCATATCCGCCAATGATTGAGTCTGTGTGTGTACAATGTACATATATGTGGAAAATTGCATGAGTAGAAATAATGTTTATTAGTCCATTGCATTTATTGGCTCATTTAACATTAGTAAGCATACCGTATGCTCGGGTTGTGCATAGTTTTTGTAAAGGAATTTCAGTGAACGTGCTGCGTCTTCGATGCGTCCTTTGCTGACCAGCCATACCGGTGACTCGGGCACAAACATATGAATAAATATGACGGGAACGATTGTATATATGATTGTCAGCCACGCAACCATTCGCCATGCCATGAACGCTCCTTTTGCGTACGCTATGACCATGCCTGCAATCATAAATTTCTATTTTATTTTATGGTCTCGACAAAAAGCAATAAAACGAAAATATATTTTATGAGTTGTGCTGACCGAGCGAAGCTAATGTCGGTGCAGATGAAATCAATGATCCGCGTAAGTCTGGACGTGCCACTTCAGTTATATAGACAATCGCTGGCGATGTCCCAATTGCAGAGCCAAGCCCAGTTAGTATTCGACCAAGCAATAATTCGATCATATTTGATGCGTTCGCAATCAAAAGCCATCCGATAACGCATGGGATAGCGGCCAATTTGATTGTATTCAGACGACCCAGCCATTCCATTAATATAGCTGCAATCAAACAACCAACCGGAACAGAGAGCACAATCACCGAAGCAATCCATGATGTTTGCTCTTTATCCAACTTCAAATCACTGTCTTCGCTTTCGAGTTGAGGCACCAGAATTGCCGAAAATGCCAACGAAATACCAATCACAATGTGAAATGATGCAGCCGTTGTCGCAGCAAATATCTAATTCAATGTAGGGAAATAATCATTTTCAGTGATCAATTTCAGGTATCAATAAACTTCTATGGTTTAATATAAAGCTAAATTGTTTAGCTTTTCTTCAAACCAAAATTAATTTTACTAATCACCAAATAACAATGGAATAAGGTATCAATTCCTTTTTCTTAATTGCATAATATAATAGAGAGGAAAGCACTGGATTTGTATAATTCAAGTAATGCGATCTAGTACAAAAATAATCCCAAATAATCCTTCGGAATTCTCCATAATTCTCAACAATGCTATGCATAATGCCAATAAACAAAAGTGAAATACGGTTATGGTTAGCTATTGGGTGTTGGTATTATGCATAGCAATATTGAGCACTATTGAGAATTATGGAGAATTCCGAAGGATTATTTGGGATTATTTTTGTACTAGATCGCATTACTTGAATTATACAAATCTAGTGCTTTTCCCCTTGACATTACCTGTGGAAGTGCGGTCTTAAGATTATTTGGCTCGTACGAGCTGAGCGAACGGCAACTGGTAATCACTTCACGGAATGCATCCTCTGGCTTTTGCTCTTCCGTCTCCTCAAACCTGTGTTTTTTTTACCAGAGAAAACAAGGGGAAATTCCATCAATCCATCAATCAATCATGGTAAAAAATATATCGTGAACATCTATGGGGTGCCCATCTGCCCATTCCTTTCATTCATGTCGAAATAAATCGGAAAATTATTTGAAATTTATAGCATGCTCTCGACGTGACGCACTCAACATGCAAATAATATGAATCAAGGTCAAATGAATCTTCGTTTGATTTTTGCTACACATTCAATTTTATGTGTTTCCAGGGATGGAAGCAAGTGCTTGTCATCGTTACGCTCGTCACTCGCGACGAATTCGTTTCACTTACTTTGACAGCAACAACAAAATCTTTATTGATTTCTCTTTATCAGTAATCGATCGACATGAAGATTTTATGTCGTAAAAATTGTAAATTAAATTATAGCTTGAGTGCAACCAGGCTGTCATTTGAGACTGGGTTTGATTGTGAAACATAAGTATACACTTGAGAGATTATTTGCGTTGCTCGAGACCACTATATACGCTCATAGAATTAAGTGAATTAAATTCCGACGAAATGTCAACGATGTCACGAGATTTTTACGATACTGATCTACTTTCGGTGAATTTTCTTTACTTAATCAATTATTTCAATTTGGCATGGCGATTTTGTTGCATTAAACTTTTTGGGCGTTTGAAGAAAGTGTCAATTAATTGATTTGATTATGTGGATTTTTACGTCAATTAACGATTTAAATTTAGCTAAATGGTTGAAGTGGAGTCTCGTGGTTACACCGTTCAATGGATTGAAATAAAATTCTTATCTAGTTTTTGCCAAAAAAAAACCATCACGTTCCCGCATGCATGAAATTCATTCGAATCGGCTTCGCCAAATGGATTTTTAATCGTTGATACGGTGCGAATGCCGCTATGATGGCCATACTTCAGCCGACACTCACACTCAATTTAATAATATACTCGTCATGTTTATATCATTATAAAGATAAAGTATCGCACGTAATTTCCTCATACTCATCATTACCAGCGCCGTCGGTGCTGACAATGCTGATGATTCATTTTGTGTTGTTTTGATTTGGAAAAAATTCTCTACAACCCGATAAAATCGACTAATTAAAAATATGCGTGCATATAAAAAAAAATATAGAGAGGGAGAGCAAAATGCCACGATGGAACACAAAACGAAAGAATTTTCTATGCAAAATCAACAAAATGAACAATGAATTCTCAGGGGTGGAATTCTAAGTCATTCCACCAAAATCGTTCGGAATTATTTTTTTCGTATATAAGCCATATTGGAGTGAAAGAGAGAGATTCCACTATTTTTCAGCATTCCACCGGAATTATTCCGATAACTCAAGGAAGAGTGGAATGTGTGAGATATAATTCCGGTGGAACGCTGAAAAATAGTGGAATCTCTCTCTTTCACTCCAATATGGTCTTATGTACGAAAAAAAATAATTCCGAACGATTTTGGTGGAATGACTTAGAATTCCAGCCCAGCATATTTTTCTCTTGCTAACTAGGTAATTTTGTGTGAATGGAAGAAAAAAAGTTTTCGAAAAATTCCAACAATTCTCAAGCATTTTTTTTTGATTTATCAACCGAAGAGTAGAGCGTCACAACAAAAAAAGATAGAGAGAACAAGAACCAATTGAAAATAAATTCTTTTGAAATGGAGAAAAATTTCCATTCTTAATGATCAATTAACAAGAAATAAATAAACAGAAAAATTGTTTGGTTTGAACTTACCGTTGGTTTAAACTAAGTGCACTTGATCCAATACTGTAATGAAAAATGAAAGAAATGATTGTTGTTTGGTTAGTGTCGTTGTTGATGATATCGAGATATGAATTCTAAATTGTTGTTGTAAATATAAAAAAGAAACACGGCAGCAAATACAAAAAAAGCAACAGACTATTGAACAAAAAAACGTTTGTATTCGTAACGAAAAAAGTATGCGGTCAATACTGATAGTGAACAATGCTACGTTTTTTTTATACTGAACGGATGAATAACGTGTTGTGCAATGATCAAACGAATTTTTGTTCCCTTCGCTCGGTCTGCTATCATTTTTGATTGCATATTGAAAGCCAACAATACATTGCATTTAATTCGTTGATCATATTCAAACGATGCGATAAAATAGTGTCCAAACTGATTTTCACCTCGTAGTATCGCACGTTCAATTTCCTAAACAGATTGACGCATACAATGTCAATATAATCCAACATGTTTACAAACAAATGCATAAATCATCTTCATCGTTTGCACGCTGAAATAGTTTCAACACATAATAAACAATGCAACTGAATCGAGTGAAGTGGGGCTCGATAAAATACCATTATGTGCTCTATCTGTACTGAAATATGACATACGATTCTTGTTTGGAACGTTTTCGTTTGTACGTTCGACTGATTGTTGTCATCATGCACGTATGATGGAGCGTGTGCAACGAAGGAAAAAACAACGACATTATCGATGGAAAATATTTATAAATTTTTAAAAAGCAATGGCAGCAACAATTTCGTTTTATTGCCATGGTTATATATTTTCCATGTTGCATTTTGTCCTTACTCATATGGAATGTTTATCGATCGCCCGTTTAATTGGCGCATTAATCCAACCTATGAACATGCAATTCGCTCCGATGAAACGCGTCACAAGTAAAAGCATTGACGAATGTAATGCGAACGGAAAAGTCGAAAAAAACACAAACAAGGTCAAACTTTTTTTTCCTCTTGTTTTTTGTTGCGTGGTTTGTGTGTTGGAGTTCAAAGTGAAAATATTCATCAACGAATCACGCAACAAGTTTTTTTTTGCCATTTTCATTTTCCGAAGCAAACACTTTGGATCGGCAATTTTTCTCTTCTTCTGTTTGTTTGTTAATGTGCACGAAATATTGGATTCGGGCACACATCACGTGATCCACATCGAATGATGTTCGTGTATATATTCTATAACGAAAATTCGATGTAGAGTGAAACTGTTTTGCCAATTCGGTTTCAAATGATTCTTTTTTTCGGTTCGAATATTTTCTATACTAATTGCTTGTGTTTCACTTTCAAATGCTCCCACCGTGAAGTCATCGTATTTATAGAACATATTCATCTGTTGTCTAATACAATGCGCACTCTGTGTGTTTCCGAGTGCTCGTGAATAGCGTTAAATGAAGCGATGAAATAATATTATACAAATAGGCTTTGACTCAATCGACAAACACAGCAGAAAAACACAAACAACCAATAAAAGTATTCAAAACAGAGAAACATCGCTGATATTATTAGTTTTCTAACGCCATTCAATTTGCATACAATTTACGGATTTCCAATGAATTAAGTTATTTTTTTTGCCGCTGTTATTTTGACTACGAACAGGTTCCGTGAATCACAAATCATTTCATCCGAATTTCGGATTGTTTTTTTTTTTTTTTTTTTTTCATTTTAAAAGATTTGACGAGAAAAAAAAACAAAAATGGAGCGAGACATTGTTATTTCGATCTTAAAAACCGATAGCTCGTTTTCACGTGTCGACACTTCTGGTTGAACTTTGCGCTTGGCAAATTAAAATATATGGCAAAAAAATTGATAAATTTCGTAAATAATGGCAACATTCACCTCGTGCCGTCGTCATCACTGCCGTCGCTGCTGCTAAATGATGTATGCAAACATTTAGATTGCATTCAATTGCAGTTGATTGAAAATGTTTAGGACCACACCAACATTATTGGCGTTGTCTGCCGCTGTTTGTAGACAAGCGAGCAGCTGATTGCATTTTTTTTTTGTTATTGCAAAGCTGCCTCGAATATTTCTATAGTGGTTCCGTGTGAACAAAGAAAAAAGGCAAACGTGCCCATTTCATAAAGCAGTAGAAGCGCATACTTATCAATTTTAACGAATCAAATTCAATCGAAATAATGTAAGTATGATTTATTAGTGCCTCGCCGAATTCCAATTGATTGAAGATAAGAATGTTAATTTATACGGTTTTAAAGATGACGATCTTGAAATATTTCTCTCCTCAGGCGTGACAAACGCGACGAGCTCGCACAAGGGTCGTATTTTAGAGTAAGATCGAACACGAGACGAAAGAAAATATGTTATAATCAACTGACAATCGGCGTTAATTTCTCGATTATAAGGTTAAACGTTTGTTGTTGGCAACAACAACAACCATGATATCGATATATCAATAACATCTATTCAAATTAATATTCAGGCATTCACTGAATGTGAGGCACTTTTTTTTGTCATGTTTTCTCTTTGAAACGACCCGCATATGAAATTCATTGTTGTTGTTAAATTCCAATGGGCAACGAGCGTGTATGTGTCAAGCAATGAATTGATCCAATTAACTGAATGGGCTAATGGAAAAATGCAAAGGACAAAACATCCATTCGGACAACAGTCGAACGGCAATAATAGTGCACATGAAGATTGCGGCTCGTGTAAATTACGTAATAAATCGGTACATTTTGTTTGCACACACAAAAACACTCAACGCAAATTAATGAGCATTTTGAATTGGCTATTAAAAATGATTCCTTCCCGGACACTCCGCTGTGTCAAAATTGATTTATTAATCTATTCAATTTGTGAATTTGCTATACCGTCACCTTGGCGACTCATAACTGCAAAATAAATGGAAAAAACTTTGTGGCATCCTCTTGTTTTTCGGTGATGTAATCAATTTATCGCAGATATTCTAGCATTGAAATTTAATAATCTAGAACGCATTTCCATGTGACAAATTTTTTTGCTCGAATCAGCATCGAGACTCAACGGCGCCGCTCTCTTTCAAATCGCCCTAGTTTTTCTGTCGCATAAACTACATTGTGTCAACGACAATTGATAAAAAAAAACAAAGACAGTTGCGTATTTGCCATTTTTTTTCCATTCCTTAAACGAGTTAAGTGGTCTTGAAGCCATCAAACTATCCATAATAAATTCTTCCTTGATTACGAATCGTTCCACTGGAGTGCTTTGAATCGATCCACTCTGCTCGTATCAATAACAAGATAAAAACACTCTCGTTCTCGTTTATTTTTGTAAACAATCCGAAAGTTCCGTACACGAGTGACGCAGCCAATTTCCATCGCACGTGCGCGTTCGTCACAACACAGAGACGCGGGCGAAAAATAAAACGAACACACGCACTGGTACAAATTGCCGAAAGACGAATTCAAACGCGTTGTTCGGGTTGTAAAAACAGAAGTCAATTTTTCGGACAGCAAGTCAAATTATACGCTCGCCGTAGTAATACTGAAAAGGAAAATCCCATTATTATTACAATAATTGCTTTCGAGCGAATAGCGACCGTGCTAATATTAGCATTAGGATCATTGATGACAGCTTTTTTAACGCATTTAGAGCGTGTACACGCTCGAACTACGTATTTCATGCCATGAATGAAATCGTCGCCGAAATGATGATAACAAAAATGAATTGAACTGATTTGTTTTCATGGTCAAAATTGAACATCAATCTAATAACTGTTAATTTAATGAATCGTTCGCCGATTTTATGTGACACTAAATAATTTTAGCAGCAGACGATTCTCACAGGAAATACTGTGTGCTATATGTAATTAAAATACGCACAAATCAAATAGAACACCAAAAACAAAATTATTCAAACAGAATTTGATTTTGATCTCGCATAATTAACATGGGGCATCTATCATTTCTGAGTGGTCAGCTGAATGGATACGTTTTCCCCCGCGCGTGAATATATACACAGCTCATACATGTAATAGGGTTAACAGTTCAGCGGCGACGTGATTTTTCAATAAACTACTGCAGTGGCGAGCATATCATATGCTGCATATCAGCCATGTGTGGCAAACTGGGCACGGAGTAACTGTGATAACATAAAAATATCACTCTAGAGAAAGTTTTCCAATTTGCACACGAACAAGATGCTGCCAATGTGACCAACAAGATGCTGTTCAATTAGTAAATTGGATTTTCATGCACACACATTACACTGTACTCATACCGTACAGAAGTAGCAGTGACAGTATGTGAACTAATTACATGCGAAAACTGGATTGGAGGAAAGCATGGCATAATACGTGATGATTGAACTGAATTATGTTGACACATCGGTTCAATCAACAAAATTGAAACTGCGAAACTCTATTCATTGTGAACTTGGTCAATTGAGTGGAAATACATTTCGAATTTGATTTGCTTTTGGTTTTTAATTAATGAAATTCCAATTTGCACACCGAAACCCACTAGAAAATTTTCTGTAAACGTTTTCAGCAAATACCATTTGAATAATAACCAATATATTGATCATACACATAAATGTGTCTCCGTGATGACTATCGTCCTTCAAATGAACGCGCTCGACACACGAGTAAAAACAACAACACTTGGAAATTCGAGAAAAAAAATATTATCATACGCAAATAATTGCTTTGACACATTCAACTCATTCGCATTGATTGGATTTTGTGCCCAGCACATTTTTCGTTCGATATTTTACTAATTGCTATTGAATATGTGATATAGGAAATGGTGATAACGATTTTCAATTGCGAACATTCGTTTAACATGACGTGAGAATATTCTTCTTTCTCTTCTTTGTCGTACTTTCTTCACAACCATCATCGCATTCCAACGAAATTCGGAAAAAAATGTGCGACATTAATTTTTGCTTACGAAAATACAAGGTTCACATGAGGACAACCAGTATATTGTGTCAAAAGGCTATCACATCTGATTGAAACGGCTTAGATGTTTTTTTTTCGCTCTTCCACATTCGAATGAATATATCAAATAAACCGGAATCACAATGTGTATGGATTGCATAAAATAAAGCGCCATCTGTACCATGATTCTTTTGTTCGTATAAGTCCAATGTATTCAATTTGAACGCTCGGAAAACGTTCAAACGTTCAACATCATCATTCCCTATAGTATTGCATAGTTCATTTTCCATAGAATTGGTGGCGCTTATATTGTGACAAACGTCAAAGCATAGGATTGTATACATTATATATTGTGATTCCGAATAAACATTGTCTTTGGCGGACGGGCAATTCAAAAAGGTGAATCACTATGATTATACACTTTTCGATTTTTTTTCACTTTTCATCCTTGCGATTTACGCGTAGCAACGAAATTCAACGACGAAATACTCATTTTACGAGCAGATGAACAAAAATGAAACTACGAAATTACAATTGACATAAATTCTCAATTGAAGTTTCACCAAATTGCTGCGATTTTACGACAACTTCTTTTCAAAATAAAAACGACTACATCATTCAATTGTCTGTAGTTGTTTTTCTGCAAAGTTATTGCGATTAACGGCAAATTAGTTAACATGCATATATTAGCGCGCAACAGATGATTTTCCGAACGAATAACAAAACAACGAATATTGTGCATAAAAAAACGAGTTTTGAATTGCGAATATTTCTGTTATCATGACATTGGGATGCAGTTTGTTGCGCCACGAAAACTTTCAAACTCATTCACAACATTGTTTCTCTACACAAATTTTGAACCGCATACATGTCTAGCCTCTATGAATTGATAGTTTATTATACTTGCTAATGCTTACCTTAACGGATCCATTGTCTTTTCTTAATTTTCTTTTCAATTCGTTTGTACGTTGTGATCGAAAAAAGTCTGATGTGGAATTTTTCGGGGCGTTAAGTAAACGATCACTGGTGTGTTTATGTTTAAGTACAAAAATATTATTTAAACGAGTTGCCGATCTAATTTGAATTTAAAATTGTGGAAATTAGAGTCTCTCACATTCGATTCTCCTTCAAAGTACAAGTGTTTTTGGTCGATGAAAACGAAGCAGTAAACTAAAAGAGAATCGATCAAAGATCCAGATCTATTGATAAATGAGATAATTCTTTTTTGTGTTCTTTTTTTTTTAGTTGTGTTCGTTCGTTTTTTTGTGTATACACGAATTCACTCTATAGTTTCGTTCTGTTCTATTTTGGCAACCAATCTGTGCTTCACCCACACAAATGCACCGAACAATTGCTGGCGAACAAAAACACTAATTTCGAATATGCTTTGTGCAGGTATTCTTTGTTATTGATTGTGATTGGTATAACAAAAACCAAGCCGTAGTCTTTGTCAACACACGTTCGACGAATTTAACAGGAGAGAATAAAATTCGGCCAACGAACGACACTAACCAATTTCAATATTCGGCATCAACTAAGATTTATGTGTCTCTTATTTTTTCGCTTTATTTCTCGTTTTTTTTCGTCACACATATGCGTACCAAATCACAGCGCGATGTGGCAGTTTGCAAGAAAATTCGTTTTGTAGTCAAATAATGTAATCAAACACGGTTTTTGTTTTTAGAAATGTTTGCTTTTTTTCTCTGTATTTTGTTAAGTTGTTCCACAATACGCCTTTATGCTCGCACACATGCAGCTGGTTTGTTTGATTTCTTGTTAAACATTGACTTCGAATCGTCGACTCTTTATGACGTGATTGAGAATTGAGTTTGGTTCATACGCACGATATTCTTCGCTACTTCGTTACACTCAACGCAATGCAAAGCAATTGGTATGAGGATGATTTAATCCATTTGGGATCGCCTGTTGCGCTATGCGGCTGATCCCATGGAAAAATCTATTAATTTCTTTATTATACGATCTCAAGCGGAGCGTAAACGTACACACTCACATACAAATACACACTCTTTTTCACAGAGATTCGCTTCGAACGCACAATTGCTCACTCTTCATTCGATGTATGTATATATACAAAACGACACTATTCGAATCGCATTTCAATGAACAACGATGATTTATCGATTTTTGACGAATAAACACTTTTTTGCTGCTGTTGCTTCGTTGTCGTTCTATCCCGTTCGCTCTGCTATTGAATTGGGAGCGTACTCGATAATTTAAAATAGCGAATTTTATTAATTCATCATTTTGTTTCGATCGAAACGCGAATTACGAAGACGGAACAAAAAACAAATTCGTTTTGTATTCGCTACAGTCAAAAATATTTACACTCAACACTCAAAATATTCACAATTAAGTGAACGTTCACCGTATGTGCTCATATAATATGTAAACTGTTCAATTTTACGACAGAAAAATACACACAATCCGTGCAAAGAGCCAACAAAATGTAATACGTTTTTTTCTCTCCTTCTTCTGCGGGGAGAATCGAAACAATAATAAAAAAAAACAGAAATGAAACACACAAAAATACGAAGAACGAAGTGAGTAGAAAATGTTTCTGTGAATGCACAATGGCTTAACAACACTGGGCCGCTTGAGCTTAACACAGTTTGTGTTGCGAACCAAACTACAACTGATGCCTCGAAACTAAAATCTAATTCTCATATATGTCTATCACACAGCCGACCGAATACCCGATTCACTTCTTCGATTCAGTGTGTTCATTGTTTTTTCTTCTCTTCTCTGCTTCTCCCTTTTTTTTCGATGTGCTGCTTTTGTTGTTGTTTATACTCTATGGGGTCTATACAATCACAAATATGTACTACTGCTACCTACCAAATTCTTTGCACAATTTTCAAATGAAAATCTAGTACGCCTATCGCACCGCATCGCCTTATGCTCGCTTTCTTTTGGCATACACACACTCAGACACATACATACGCACCGGTGACTGTACTTCGCAATGCTTTCCCACTGACATTTGACAATTCGGTTGTTGTTTGCAGTAACCTAACTAAAAACAAGCGCGTTCGCGTCAATTCAATCGTAGTCACATCTGGTTTTTACATTTTCTGTTTGAAATACGCACATTTTGTTGGAAAAATCATTGCAAAAATACTGTCTTTGCGACAAAAAGATTCTTTTAAACACGAAAAAGGTTCGTATTTTCCCTTAGTTGTGAATAAATTCGGTTTGTATTGTGATTTTTGCAGTGGAACTGAGTACTTCATTCAATAAAAGTGACGCTTTAAGAAATTTGTTGCATTTTTGGTCAATTCTCCATATGAATCAGTTAATGCAACGCATGTTTGTTTTGATTAGTTTAGATCAATTTTGAGAAAAATTCTCCATCAAAATGCTTTATTTGATCAAAAAATCGACCGAATCGCTGTTATTGTGAAAACCTAACCTAAAAATCGATCAAGTCGACCGGTTGGCCCTGACAACATTCAATCAACAACCGTCATTTTGTTGATTTTTTCATCGATTCAAGCATCTAGAACACTCTAAACATATTCAAATAAACAATTCACGGGACTCAAAACCATTTCTAATTTTATCAAATTCATTTCAGAAGAAAGAATTCAGAGAAAATGACAGAGGGTCAAATTGAAATTCGCGATGTGACTCGCATCGAACGGATTGGAGCACACTCACACATTCGTGGATTGGGTTTGGATGATGTGCTTGAGGCCAGATCCGTTTCGCAAGGTATGGTCGGACAAAAAGATGCTCGTCGAGCTGCTGGAATTGTTGTGAATATGGTTCGTGAAGGGAAAATTGCTGGTCGATGCATTTTGATTGCTGGCGAACCGAGTACTGGTAAAACAGCCATCGCAGTTGGTATGGCAAAGGTATGTAAAACATTGAAGGAGGAACAATGATTCCCATTATTGAGCCAAAATTAAACAAACATGAATTTCTTTACCAGGCCATCGGTTCCGAGTCCCCATTCACGAGCATGTCCGGATCGGAGGTGTATTCATTGGAAATGGGCAAAACAGAAGCATTATCACAGGCGCTGCGCAAAAGTATTGGTGTTCGCATTAAAGAAGAGACGGAAATCATTGAAGGTGAAGTGGTTGAAATCCAAATTGATCGCCCGGCAACGGGAACGGGTCAGAAAAGTGGCAAAGTCACATTGAAAACGACGGAAATGGAAACCAACTACGATTTGGGTAATAAAATCATCGAATGCTTTTTGAAAGAGAAAATCCAAGCCGGTGATGTGATAACCATTGACAAAGCATCGGGCAAAGTGACAAAACTTGGTCGAAGTTTTGCACGTGCCCGTGACTACGATGCAACCGGTGCACAAACACGTTTCGTTCAATGCCCTGAAGGGGAATTACAAAAGCGCAAAGAAGTGGTGCACACGGTGACATTGCATGAAATTGATGTCATAAACAGTCGTACGCATGGATTTTTGGCACTATTTTCGGGCGACACCGGGGAAATCAAGCAAGAAGTACGTGATCAAATCAATAACAAAGTGATGGAATGGCGTGAAGAGGGCAAAGCTGAAATTAATCCGGGTGTGTTGTTCGTCGATGAAGCGCATATGCTGGATATTGAATGCTTCTCCTTTTTGAATCGGGCTCTCGAAAGCGAAATGGCACCGGTGGTTGTGATGGCCACAAATCGTGGCATCACCCGAATTCGTGGCACAAATTACCGTGGACCACATGGTATGCCAATCGATTTGCTGGATCGTATGATTATCATACGTACAGTTCCATACTCAAAGGCTGAAGTGAAGGAAATCCTGAAGATTCGATGCGAAGAAGAAGACTGTCAACTGCATCCGGATGCAATCACCGTTTTGACACGTATCGCAAAAACAAACAGTCTTCGATATGCCATTCAATTGATTACTACCGCGAATTTGGTGTGCAAACGTCGCAAATCCACTGAAGTCAGTGTTGAAGATGTTCAAAAGGTGTTTAACATGTTTTTGGACGAAAAACGATCAAGCCAAATCATGGAAGACTACCAAGATGAATATCTATTCAGCGAAATAACGCCGACAAAAGAGGATGATACACAAAAAGATGCCGACAAATCCGAAGATGACAAAGATAAAGATACACCCATGGACATCGGCGACAAATAAATCCACTTACAAATTACTCTCTCACTCATTCTCTATTCAACAATTCCAATAATCGGTTGCTTCATAGGCTCTAGATGTTTGCATTTGTCATAATAATAAACTTTATTGAAAGAAAAACCAGAAAATCAAATAAAAACATCAACATTGTATAAGATTCGGACTTGTTGTCATTTTTCTTCTTTTGCTTCCATGCATTGTTATTTATTTAAAATTCTTAGCTACAAAAATTCATAAATAAATATCGCAGTTGTCTTGTATATTTGGTATGCAAGGGTCGGTTTCACACCTTATAAATACGAGAAAAAAAAATAGTTTAAACTAGTAAAACCACCACACGGTTGTCGTTAAGTCATTTTGAACAACACAAAAGGTGATAAGAATTGTTATCGCTACAATACAGCGCTCATAGCCGAGCACAGAAAAGAATTGATATTTCACATATATTAATACAATTTAACCGAGCAAAAAAAAAACAATAAATGACTCGTCAAAATGTTCACAAACACGTGACTTTCACTTTTGATCGAGAAAAAAAAGTAGAAAAAATGTTCTCTTCAAACTGTCACATTGACAATCGTCATCTAATACGTACGTGTGTGTTTTTTGTCTAATTAAAAAAGTCTTTGATCATTATATGCGAGGAAGAGGTTTTGATTAGAGACATGGTGCTGGCATTGGACCATGGCCAGCGACAATTTTGCACACTTCACCCAGTAAATCTTTCAGTATTGATGCTTGTCTTCCTTGTGATCCGTCTAACGTTATGGTTGGAATGAATGAAACCCTCGGTCGTAGTGCTGCTGTTGCTTCCCCGTGCAACTTCAACAGTTCAGCTCCGTGTGGACTGTCATAACACTTAGCAATTGCCTCGTAGTCGAGATGATTCTCTTTTGCGCACGAAATCATAGCTTCTTTTGGCCGGAAATTATTTCTTATCATACAGGCTATCATATCTAGTAATACTTTTTGGTCTTGGACTGCTTCAATTGTGCAGGCATGATAAATGTTTGCCTCGCATTCAGTTTCACCATGTTGACAATCGAAGCTTAACGATCCGTCCCGATTTGTGTTGGTCTGCAATTCAATTAAACGTCAGTGTAAACAAAATGAAATGGAATAAATCAAATGAAAAGAAATGTGTGTAAATAATAATGGAACAGATGTGTAAAAGTACCGTTGCTTTTCCATAGGGAACCAATTGAAAATCGATGAGTGACGGTGCTTTTTCATACGATGGCTGTAATTGCTTGAGTATAAAATGCTTTGAATCGGGACACAGAGCCTCATAAAATACCATCACCATCACCGGAGAGCCAACCGTACGTGATAAATTCTGCTCAATGCCAAATCAAAATCATTATTATTCATTTTATACCATTTCAATTGGTTGCAACTCACCGTATAATCATCTGTACCGGGCCAATTTCGAAATATTTGCCAAAATATGAAGACCGCCAACAGGATAATGATCATCCGAATGCGAAATGCATTTAAGCAGTGCATCCTAATTCAATTAGCCACGTACTCACACTTTTCAGTAATAAACTCGACTTAACTCAAGTGTGTTTTACCTTTCTTTTCGTTTTTTTTATATCTTCCCTACGTCACACACTCGAAAAATACTTTATTCGCACTCGTTACTGGAACCTCACACTTTCAAATCACATTCATTTGTTCGGCTGATTTGTATTATGCGATGCGTTTAATTGAAATCATTCAGGTGGATCTGTTTACTTCTTAATTACCGCACAACTACAATTGCCCTACGTTGATTTATCAGCTCGAACAGACGAATACGCATACACGGCAAATGTATTTTGTTTAGATCAAATTCTCAGTGACAGTCAGTACGATACTACGACTACGTAGTCCATCATCTGTCATGGTGACACTGAAAAAACCTGACAACAGCTGAGTGCTACATGACTTTAAAGGGTTGTTAAAATGAAAACACACCGTGGATTAGTTCAAAATATGTTGATATCAATGCTTTATTTTGTTAGATATTTATTTATTTCTCAAATGCATGTTTCTTTGGTTTGTTTAAGGTGATTAGACAATAATCAAGGAAGTATTCAATGAAATGTTTTGAAATATTTGAACGAAATTTAAATTTTGGAAGACAATTGCTTTGGTTTTCTTCATTAAAATCGATTAAATGCATGACGAGACGAAAAATAAGCAGAAAAGTCGAACTATGTCATTTCGAATGACTAATTGAATGAAAAGGCAAAGTGAAATTTGCTCCATATTGCAATTGTGGTGCAAAAGTGTGAGCACGCCAAAAGATATACGCCAAAAGTGTGAGCACTGTTATTCAGTACACTGCCCGCGTATGATGAGTGTGCTAAGCAACATTTAGTTCCTGTTGAGGAATTTTTTGAATTCAACAAGACCAGCTTCATTGATATCGTAGCCTGGTGTGGTGGCCTTGCATTTATCCAACCATCCAACCACATTTGGATACTTTGAGAGGTCGAAACCAGCAGCTTCCAATGCTGAAACTGTTGCGACCAATGAAATATCAGCAACAGTCAAATTGTCACCGGCCTGTAAAATACCGAAACAAAGAAAATTTAGCTTGTCCGTCTTTAATTTTTCAATTTTTTTTTATTATTAGGTTTTAGGTTCAATCATTTCGAATTTCTAGTTTAAACTTACCGCATAGGTTTGGCCATCTAAGATGGTATTGAAAAAACCAACGGCATTTTCCAATTTCTTCAAATTGTCTGGATTGTGTGGTACTTTTTCCAAAACTGGTGGGTAGAAGTAACCAGCAAAGCATTGATACAATGTACCCAAGTCGAAGTACAATCGTTGGTTAACAACGGCACGCGCCTTTGGATCAGATGGATAAAGTATTCGGGTTTTACCGTACCTGTTGGAAATAGTGGAAATAATAACGAATAACTATGTTCTGGAATTATAATGAAAATGTTCGTTTTGATGTTTCTCTGTTGTGTGTTTATAATATGAAGGTTTGCTTACTGTTCGACTAAGTAGACCATAATGGCGCGTGATTCCCAAACAGCGAAACCATCGTCGACTAATGTGGGAACGGTATGTTGTGGGTTAATCTGTTTGGAAATGACAGCAAAATAAAATAAGAAATGTGAATGATTCTACAGAAAAATCACGATGCGATTAAAATCATTACAAAAAATGTAGCATGTTATTGCGTTATTGTTTTTCTTCGGAGTTTGTACAATACATCGTAGCGGTTTATTTGTGTCGATTGTCTATTGTTCAGGTACTCTTTATCTTTATTTGTTCATAATAAATATATTATTTTTATGTAGTCAATACGTTGAAGTGTCTTATCTGAAGTAATTTACACTGTAATAGAAAACCAGAGCACTGCCTCAATACTCATCGAATGTGCTTTGAAAATTCTGAAATTGAAACCAAACGTACCTTAATGAATTCGGGATTCAAGTGTTCGCCAGCTGCCAAATTGATAGGTTTCAAGTTCAAGTCAACGCCCACAGCCTTAGCCGTCATTTGAACGGCATGGCATGGAGGTGATCCAACAGTGTAGTAGAAGTCAAGACCCATTCTGGATAAGCTCTTTTTCTTTTACCTAATTTCAAAGAGAACAAAAGTAGAAACAATGAGTCCTTTCTCAGTACGAAAACAGATGTTCGCAATCCAAAAAACACATTCTGATTATTTAATTTTCAAGTGAGTAAAATGATAAGAAACCGATGGTGACCTTAATGCGATGAATTCTATAATTTATTTCTTTTTCTCAAATCAAAAATCAAAATATAAAAAATATTTCACACAATTCGTATCACCAAACCGATATTTTTATTCATTGTTAGTTTTTCATAAAAAACATTCGAAAACTACGATAGATAAATTATATTTTGTTAGAGATAAAAATGAGAGAGAAATTTACTTGCTACGAAAAATAACTTTCTGGCCGGCTCAATGAGAATTTGAGCGTAGAATAGCTTCTCTTGAACAAAAACACCAGCTTCGGCAATGTCATAAATGATAATGTATATGTATACAAGAGCCTCTTGTCAAAAGATAAAGACAAGTGTGGATAAATATCACGCGCACAATTTTACCACATACATTTTCAGAACTGTCAAATTAGTTCATTGCGCGCGATATTTAACATAGAATGTGTTTCATTCATTTCTATATCGATTCAAACATTGTACATTCCCATCAGTAATATTATTGAGGTGAAGATTATTCTTACCATCTATGTACTCTCAAGTGTTTTTGATTATTCCAGTTTAATATTCAACCAATACAAAGCAGCAAATATTCACACCAATTCAATGTCATCGAAATTTCTCGTACTTTCCATCAAAAGTGAATCGCTTACACTTTATCCCATCAGATTCATTTGATTTACCGCATCGCATGGCGTTTATTTTGAAAATAGTAACATGTATACTGCATTTCACACAGAACCCGCTAGAATTTTCGCGAAACGCTATAACGATGTGCGATACATTCGATGCGTCGCACGCGATATGTGTAGAATGGTCGCGAAGAGACGAAGCGTGTTCTACCGCACTGCTTGCGGGTATAAATAGAGACGCATCGTGTTGCGGCGAACAGTCAAATTCGAAATAAGCAAAAAGTTAAAGAGTTCTAAAGTGAAGTAGAAAAAATGGCTTTACAATTGAGAAACGTTGCCACCAAATTGTTTAATCCAACATTGAATTTGGTGCGAAACCGTTCACGAGCATCATTGCCATCGTTATTCTGGGAAGATCCATTCAGAAGTCATCGTAGTTTGATTAGAGATTTTTGGAATACGGATCCATTTGACTTGGTAATGCCAAGTCGATTAACTGCATACCGGCTGCCTTATTGGGAAGGTGAAAAATTCGTGAGCACACCCGAAGATGGATTTCAAGTGTCGTTGAATGTGCAAAACTTTAAACCAGAAGAAGTTTCTGTGAAAATCGCCGATAATAACATCATCATTGAGGCGAAACATGAAGAACGTAGTGAAGACGACAGCTATGTTTCACGACACTTCAGCCGACGATACACATTGCCCGAGAATTGCAGCATCAAAGATGTGGTCTCTACCTTGTCGGCTGATGGCATTCTAACCGTTCGAGCTCCACCAAAGGAAATTGACACCAAAAATGCACGAACAGTTCGCATCCAACAAACTGGAGCCGCTCATGTCGAATCAGAGTCAAAAAAAGTTGAGGAACAAAAAGACGAACCAAAAAGTTAAATATTAAGAACTTGAACAATAAGAATGAAAGAAATTAAATTTTAGGAATGTAAAAGATGTGATGCCATTGAATTGAAGGAGAGTGAAATAAAAACTTTCGAATGAAAAAAAAAACTAAAAAAAAAAATCGGTTTTTCATTCCTTTCTCTAGTTTAAGCTTGAATTTATTTTTTTTACAGCAAATGAAAGTCATACAGTAGACAGAAAGGTAAGTCCTTAGCAATTTTCATGTCTTATTGTGCAATTCTTTTAGCAGCGCTGCGAATGATGAAATACATCGTTGGATTGGCGAAATTCGTTTCTCATCAAAAAAGTTTGAATTGTGTCATTGTATTGGGCGGCGATACAGTCTGCTGTAGTAGTACAGTAGTTTGTAAACAGTTATGCTTTAAATGTTCTCATTATGAAATATTTCGTCGCATTGTGAAATTCATCGTTGAGTTGCTTATATGTTGAACTTTTTCTTATTTTTCGGTTGATTCATCAAAAAAAAATTTAAATCTGTAACAATCATTTTTATTCCGAAAAATATTATTGTTCATTATGTCTCCTGTGCCTCATGGAATCATCTCTACAAGATACATTGGGTATTGTGTTGAATGAAACCAATCGAGAACAAATACTAATGAATAACTCTGTTTGTGTGGCACCGACTTGAGTGTGTTTGAGATGAGTTTGACATTTGGCGCTCAATAGATTGACAGAATGCTCCGATTGCAACCGAAATCAACAGACAGATTGCAACCGAAACATATAATTCAAATACACACCACAAACCGGTGCTCATTATTCGCTGAAGAGCATATAAACTACGGGAAAGAAACATTAAATCGGTGGCATCAAAAAGTAAGGAGTAAAAAGTGTCGATTTAATCATCACCAATCAAAAGTCAGCTGTTAATGCACTCGAAAGGTAAATGAATTTGAACTGATTGGATTTTGACTTGGATATAAAATGTGTTGCATTTTTTACCGATTTGACGTTCATGTCTCCACATGTTTTCTTCGGAATCGATTTGTCTTTGTATATTCATTTCAGACATAGTACTGAATAATTGATTGAAATTACAGGAATCGTTCAAAAATGAACAACCAAGTCATTGTAAACCCAGGCTTGTATGATTTGCCGGACGAAGTGTTACTGCCACTGATGATCACTTTAAACGACACAACTTTGCTGGACATGACACGCGTGTGCAAGCGGTTTCAGGCAATTGCAAAAGAAGCATTCGTAAAAAAGTACCATGGAACAACCAAAGATGATTTCTATGGAATGAGAGTCTACTCGGCAAACATGAACGAGCAGCTGAAACAATATCATCCGTTCTTCAGTGCGTTCGGAGAAAATATGATTGCTATCAAAATCCGCTTTCTTGATGACGCTGAAAATGTCAAAGACCATTGGATCAATGGGCTAATTCAACGATATTGCACATCGTTGGCGAAGCTTGTAGTTTATCGTGGTGATGTCGATCTAACGGGAATCATTTTCTGGCTACCGAAACCCACACTGACGCATCTCGCTTTGGAATCGATGTCGGTGTCTAATTACTTATGGGCCGATTATGAATATTCGCAATTGATTTGCTTCCATGCCGTTGAAGCGAATATTGATCAAGAAAAAATCGAAAAATTCATTGGAAACAATCGACAATTGGAAGAGCTACGTCTCGTGGGTGAATTTATCGGTATTGATATTCTCGAAGCAATAAGTGGCAAATTAAACGAGTTGAAACGGCTTACGATTCAATGTTATGAATATCAGGAATCACCGGAAAAATCGATCACCATTGAATTAAGACAGCTGCAAGAGCTCGAAATTCATCTGAATGATGAGACATGTGAGCCGGTGCTACAGTCGATCGCAAAAGGATGCAAAAACGTCGAACAGTTGGAGATTGAAGATGAAGCGGACTGTTTGGTTTGGAACGAAGAGAAAATTGATGCCATTTGTGAATTCGTCAAACTAAAATCACTTCAGCTTTGTGCAACACATCTCACCGTTAAGCATATCAAACGAATCGTACAAAAGTTGCCGAATTTGACATCGCTTACGCTTTCCGATGCGGATGAGATACATGACAAGATACCGCAGATCATTTCGATTTGTTCAAAGTTGAACAGCATTGAATTGCATTCCGAATCACTTGTCATGCCGCATTTAAACTCAGAGTTTCTTTGCGGAATTGCTGAAACAACCGATCGTAACACATCGATGAAAGTAAGTTTTACGCACCAGCTGGTCATTATATTTCTGATAAGAATGATCCATTGCACAATTTCCCATTGAAGGTTACCTTGGAATTTGGCGATAAGCCAAAGAAGATTTTTTTCACTCAAGAAGAAGTGCGTTGTGAAAATGCAATCGTTTATTGGAGTGGCTACGTTCCGATTGACAATCAAACAAAGACGCTATTGGACTTGAGCGATGAATGTCTGATGAAAATCATTGGCTATCTCGACATAAATGCACAAGCTGCACTGTACACCACTTGCACGAAAACTCAACGAGCCATAAAAGACCATCTATCTACCACAGTATTTCATGTGCCCGATTTATCCAACGCCATTGACGAAGATGCTTTTCAATCACTGGCTCCATCCATTCACAAAATTATTGTGATACGTGACCTCAGGTTGGAACAATGGGAACACATAAATTTACATTGCACGAGTTTGATTGAATTGAACATGGCATACTCTCACAATCGCGACTTATATCGATAGAATTTTGTGTGGCCGAAGCTCCAAAAGTTGACGCTAACCAAATGCTCACCAAGAATACTACGTTCCTTCGGCTGCCCAATGCTCACACATCTGGAAGTGCACGAATTTGAAAACACGGCCATCAATTCGGCCAAGGCCTTGTATTTTAGCGATTGGTTCCGACAGTTGACTGTACTGAAGGTAATCATTTAACATTTTGTGTAACAACGGAACAGTTTCAGTTGACAATACATTACAAAATTTCATTTTTCAGTTTGGAACATACAATGAGAGTGCTGAGAAGTTTCTCATGGGTTTGGACGACAATTTTTGTCAACAATTGCAAGAATTTTCCATTGGGAAATCTAGTGCATTGCTAGAGCTTAAAATTTCCAAAGACCGTCTCATGAAACTTGTGAATACGATCATTCGATGTCGAAACCTGACCATCTTGCGTCTCATTATTCCTGATATTGCAAGCACTGGCATGGAATTCTTGTTCGAGAGCTGCACAAAGCTGGCCCATTTCACGATTTGCTGCATTGACGTATATAATTCGGAACATATGTTTCGCAAACTCAAGGAAAGCTGCCAGGATATCAAATCCATTCAAATTGTGATTCGTGACTCCAAAACAAATGTCTTCCAGCGTGCATTTTTACAAGCGATCCTCCAATCGTTTCCACATGTATCACTTTCAGCAGCATGTGTTGATATCAATTTTGTTTTTCCAATCACGCCTGATTTGATCAAAAGCAGTTTACCATAAAAATCAAGTGCCAAGATGTTGTGGTCGTTCCCTTCAAGATCTTTTAAATATACAACCATTTTTTATGCATTTATTTTGAATATAAATTTTTGGAATAAAAATATATTTATGTCACTTGTGTGTTTGTAAAACAAATGGCTTATAACTTTCTTTCAATTTCAAACGATTTTCTTCGGGAAAATGCACATAAAATGATTTGCATATCAAAAACCATACGTTCAAACAGATTGGCATTGAACGAATGCAAACGTTGCAAACGTTGCAAATGAATATTAAAGCGAATGTCAAACCCGCTTCACTAACACATTCAAATCCGCCAATGCAGAGTATTTCTCAACTTCAACATATCCTGTGACTGCGAGAGCTTCATTTTCTTACGCAATTTATATTTCATATTCGACCATTTTCTCAATAATATAATTTTTGAGCAAGTCAACGAATTCATTTAAGTAAGAAGAGTAAAAGTTTTAAATTGAATTGCATAATTCATTCCTTGACTTCATAATTTTAGAATAATTCGGTTGACTGAGCATATTATGAAATTCTAATGGTTCAAAGCTCATGAAAAGTGATAGATCTACCGATACAATAAGACGCATTTCAAATTGACAATATTTGATAATATTTGGTAAGATGAATGATTCTTTTAAAGATATATTTTCAAATAGAAAGTTTTATTATGTGGATAATAATGTGTTAGGCACATTTTGTTGTCGATTACATATGCTTTGAGACATAACCACACAATTCACCATATCGAACGCAATACTATGGTTCTTCTTGAAAAATCCAATTAGAACAAAGCATGTCCATGTATTTTCAGATGGACACTAAAATGGCGAATGATTCCGAGATAACTGTATTCGGCCTATACGATTTTCCAGACGAATTGTTGTTACATGTGATGGGACATTTGAATGATAAAAACCTCCTAAATATGACACAAGTATGCAAACGCTTCAAAGCCATCGCCCAAGATGCATTCGCCAAAAAGTACAACGGAGATACTGGCAAAGACTACTATGCATTGAAGGTTCACTCAGCAAATATGACCGAACAACACAAGCAGTACCGTCCATTCTTCACAAGGTTCGGTGCAAATATGACTGCTCTCGAGATTACGTTTATTGATGAATCTCCTGATGCGAACAGCCATTGGATCATGGGCCTCATTCAACGGTACTGTAAATCTTTGGCCAAGATTACTGTAATTGGTGGTTCGGTCAATTTGAGTGGAATAATCTCACGAATGCCGAAACCAACTCTAACGCATCTTCGATTGGAATGGGTGTCGACAACTAATCATTCATGGTCTGAATATAACCACCCGAAATTGATTTACTTACAAGTTACAACATGGTCATGGGCAATGACACCATTCGAAGTTAAAAATTTCATTGATAACAACAGACAATTGCGAGAAATTCACTTGGATGGTGATTTCTTTGCCATGGACAGCATTCTTCAAATCTGCAGTGGAATATTGAATCAATTGGAATATTTGCGCATTTATAGAAAAAACGATCGTGTATTCGCATTAATGACTACTCCGATATATCTCGAACGATTGAAAAAACTCGAAATTGAATTCTCTGATGCCAGCGGCGAATCATGGCTACGATCGATTGCAATGGGATGTAAAAACATCGAAATCTTGCATCTCGATAACAGTTTGACTGGAAGCATAATTTGGAACGACAAGAAAATTGAACATTTGTGCGAATTTGGTCAATTGAAGTCGCTGAAGCTATGTGCAGTAAATCTGTCTGTCAATTATATCAAGCAAATGGTTCAAAAGCTACCGAACTTATCATCAATAACTCTGTATAATGCCGGTGGCGATATTAACAATAACCTGCTGGAAGTTATTGCGATTTGTTCGAAGTTAACAAATCTGAGTATCAAATTAGATCCTACTTCTACTACAGATTATGTAATTTCCAGAATATTCAACCTTGACTTTAATCTACTCTCTCAAATTGCTGAGGCTACTGAACGTAATCGAGGAATGAAGATTACCCTGAAATCATACCATCAAGAACTGAAGATTGTGTCTACTCAAGGAGAGGTTCGTTATGGAAACTCAACCGTTTTTCATAGTGGCTACGATCCGATTAATAATCAAGCAAAGACGTTATTGGACTTGGGTGATGAATGTCTAGAGAAAATCATTGGCTATCTCGACATGAATGCACAGGCTGCACTGTATAACACATGCACGAAAACTCAACGAGCCATAAAATACCATCTATTAAACACGGTATTCTATGTGCACGTTTATGGCATGCAATATTTGTCCAACACCATCGACGAACATTCCTTTGAATGCCTGGCTCCATCCATTCGTCAAATGATAGTGGAGCGTGATCTCAGCATAGAACAATGGGAGCACTTAAACCTTCATTGCACAAGATTGAATGAATTATGCATGGCATTCCCACAGAATCCAATCATATATCAAACGAGTTTGTTATGGTCGAATCTCCGAAAATTGACGCTTCAATGCTGTTCAGCAACGGATCTGCGCTTTTTCGACTGTCCATTGTTGACGCATTTGGAAGTGTTTTTCATTTCTTCATATTACGAGAATTGGATGCATACTTTGGATTTTACTGATAAATTTCAACACTTGACTGCTCTAAAGGTAACACAGTCTCTTTTTTGTTATAAGTAATCCTGTTCAAAATAATGAATTCTCAAGGTGTTTTTATACTAGCAGATTACAGAAGTTGTATTCTTATTTTTCAGTTCAACTATTACAATGACGATGTTGAACAATTTCTCATGGCACTCAATGAGAGTGCTGTCTACCAGTTGCAGGAGCTATCGTTGAAAGGTTCCACCTTCGCGCTAGAAATCGAACAGGAGCGTGGAGTATCCACAGAATGCTGCATCAAACTTATCAATATCATTTCTCGATACCGAAACCTGACCACCCTGCGCCTCATCATTCCTGCCATTATGCGTACAGATATGCGATTTTTGTTCGAGAGCTGTACAAAATTGGCCCATTTTAGTGTATCCTGTGATGAAAACGCATATTGTTCGCAAGCTATGTTAGGCAGTCTCAAAACCAACTGCAAAGAAATCGAATCTGTTCAAATGGTGTTTGGTGATGGTCGAATTTATGCCTATCATCGAAGAGTGCTAGGAAATATCCTTCGATTGTTCCCAGGTGTATCAATTACAGTAGCATTTCTCGATAGCGGATTGGTTTTTCCACTTTCTGTTGAATTGATTCAAAATTGTTTACGCTTCTAAGCGGTTAATTTTCTTGAAATATTTCTGAAATACATCAATACAAATATTTCTATCTGTTTTTTGAACAATAACAGAGATAATTTAGAATTAATTTAGTATTTCCCATTTCTATGCAACACATTTGTAATCATTTAAATAAAATGAAATCTATTTGCGAACCAAATACACCGAAGAAACAAATATGCAATTATCATCATCATAAAAAATCACCAATCAGATATCTATGGGTGAGATTGAGAGTGGAGTATGTTTTTTCTTCGATTTTTATTTTTGAAAAGGCGAGTATGTTTTCTGATGATTCTGTTGGCGTTAAAGTAGAGTATGTTGTAGTACCGTCTAGCCTCCGCGGTCTTCATGGTTTTCGCGCAACTGATAAAAGATAACAACATAGTGTCTTCGGCAAAGTTGTAGTACTTGAGGTCTTCTATAACTAAGCTGAAGAAAGTTATCTCTTATCTCTTATCAGTTGCGCGCAAATCGCGCACATAAAAAAGCAAATTTTATATAGAACTTTTTTTTTCTTATCATTTTTCGCGCTTTTCGCGGAACTGATAAGAGATAAGAGATAACTGTCTTCAGCGATGTTATAGAAGACCTCGAGTGCTACAACTTTGCCGAAGACACCAAGTTGTTATCTCTTATCAGTTCCGCGGAAACCGTGAAAAACCGCGAGGACCCGCTAAAAACGAACATACTCGCTTTTAACCATTTTTAAGTCGACAGAAACTTGCTCTTCTCTTTCGTAACAAAGTCAATCAAACATACACTACTCTCAATCTCACCCATAGATATCATAGTCCAAATTCAAAAATTCAAACAGCATTGGCATTGAACGAATGCAAACGGGTGAGTATTGAAGCGATTGAACGTGTTATGTCAAACACACGTCATCAAGACATTCAACGACTTTATTTCAAAGCGTCTCACAACCCCAAACATAGCCGGTGGTACTGAGATTTGCATTATACACGAAATTATTCCGATTCGGATCATTTTCCAATTAGATATTTTTAGTGCTAAAGTCAGAGACTTGATTGCAGTAAAAAGAGTGGCAAAACTTCAGACTAATTAGGTTGATTTGTTTGTGATAGTGAAATGATTGGTTGACTTCGCGCACTGTGAAATTCCGATGGTTTGACGTTTGTCCAAAGCGGTCACAATTTTGCTGATACATTAGAAAGCATTGAAATCCACAGCATCGAAGGTAAGACGAACAAATTGAGCTGATTTTTTTTCATAATAAAATATTTTCAATAAAAGATTTGTTATGTGTAAAAAATACCTGAAAGGGTTTGTTTCATTGTTGGCTCCGTTCTAAAACATAACCACAATTTTTCGCCTTGTCATTGGCGCATTATGCTTATGTTCCATACAATTGCTACTAAATTCCGAATTCTACATTGGATTTTAGATGACAACCAAAATGAAAGTTGATTTCGTACCAAATGCATTTGGTCTGTACGATTTGCCGGATGAAATTCTACTGCCAATGATGATTCATTTGGATGACTCGACTCTGTTCAACATGACGCTCGTGTGCCATCGATTCCGAGCCATTGCCAAAGAGGCATTCAGCAAAAAGTATACCGGCGATGGGGACAAATTCTTCAATTTGGAAGTCAATGGCACGAATGCGATTGCAGACAAGACAGAATATCACCCGTTTTTTGCCACTTTCGGAGAGAATATGGCCGCAATTCACATCAATTATTCTGATCCACCAGGCACAACGGTCGACCGTAATCACTGGCTCATTGATGAGATACAAAATTGCTGTACAACGTTGACCCATTTTTGCATTGTTAGAGGAGGAAAGGTCAACTTGACCGAGTTCATTCGTTGGGTACCATCACTGTCTCACCTGTATTTGGAGAACATGACGTTGCTAAGTCAATCCTGGTCTCGATTCACCTATCCTCGACTGGTTTGCTTTCATATGTCCGATGTAGATTGGGAGGAAAAGCATTTGATTCAGTTCATCAGCAAAAATCCCCAATTGGAAGAACTTAACATATCAGATAATTTTATGGAGACGAACATGGATTTCGTTTATGCATTCGCCAAGTTACCGAAATTAAAATCACTGCGTCTCAATTTCCATGGGTCCGAAGATCTTGAGGAACAATCGAGCTTAATTAAAATGGACAGTTTAACAGCGTTTCAGATATTTACCAGTGATGCATCATGTATGCAGATTTTGAAAGCGATGAAACCGTGTCAAAATCTGGTGAAAATCGACATGCGGGCGTTCGGATCATGGGATGAAAGTGTTTTCATCACAATTTGCCAATTTAAAAAATTGGAATCGCTCAAAATATCCGCGTACGATTTAAAACTGAAACATTTGAAGCAAATTGTCGAACAGTTGCCAAACTTATCAAAGCTGAAATTGGCTGATATTGAAGATGACGATGACTCCGAAATTTACGACAATTTGTTGCAAACCATCTGGATGTGCATAAAATTGTCACAACTGGAGATTAGCTTCGACGATGATGATGATTGGCCTGAGTTCGACTATCATTTCATCGCTGAGTTGGCCGAAATCACTAAGCGCAATTCGTTGAAAATCACACTGGAATCGTTCAACACTCCGTCAAATCGATTGACTTCGCACAATGGTGAAGTCCGACATAGGGACGCAGTTTTGTTTTGGAGTGGCTATGATCCGATTCACAGCCATTCAAGAGCCAATTTGCTGGATTTGAATGAGAAATGCCTCCAGAAAATCATTTCGCTGTTGAACATCACCGATCAGAGCGCTTTGTTCAACACCTGCACAAGAACACAACAGGCGGTGAAGAACATCGTTTTGCAAAGCACCCTCCAAGTGTCACTTCGCCTGATGAGTATGAGATCCCTCAAAGAGGATGTATTTCAAACGTTGGGACAGTACATTCATCGCGTTCGAGTTAAGGAAGGCTTCAAGCGAGTGGACCAGGAAGCAACGTACTATATCAGTGCATTCGAGTTGTACAAGCACCTCAATCAATACTGCTCGAACTTGGTCGAATTGAACGCAGAAAATATCGATGAACACATCTTCGATCTATTTAATCATCCATGGCCGAACGTAAACAAAATCAAAATTACATCATGCAATTCAGAAGGATATGAAAATTTGTGCGGGTTCGATTGTCCGAAGTTGACGCATTTGGAGATTGGTTACATCGAGCTGGACGCTCATCCCATGCGATTGGATCACGAGAATTGCTTCAAACATTTGACCGTGTTGAAGGTGAGTGAACCTGAACAAAAACTAACTTGTTTATTTGTCCCAGTCATTGGTAAAAGCATAATATGAGCATTGAATGTTCGATTTTCAGTTTGGTTGCTACAACGACAGCGTCGACAGTTTCCTGATGGGCTTAGATGATGACATTTGTCAGCAAATGCAAGAACTACAAGCTAGCAATATCACCAGCGGCTATAAGTCCAAGAACAAGAAAGATGAAGAGGATGAAGACTCAGATGGCTCTATTCCATACTATCGTAGGGTGCGAGGTCCATCGAATCAACACTTGGTTCGTCTCGTCACACGGTTTAGAAACCTATCCACATTACGACTTCTCGTTCGCGGCGTTGAAAAGAATAACACTCAGCTCATATTCGAAAATTGCGCAAAATTAGTTCATTTATCAATCTGCTGCAATGAAAGCTCAGCAGCTATGTTTGGACAAATTAAGAAGAATTGCAAACAAATCGAATCGATTGGAATAGTCAGTGAGCCAAAAAGTAATGCATTCGAACGTAATTTCTTGAAGAAAGTCTACGGACTCTTCCCGAAAGGTGTTGTCGAACTATTTTACAGTGATGGCAAAACGATATTCCCAATCACCGTCGATCTAACGGCAGATATCCCGTCGTCACTTAATTTTTCCTATTGAAATGCTCAGCTATTCTAAATAGAATCGATATGCGAATGCGAGAAATAAAAATCCATAGAAACATGTTTCATAAAATAAGATTATATCTAAAATAAGCGGCGACGTTCAGTTGAGACAATGTATACTCAGAAGGATTTTTTTATTGTTAAAGTCTAAATTCAAATTCTTTCATGTGATCATTAATAAAAGACAAATAAGTTTGCTTAAACTAGATAAAGAAATACTGCGCAGAGCAGCTCATTCGAAATATGTTGTTTTCAATACATTGTTAAAGGAATTGAACATGATTGAAAATCAACACTTCCTTAAAGATAATTAAATGAAAATACGCTGGAATTTCAAACTAAAACGTATTGACTTTTCATTCATCAATGATTTTTCAGCAGATAAAATGACATCATTTGTGCTTCAATTCAAAAGAGTATTCAAAATGTGTACCTATTTTATTTTGAGTTTTTGATTTCTTTTCGCACTCAATTCAATCGGCTTCGATCGAAAAATGCGCTTGTATACAACGAATTTATTTGAACGTTTTGGCATTGAACGGATCAAATGGGTGAGTATGCATGTGATTGAACGCATTGTGTTAAACACGATTCAAGAACATACGAATGATTCATCATAAATCAAATTGCAACTGCAATATAGCATTGTCAGCAAAACTACGAGTTGAATTTTTGTTTTGGACTTGACTATTTTCTAATTTGATATTTCTGGCACAAGTGACTCTAATGAGTTAGAACGGATACGCATTTTGCATCAGTTTATTAAATCTATCGATCGATTTCATGATATTGGGTTGATTTGCTGTGATCGTACATTGAGAGAAATCCATTATTCGACATTTGAGGAAAATAAGCAAAACTATCATCGATACACAGTAGAACCGGTTGAAATTCAGTACATCAAACGTAAGACAAAATGAGTAATTGATATTTTTCATGAACAAATCACATTCCACCGAGCTGGATATTGCTTGAGAAAGATCTGTGAACCTAATCGTTTGCGTTATATTTCAGATGGACACCAAAATGGATATCGATTCTGAGGGAAATGTCTCTGGTCTGTTTGATTTCCCAAACGAAGTATTACTGCCGCTGATGAGCCATCTGAATGACACAACTCTTTGGAATATGACACGTGTTTGCAAGCGTTTTAAAGCCATCGCCAAAGAAGCATTCGCCAAAAAATACAACGGAGCTACTGGCAAAGACTACTATGCATTAGAGGTTTATCCAGCAAACATGACCGAACAACACAAGCAGTACCGTCCATTCTTCACGATATTCGGTGAAAATATGATTGCTGTTAAGATCAAGTTTATCGATAAATCTCCTGTTGCGAACAGCCATTGGATCATGGGCCTCATTCAACGTTACTGCACGACTTTGGTCAAGATTATGATTACTGGTACTGATGAATATGATATTGATTTGAGCACAACAATCGTACGAATGAAAACAAGACTTACGCATCTTCACTTGGTAGATTTGTCGATCTACAATTATTCATGGATTGAACATAACTATCCAAACCTAATCGAACTTTATGCAGACAACTTCAAAGCAAATCAAATTGAGAGATTTATTGATAACAACAGACAATTGCAAAAACTTTGTTTGACCGGCCTTTTCTACGCTACGAAAGCTCTCCATTCATTCAGTGGGAAATTGGATCAATTGATGAAATTGCAAATTCAATGTTACGCAGATCTAGAATATTCTGATACGACGACTCCCATTGAATTGTGCAGCTTAGAAGCACTTTTTGTTTTTTTCCGCGATGAACCCCACACACCTTTGCTTCGATCCATTGCAGAAGGATGCAAAAATATCGTAGTATTGAAAATTGATAATGCACACTTTGATATTTATTGGAACGATGAGATGATCGATGCCATGTGCGGCTTTGGCCAATTGAAATCGCTCTCTTTGTGTGCAACAACTCTGACAGCCAAGCATATCAAACAGATGATCCAACAGCTATCGAACTTATCGTCGTTATCGCTAGATCGGGCTAGAATTGATGATTACGATCTGCTTGTGGTCATTTCAATTTGTTCGCAGCTAACAGAACTGGAAATTATTGTCGATTATCGTGCATCCATCAATAAAAAGTGGCCCCTTGACTTTAACCTCCTCGTTCAAATCGCTGAAATTACTGCGCGTAATCGAGTTATGGTGAAATTGCGACCTTGCTGTAATTGTGAGGAGACTGTTTTCACTCAAGGAGAGGTGCGTCGTGGAAATTCAATCGTTTACTGGAGTGGCTACGACCCGATGGACAATCAAACAAAGCTTACACTATTGGACTTGCGTGACGAATGCCTGGAGGAAATCATTAGCTATCTCGACATGGATGCACAGGCTGCACTGTACAATACATGCACACAAACACAAAAAGCCGTGAAAGTTCATCTATCAAATTCACCTATTATATTCCATGTGTCTTCGTCCAATTACGTCGATGAGCATGATTTTCAGTCTTTGGCTCCATCCATTCGTCAAATGATTGTGATGCATAAGCTCAGCTTTGAACATTGGAAACTCATCAATCGATACTGCACAAATTTGATTGAACTCAACATGGCAGTTGTTCAGAAGCACGACATCTATCGAATCAGTTTTTCATGGCCCAAACTCGAAAAATTGATGTTCATCGAATGCACACCAAGAGCTCTGCGTTCTTTTGAGTGCCCCATGCTGACATATCTGAAAGTACACCAATTAAAAGACGAAATGCGCGACACCGCTTTCGCACACACCGTGAATTTTCATGATTTGTTCCGACAGCTGTCTGTGTTTAAGGTAATTAGATCGATTATTATTTTCACATCGTTATAAATATTTGCTAGTCCAGTTATGTGATCATTAATCGCTGTTAATTTTTCATCCTACAGTTTGGTTGTTACAACGATAGCGTTGAAACATTTCTCAGGGAATTGAGTGATAGCGTATGTCATCAGTTGCAGGAACTATCAGTGGAAAATATGGTTATCAATACAGATCGAGAATTCGTCAATAACATCACCAATCAACAACTTATGAAGCTTGTCAGCATCGCTTCCCGTTGCCACAACGTGACCACTCTATGTCTCATCATTCCTGGTATCGAAAATGCTTATGGGTACTTATTTGAACACTGCACAAAAATTGTCAATTTGGTTGTCCATTCTACTAGCTATAATAATCGTATGATAAATATGCTTCGCAGTGTCAAAGCAAACTGCATTGACATCAAGTCAATTCAGATAGCAATCAGCGATAATAAATGTGACGTTTTTCATCGATCATCCCTACAATACATCCTTCAAATGTTCCCGGATGTATCGATTACATTGGCCATTTCCATTTATCCTCAATATTACGGCGAAGACAAGGTTTATAACAGATTCGTTTTTCCAGTCACCGCTGAATTTGTCAAAAATAGCGTCAGTATGAACTGGTTAAAAACATAAGCCATACCTTGAAGTCTAAGGATCGGTTTATCATTTTGAGGGAAAAAAAACTTCCTAACCGAATCGTCGTTACTGCTATCGCAGCATATCTCTTTTGAATTCCATACAATTATTTGATACAACTTTGTTAAACGTATTTCTCTTTCTTCGTAACAAAAAAGAATAGGATTTATTTTTAAGATTCAACAAAACATATTGAAAACATGAAGAAAAATAATTCAATATCAATCAAATGGAAAGACTCAACAATTCGTAACCCATAAAAAATACAATTCGACGACATCAATCTCGATCAAATCATTCATTATTTTTAAAACTTGAGAAAAAAAAACATCGACAGTAAGCGAAGACTTTTGGTCAAAATAGTTTTCATATTTATTGAATATCAATCTCATATTTTTCTAAAGTGAACGTGAAAAAAAAAACTTAGTTCGAACTTTTTCATCCAAACAATGCGCAATAATCTGCCAATATTAAGTGGTAAACTATTCAACTTTTTCGCAATAGTTCATGATTCATTTATCCAAAGTTTTCAAGACTCAGCTGTAACTTGGTCAAACCAATGAGATCCATTGAATGAAACACAAAGTCAAAGTTGCAAAAATGTATCAGAAAAGAATCCTAAACAAAAAAAAATTGTAAAAAAACACACATACAACATTTCCGTTTATCAAAACATTTTATGTAACTCTTCAAATGAATACAATAAAAATTCTAGTGAATAAAATGCCAATAAGCTGATCCACTTGAGTTTTCACATTATTTCTTCTCATCTGTTTTCTCTGCACTTTTTTCTTCAGTTTTTTCTTCAGTTTCTTCTATAGCTGCTTCTTCTTTCTCCTCATCGCTGGTTTTTCCAACGGTCAATCGAGCAGGTCCAGTTGGTTGAATTTGAATGTGTCGTACAATAGCTCCTTCGGTGGTTTCGGATTTCGGACATTTGATCGTCAACAATCCATCGGATGATAGATTTGAAATGACTTGCTCTGGCTTGAATCCTTTCGGCAAAACATATCGTCGAATGATGTGTCTGGAAACGGATCCGACTTCATCTTTCTTTTCCTCATGTTTGGCATCAATGATGATCGAATTGTCGACGGCTTTTACGGTGATTTCCTCCGGTTTGAAGTGTTCAGCGTCAAGTTTTACTTCAAAACCATCCTTGCCGATGTGCAGCTGATGGGCCAGTTGCGACTTCAAATGTCCGAGTGGAGTCCGAAGCGATCGCCAAAGTGAACGTTCCGCTGGTGTTGTCCACAAATCCCTTAGATATAATTCCAAACCAAGGAGATCGTGGTGGTACGGTAGAAAATCGTCGAAAATGTATGGAATAAGCGACATTGTTCACACTTTAATTTCAACTATCACTTGTGATTGCTCGTAAATAGCTTTGAAAGCTTTGATTTATGTTAACTTTGTTGCGATTTGCATTCAACTGACGCACAGTGCGATGCGGTGTCGTATTTATACGCCGCTTGCTATCGTCAATTGAATAGCATTTTGGCATTCTAGAAATTTTGTGAATTTTTCGTCAACAACCCGGACGCAATGCAATATTTTTGAACTTTGTTTACATTCCGTATCACTTTCATTGTTTTGGTTGTCGTGTTGATAAAAATTCACGCTTGTTTGGCTCAGGCCGTTATCGTTTCATTTCAAGTAGGGAGCAACGGTAAAGTGGAATAAGGATGCATGTGTTTATTGAATAACTCTCAAACAGCTGACGCAAAACCGCAAACATAAAGACATTTTGAACCAATGTACGAAAATTTGGCAAAACATATGCACCAAAAAAATTGTTGACCGAAGACTGTGGAACATTCGAAAATGAAAAATATTTTTCTTCTTATCCGAATTCCAATCGTATTACAAAGTCTAATTTTAGACTTATTGATCTTGAAAACTTTGTAAATATTTATTTGTAAATGGCTTTTTTTCGACTTCAATGATTCAATCAACGTGTATCTTCTAGAATCGCGATGCATCAAATGTCTGAATGATACAGAAATAAAGCGACATTTCGGAGTGACTCATCGCGTACGCCACATCATCAGTATTTTGAATCGGTTCTGCCGATGAATCCGCGTAAATAATATTCTAAAATGTAGCGATGCGTATAAATAAGCCATGTAGTAACGCACGACTCGTCAGTTTTATACGAATCGTTAACGAAACGCCATTATTTCCTCTCAAATTTCAAAGTGTAAAGTGAAATTAAAGTAAACTTTGAAAAAATGTCTCTATTGCCACATATTTTTGACGACGTTCATCCATCTTGTAATCGTCCAGGCTGCCATCGTTCACCATTATCGCTTGACTGGTGGTTCAAACCAACCGATTTTCCAGCTTTGCGATCGGCATTAGGCAGTCCTGCCGCTATTTTGAACCAACATTTTCCCGATTTTAGCAAATTGGAACATGGAGCTAAAATGGACAAGGACGGCTTTCAAGTGTGTGTTGATGTTCAACATTTTCTACCCAAAGAAATTGAAGTGAAAACTGAGAATAACACCGTTATTGTTCATGCAAAGCACGAGGAAAAAGAAGATGATCATGGTTACATTTCACGCGAATTCACCCGACGCTATACGCTGCCACAAGAATTCAAGATTGAAGATGTAACGTCAACTCTTTCATCGGATGGCATTTTAACGATCACAGCACCATCACCAACACCGGCCGTTGAAGGCAAAGTTCACCATATTCCAATCCAACAAACGGGACCAGCTCACTTGAATGTCGCCAGCAACGAAGAAGTGAAAGACGAAGAAAAATAATTATAATTTGTTTATGTGAAGAAAGAAAGTGCATTTAATGGTTCCAAAAAGGAAGAAAGATCTGGATTTTTCTGAATTTCGATGATCTAAGTCTATAGTTATTTATTGAGTTTTCTATTTGATAAAATGTGATAAAAACTAAGAGCAAATTTTGAAATTCATTAAAAAAAAATAATAAAAACATGGCCTTTTGGTTTTATTTTTTGAAGTTAAAACAATTTTACGCTACTTTCATTCTAAGAAATAGAAAATAAAGTTGTTTTGTTCAATATTCTACAAAACAAGTCGTAAAAAGAAAAATGTGTCAATCTTTTTGAGTGGGAATCCATGCGCTATGGAAAGAAATCTAAAGATCACAATTATTTTTAGACTATTTTTCAATATTCAATGTCACAATTCCACTGGCAGCCAAACTTGGCCAATAAAATGTACACAAACATGCTATAAATAAAGCTGCAACGGATTTTTATAATCGCAGACCAGACGGCTCCAAGACTACCGTTAAAAATATCAACACTTGTTCATGCTTTCGTCATTTATAGTAAAAGTGTATAATATACTGTTGTATGCTGTTGACTGAAATGGAGTTATAATACAAAACAAAGTAAACAAAATTTTCACGAAAAAGACGGATTATTTTTGTCGCTGCTCATCCGAAACTGACTACCCAATAAAGAGAGCGAAGTTTTGGTTTTTGAGCCATATTTAAATCTTATTTCCAGGAAAATACACCATTAGGTGCTTGTATATGCAGTCACTGAAAGCGCCTTTTTTCACATGTTGAGCCAAAGATTGGTTTAGTTGCTACGCTTATCATTTGCGAACAACTGAGCGAAGTGTTTGAATTTTCATAGGAATTATTTAGGTATATTTTCCTTGAAATTCATTGTCGCCAGATGTATACGTTTGCATCCAAATATATTGCAAATATTCTAATGCCGTATCCGTTTATATGCACAGGTATAAGTGGTACTGATTTTTGTTCGATGTTTGTCGATGTTTTATCTCGAAAAAAAATGGTACAAAACACCAAGCAACTGATAATTTGGAGTCAGTCGATTGTTGGTTGGTCAAGTCATGATTTATATGCGCTGTGATATTGTTAAAGTTGCAACTTTGCATTTTATTTTCAGTTTAGCATCAAGTCAAAGATTTATATCAATTTAAAGTAAGTACTCTGCAAAAGTATCTCAAGATGGAGCGAATTAATTTCAAATTTAGTTAGAAAATCAGTAATAAATGTCTTACATACCTATGATAATAATGATAACAATTTTTAGTCAAACTAAAATGAATATTGCAAACAATTTTTTAGGCTTTAACACCAATTTCAATTTTATTCAACAGAAATCATGGATAGAATGATGAAAATCATTGAAATGAATGTCGATTGTCTTGAAAAAGTATTGGAATGTTTGAACTTTATTGATCTTCTAAACGCAGCTGATTCCAACAAACAATTAAACCACGCCGCCACACTCATATTTAATCGCAAGTATGGTAAAAAGAAGTTTATATTTGGTGAGACTCGTTTATCGCCAAAGCCATTGCTTCAAAGTGGCAAGTACTTCATCGACATCAATGATTTAAGGACTGGTTTAAAGTGTTTACGCTGTTTTGGTGCTCAAATTTCTGAAATGGTCTTGTACAGATTCCAAGAGGATGTATCTGAATTTGATCTTCACATTATTGCTTATATAAATGAATACTGCGCCGAGGCCATAACCCGTATTGGTGTGAGAAATTGTTCAGAAGATGGTTTAAAATATTTCACGACGCCATTTACCAAAGTTGAAGACGTTTATTTGCAAAGTTGTTCGGCTGAAAAAGAATGGATCAAAAGAGTATTCCCTAAGGTGCGAGAGCTCAAGCTCTGTCCCAGCATGTGCTCCACACTATTATACAATGGATGTACAGCCAGTCATTTCCCTCGCCTGGAACATTTGGAGATAAGTTCGAGCACAACAAGAGAAAACATTGCATGCAGAAAAAATGTGATGGCCACACTACGCTTGAATCCACAGCTGAAGACTTTGCGTGTAAGACAATTGTGCACGCCAATCGATTTGACATTTTTTCAGGAATCAAGTGGATTCTTGCAAAATCTTGAGAATCTCGAACTCACGTTTAGTTTTCATTTCTTCCATAATTTCAACGGTGCAATGGTGCATCTGAAGAGCGTAAAACATTTGGAAATTTATGGTTTTGATATTCCTGAAGTGCATCCTATCATTCCATTCTCATTCGACAAACTGGAATCGTTATCACTTTCGTCATACGGGCCATTGGATGAACGCTTTTATGAATTTATCGAAAAACATCCATCGATTAAGGAATTGAAAATCACAAATCGGTTTCCCAACGAAGAAGCTTTACATCGATGGAGAGGCATCGCAAAAGTTCTGCCTTTGCTGCAGTCGGAGATGGACTTTTCTTGGATCAAATTTTCCGTTGAAGAAGCACTTGATTTTATGCAGATGTTCAAGTCATTGAAATCGTTCCGTTTCGGACTCAACCAACACTCTGACTATCAACATTTACAGATGCGACTGAATGTTGGCTGGCTGGTGTCGATCAATGAATATAACATAGTTCAGTTGGAACGACGTATTTTAAAAATTTAGGGAAAATAACTTGCTTTTGTTTGCAATAGGGTTTCTGGAAGGAAGTGTGAATAGCTTTGAAATATCTTAATTATGCATACACCGTATATGCTTGAAAAATAAGTATGATCATTGAAATATACGTGAAAATATTAGTTTGTGAATACACAGTCTGTCACTCTCCAAATGAGCAAACAAAAAAATGCTATGGGTTGATATTTTAAGCAAGATTTTGGGAATTATAACAGATTGATCTACCTTCTATCACTCGTTCGATTTTCCGAACATCTTGTATCAACACTCTGTAAAAAATGAGTTAAACACCTGCATTTACATTTCGAATCATTGTTTTTTTTTTACTTTAATCGCATCGGCAAAAAAGGTCGGATTTTCCATAAAACTATAATTTAGGTGTGACTTTCTTGGAATTCATACTTATGCGTCTAGCAATTTTGCAAGTGATCTAATGGTGTCTCTTTTTATGTATGGGTGAAAAAGGCTCGTTATTTATCCAATTTTTGCAGATGATTTTTTGTGCCATAGTGTATGACGAAAAAGGTACAAGAGACCAAACATCTGGAGAACGATACTCATTTGATTGTTGTTGGCAGTTCGAGATTCTCGAATCGAGAAGTAATTTGCATCACCTGTGTTTCAATTAATAACTTGCATTCGATCGAATAATAGCACTTTGTTTCTAGTTTAACCTAAGTTATAAGACGGTCTAAGTGAATATCAATTGGTTGTTCACACAAAAGTAGCATTGAAGTCTACGGATATATAAATTTAAAGTAAGTTTGAATCAAAAATTGCGAGATGTTTGGATTTCATTTTTAGTTTAGCAAAAAAGTGTTTGAGTAAAGAACCGTCTTTTATCATCTCTATTCTTACCGTAATTTGTTGTGATTTTTTCCGAAACAATATTTTTAATGATTGTATTGATTGCAATATTTTAACGAAAGTAGAAAATTATAGAACATTAATTCGAAGTTTAATTTGCATAACAGGAATCATGAATGGAACCACGAAAATAACGGATCTAAATATTGACTGTCTTGAAGCGGTTTTAAAGCATTTGGAATTCACTGATCTTCTGAATGTGGCTTGTTCCAATGCTCACCTACGACATGGAGTCAACATTGTCTTTGTACAAAAATACGGTCGAAAGGCCGTTCAGTTTGTCGATATACGTTTGTCTCAAGATAGACTGTTTGCAATCAAAGAGAATGTCATTGAAATCAACGATTTAAGAACTGCTTTACAATTTCTACGCGGTTTTGGATGCTCAATATCTGAAATCGAATTCGTCGGCAAAGAAAAGTATTTTCGTTTTTATCAATGCATTATTCATCACATTAACGAGTTTTGTGCTGGAATTCTAACCGAAATTGAAATAAAAGTATTGCATGAGTTGAACCAATTTAAGAATCCGTTTGGCAGAGTTGAAAAGATTGTCATCAAGGGTTGTTGTCCAAAGGATGGTGAATGCCTCCTTAGACTATTCCCAAACATGTGTGAACTAAAAATACATTCTTATGGGCGGTCCTTGTTGCTTCAAGATGGGTTCACTGCACGCCATTACCCACATTTGCAACATTTGGATTTGACTCTTTGTTTGTTGCAAGGAAATAAACCACTCAGACAGTATATTACCGATACATTACTGCTGAATCCACAGTTGACATTTTTACGGATGAAGATATACGGAACTTTTCTAGCCGTCGATGTAAATTCTCTTCAAAGTGTTAATGAAAGTTTGCAACAACTCGAAAATCTTGAATTAATTGTAAATCAGAATTTTTTCAGTAATTTTAACGGCAAAACGATTCGCTTGAAAAACTTGAAGCATTTGTATATTGAGTGGCTTGTTCAGGTTGAACTGCCAAACTTTTATTTGAGCTCATTTTCATTTGATCGACTAGAGACGCTGTATTTGTATTGTTGGTGTACAGAGCTCGATAGTCGATTTGCTGAATTTATTGAAAAGTATCCATCAATGAAAACGATTACAATCAAAACAAGAATTTGCACTTCAGATGCATTGGTGATCTTTTCGACGAACTATCAACGCTTTCAGAAAATTTTAAATCGAGAAAAATGGCTGTCATCGATCGACCAAAACGGCATTGTTAAATTAGAACGGAGAAACTAACGTGTATTGGATAACATTGAATTTTTAATTTTAAAAAAAAATGGTTTTGGTTCACTTCAGAGTTTGATTAATTTTAACACACACTTTGTTATATCTTCTCTGCAATATTTAACCCAATAGCTCAAATGTAATTAAGGATTTCTTGATTTCTGATAAATTAAAAACTTTAATAAAAAACAAACAAAGCATGATTTTTTAAATATCTTTTTTTTCAAGTTGAAGCAAATGTTTGAGGTATGGTTTTATCAAGACCATCTTATTGAAATATTCGTTTTCGGATATCTAAGCAGCGCAGATACCGCATGCTCGAATTTAAGTCCAACCTATCGATGCCGCAAGTTGCTATATAACGTGTATTGCTGCACTCTACCGCGGTCGGTAGGCTCATTATCAGCAACGGGCAACAGCACACATATTGCGAGTACGAAGAGTAACGACTCGATTTAGACATCCAACTTATTTCATATTTTAAAACAAAAAATTCATTTAATCGCTGCTGAATACTTGTAACTTCTTCTGTAGATGATGGAAAATAATTAAGGTGAGAATTACATTTCTCGGGGAATGCGTGCCTACTTTACGGTTAGCCGTGTGTTGCTCGTACAATGCGCACACAAAAATGGACAGACTTAAATACTTAAATTGAAATGTTATGCGTGTATATACAGAAGCTTAAAATTTGTTTAATTTTCCACGAAATGCAGATCATCACGGTTAATCCTCAACTGCATAAGCCCACACTTTGGCGGGCATCATTTAAACGCCTGTATAATGTGAACCGTGAGTCGGATCACATTGCTTCAAGGGGAATTTTTATTTGTCAACGTTTTTTCTTCATTTTTGTCTTTGGCGCTATTTGTCTATGTGGTACGATTGGTGAGTTATAAACAAAAATGACAAAATAAATTATTAGGTTTCCAAATTAGACAAATTTTTGACACTTTTAAACAATGGATTTCATTGTTCTCTGATTTATTTCTATCGCATTTTCTGACTAAACCATGAGAAATCTAGGATTATGAATATTTTTTTCGTTATCTATGGCCGAAATTCAACCAAGTACCAGTACTGGGAGTCCTGGGAAAAATTCATGCAGTTGAGGGTTAATATTCTTGGTTCAAACAGTTATCCATTATGAAACGACCACGATTTGTGTTTTATGGTGAGCACTTTTTGAAATAAGATTATTGTTTAAACGAAAATAGGTCGGAGGTCTAAGTTAAGAACAGAGGATTCCAAGAACCTTAGTATGCTAATGGCTAAGAATTTTGCTGGCATAATTACACTCTTTAACGTTAAAATGGGATACTTTTGAGCATATTTCATCAGTTTGGTTCCAACACCGGTTAACTGCAAAAGTCACACAAATACCACACCACTTTTGTAAAATAATATTGAACCAAAGCAATATTTAGTTCATTTTGACTTTGGCTAAGTTTTTGTATTCTTCAGAAGTTGCATTTTTGGCTCTGAAACATTGAAAGTGTTTGATTTTAACAATTAAGATGAGCGGTTTTTGTGAAGAAATTCTGACAACAGAAAAAGCCACAACAGATATTAAATTGACACCTAGACGAAATCGTCCATTGTCATATTGGCTGCGGTACGAGCTCAATTCAGATTGTCTTCTGGGGGTGTTCCAGTATTTGAGCTACAACGATTTAATGACGGTGTGTCAGTTAGATGATGAAAATGATCAATTTTTTACATCTTTGATAAATAGTGACATCATCAGCAAAGTGTTAGTACCTATTGAGATTACCGATGACATATTTCAAGAGGGATGCCCAGCAGAAACGAGTTTAAAAACATTTGGCAAATCAATCAAACGATTACAAATATTCATGACATCTGCAAATTTCAACGACATCGTAAAAATGTTCATCGGATACTGTTCTCCAGATCGTATCAATGAACTTCAAATGAAAATGGGTAACATAAGAAGTAAATCATACAACAAGGACATACCAGGTGATACAGATTGGGAACAGATGCATCTAGCCATCCCATATTTCCGTGGCATCAAACATTTACACATTGATGGTATATTTCACACTCGTACTATTAGTGATTTCTGCGTATTTTTGATAAACAAAACCGAAAATCTGGAAATGTTGAGATTGGTTAATTTTAGGTGGCATAATCATATCGATGAAATCACAGTCGAAAGAACCAAATTGAAAGAACTACATATGAATGATGTATCTGGAGCGGAAAATGAGCTTCTTTTTAGCCTCATAAAAAAATCACCTCTGTTGGAAGTATTTACATTTAAAAGTTTTTCAAACTTTATTCCGATATATGGCGATACATTGGCTAAATGCTGTCCAAAACTACGATACTTCAACGATGTAACCAACGGTCATCAGAATGATGTGAACTATTACAATTTTCTGCAACATTTCCCTCATTTGAAAGACGTAACCATTTCATTGAAACCATGGGGAGCTAGTGAGATTCAAAATATACCAGAAATATTGATCAACATGAGCTCGGTCAATAAATTGACCGTATTTATGAATAAAAAATGTCGAGCAGTTTTTACGGGCATTGAGCAAGATGGGTATTTAAAGGGATCGACGAAGTTTACCGATGCAGAATTCAAGATTAATAAAATATCGAGCTTTGGAAAATGGACAATGCTTTTACAAAGTTGTCGGTCATCGTTAGAAGGAGTTCGTAGAATTAACTTGTCGGGTGCAACAGTATACAATATTCCTGAAATAATTCAACACACACCGCGCATTCAAGAAGTCAGTATTTATACATCAAGTTTATATCAACCACCAGTTGAAATACGTAAAATCAGACGAATCGTTAGAACAATTGTAGAAAAACGATGCTACGGAAGCCAGTACGATAGAGTTCACTTTGTTGTGAACCCACATCAACTAAAAGACTTTAAGGTGCTTAAGAATATCGATCAAATTATTTCATTTACAGTAGAGGAAAAGTCAAATGTAGAACATTGTTACGATAATTTTATTTGATTTTGACGAAACTTAAAAATAAAAAAATAAAAGCAAAAATGGATTTTCATTTCAAAATAAATATTCGCTTTAGAAAAATCATATGATAAAATTGAAACAGAAATACCATCCAGTAGCATCGTTTATCTTGGTTTCGAAATGGAAATTCTATCAAATGACATCGTCTTCTTAGTCAAATTTCGATCGATTTCCATTGAAACACCCAGAGTAAATCCTGCCTGTACAAGCTGAACATGAAAGTCGTTGGTTTATGATATTCTGTGTCTGTGTTTACTCCGATTTTTCGCCGAAAAGATTTTAGAAAAAGGTAAAGAGTAATCAATTTGACACTGTACAGTATTTAGTTGTATGCAAAACAATCATGTAATCAAATATTTGTTTATTTGACATCAGTCAGTTGAAAGGCAACATTATTCACATCCCAACTGAATAGGAATTATGATAGGAATTCAAATTATAATTATAATGAATTAAACAATAACAGGTGATCGATTGGGAAAATTAAATGGTAGAAAAATGAGAAGAATGCCAAGCGAAAAATGTTGACAACAAGAAAAAAATTTGTTCATTCTCGAAATGAATCGAATGAGCTTTATCAATATCGCGATGAACAGAAACTTTGAACTAACTATGTCGCATACGATCTTCCGATCATTGTGGTAAATATAAGAAGAAATGAAGTCATCTAGTATCAAATGTGCCAGTATTTTGTTTCCTAGAACAAGATGTAAATTGAAACAAAAATTGTATTCTTGTGATAGAGAGTTTTTCGCGATTGTCCAATATGTATTTTTTCAATAAGCATAAATTGAATAACGCACTTTTGGGTGTTTCACAAACACATAATGTTTCACTCGATCAAAATTTCAAATCACTGCATCTACGTCGGTTTTCCATGAAGTATTCGAATGTATTGATGATGAAAGTTTGACTTTAGACGTTCATTTGCTTCTGCAATCAACCGATGGCATTCTTAGGGGCTTTTTACTCTTTTTCATATATGTGATTTGTACGGATAAACGCGCATAGATTGTGTGCCACAGTGAAGTGTGTCGAATTTTGCACATAGTCACGAATATTACGCATAGAAGCGAATACGCGTGCACATAATGATGCCACGATGCGATTTAAGACGCATCAACACAATGTCAACATTCTGTTGTATCGTTAAGTTTCGTTCAAACAATATTTGACATCAACAATTTCTGTCTTTAATATTTATCAAATCTCTTGCTAATGAGATTGTTCTTAATTGATGAAAATTGAATTTAAATATAACACAAAATTAATTATAATAGCAAAGAATAAGAATGAAAACGAAAATCAAAATGTTATATTATACAAATATTGAAGTAAAATCGCCGATAGTTTTGGTAGATAAAAAAATCGTTGAAAACATAAGTGCGACGATTCATTATACTTGGAAATAGCATCTGGATTATAAATAATAAAAAATCCATATGTACAAATGATTGAAGTTAACAAAAATGATCAGCAAAAAATGTGAGCCGAAATAAGTACAAATCAAACACTTGCAGTCAAGTATTTCTTGAAATTTTACATGAAAAAAGTCGTTGCACTTTGAATTCAAAATAGTCGATATTGTGGCGTGTGACCAATCAGAGAAGGAAACATTTTAGTAGGATTCATGCGAAATTATTCGCAGTATGAATGGTCTATGTGCAGTATTCGGACATCGAATGTGTGCACTTCTAACGAATAGGCACCGCATAATACGCATAGTACGAAGAAATCGCCACATACTATGAGTTGAAGCGCATATTCTTCGCATAAAACGATTTTTTTTCGAGTTAAATGCCCCTAGTGGCATTCGTATTAAAATAATTAGAGTATTTGGAAGAGACTGACTTTGACTTACCAGATGTTTGATTCACATAAAATCCGAAAGTTTGATGTCAAAATTACAAAAAAAAATAAAATTGAAAAAAATTGAGTGTATTTTCCATTTCTTCAAGTCAAAACCTTACCCATCTAAAGTGTACCTTTCGATGTTTCAAACGCCTGAAAAGACCTGCAACAAAATGATTCCAAATCGATTCAACTGTCGCAAAAAGAATAAAAGACCAGAGATTTTTTTTTATTATTACTTTTGTAATTTTTACAAAGAATTTTATTTATTTTTGTTGTATTCGAGTGATATCGTATTTTCAATTGTTAATTGTTTTTCATTTTCAATTTAATTTCATATTTTTTGTTGTTGTTTTTTGTTTGAAGTCATTACATAATAATGTAGTTAATATTTTGTTTTTTTGTTTTTTATTTAAATTTATGCTGTGTGGATGTGTGGATGTCTACGCGTTCTTTATTTTATGTTGTTGTTGTTTTTTTCTCTCAATAATTTTCCTCTGAAATCAGTAGTTTTTTTTTCAAATGTTTTTCGTTTTATTTGTTTTGTCAATAAACTCTAGATTCATAGTTTAGTTATGTTTAACTTTTTACACATTAAATTTAATAGTTATTTCACTTGTTGTTTTATTTTCAAAACTTATCATTACTACAGTAATAACACTACATCGAAGAGAAACGAAGAGAAGTTGTGTGTTTTGTGTATTATTCCATTTTCAATTTGTTTTCTTTTCATTTTGTTGTCTGATAGATAAATCATCGTATGTAGCTTTATGTATTTATATATAGATATTTCCGATGCGAAACAGAAATATGGAAAATCTCGCCACAAATAATTTGTTTTGTTTATCGATGAATTAGAGAAAATGTTGCCATGAAAAAAAGTAATTCCATGAAAACGTGTTCGTAGTGTTTAAATTATAAAAAAAAATGGATGTAAATTTGTCGTATGTTTTTTTTTCTAGCGATTTTTTTTTTCATTCATATTTAATTCATTTTATTTGAATCATTTGTTATATTTTTCCTCATTAAAAGTAAGCTTAAAATTAGATGCATTTTTTGTTTGAAATATTTACAAAGAAACTTCTATATAACCATACGTCTATATTTTTTTTACAATAGCTTTTATTGTATTTGCTGTCCTCGTCTCATGTACTTTGTTTTGCAGAATTTTTTTCTTCTTCTTCTTTTGTTTAGTTTGTTTTTTTTTTTCAGTTGAGTCGCATTGTCATAATTGGAAAGTAAATTAGTTTTATAAACTGCGTGTTAAATTTGGTTGTTCCTCGCTATTCTTGTGAGTTGAGCGGACAAAAAGAACGGGGATAAAAGCAGTGAGTTGTTTTCATTTTGTGTGTTTTTTTCTCTTCTGGATATTATTGAATATCAATTTACTTTTTCGCTATATTGTACTAACATGTTAATTCTGTCAGATGCTTGCATTTAAAATGTTTGTTTGTTTTCAACTTCCTTTCATTCGCATATACCTCAATTTGTTAAATGTGAAGTTTGAACACAGCGCAGATAATAATAAGAATATATAATGCATTGTTGCGGGGGGGTATTTTGTGTGTGTGTGTGAGAGGTTTTTTTTTCTTTTCAATTCGAAAAAAATAGTTCATGTGTAAATTTGATTTTGTTAGCAATTGGTTCGTATACATTTTGATGTATATATGAATGTATGTTATGAAAATGTTGTGGGTTGGATGTCGAAACGATCTCTTGATCTTTCTTCCATCATATTTTTCTTTTGCTTTGTTTCTCACGCAAGACAATTGTCACTTTTTCGATATCGTCAACACCGACACATTACGGCAACAAATATGATGCACTCGCCACATCTAACACTTATTTTTTTTTCTTCCTCTTCGATTCTCTTTCTATCTTTTGATCGATACGCAGACACAGACACACACTTTGCTTTGTGTACACGGAGTGAGATCAAAACTTAATATAATTAAATATACAAATAGGTTTGATGAGATAATTATAAATGTATTAACAAAATCATTACACACTGTGTCTGCGTGTGTATTGTGGACGAGTGTGAGGGGCGAGGTGCGGCGCATCAATCCATTCCGTTTTCTTTTTCTCGCTTCCTTTTTCTATCTGTCTCTCCCTTCCTCTCTCTCTCTCTCTCTCTCTCTCTTTACATGAGACTCTCCGAAATTTGAGGTAAGAATGAAAATTACAAAATTGACAAAATATCAAAAAAGGATATAGGTACAAAAGATCCCTTAGTTAGTATAAATCTTATGATACCGTTTCTCGTCTTATGTACAAAATCAACAAATTTTTGTTCATTTCTTGTTTCTCCTCTGCTTGATGTGTAGCGATAAAATTGTTTCGTTTTTTTTTGTTTGACAATTCAAGGAAAGTGCAATTTCCTTTGTCACAGCAGTCACAAGTTCGGGTTTAAATCATTTTTCGTTTTTTTCGGTTTTTCTTTGTCTACAATTCAGTTTTTGATTTGACACAGTTCGGTGATGATTTGGGATCGTTTCACTTTACTCAAACGGTCGCTATAACGATTAGCAGATGAGCAATATCAGCAACGCGGTGCAATAGATCTGGTGCGATACGTGCCAAATTCTCATTGGCAAATTCACATGATGGGAATATATGGACGACATAAGCGGCTTGTTCACTGCCCGGTGCTGGTATATTGACAATGCCAGCGGCTTGTTTCTGCTGCAAATATGTGATGAAACCCGTTTGCAAGTTGGTCGATTGTTGCAACACATCCAAATGATCGCGACCACATGGCAATGCCAACAACATACAATGCTCGTTGTCCGTCTGATAGAGAGGAGGAATGAAAAATGAGTTAGAATGGATATTTATTTTGTGGAACGGCTTTTTTTGAATCAAAACTATAGACATTTTTCTGGGGGTATTAATTTTTTTTTGTCGAAAGTCGTTCTTTCGAATCCACTTACCTGCATCTTTCGCGCAACGCCCTCAAGTTGTGTCTGTTCCAATCGCATACGTTGTGCAATTCTTAGTGGAGGTGTCGATCCATCGCTATTGCAAGGCAACGATCCACTGGCCACATCTGGATTACCGAACACAAAGTGCATTTGAACGGCTGCTTGGTCGGTCTTGAGTGCCAACAATCCCTGCCACATGACTGGATAGCGCTGCAACAGCATTAGCAACGAATCGGCTTGTGGTGGTACCTGACTAGCATGCGGCGGTGTTGTCACTTGCAGACTGCGTCCGGGACCTGGCGTTGCCATCGCTGGTACCAATCCACTTGGGCACGGTGTATTTGTATGACCTTTTAATTGATTCGAAATATGGTTAGTTCAGCGGAAAAGCGCAATGTAATTGTATCGAAATACAAACCTGGTATCGATGATTTTCGTTCCTTTTCCCGTTGTTCACGTTCGCGTTCCAGTGCTTTTGGCATCAAATGGGGCGGCAACTCACCAGGGGCCGCATAATTGATTGGCGGTGTTCCACTCATTTGTGGATTGCGATGTGCTGGTGGTGGTTCAGTTGCAGTTGGGATGGCCGGACGAGCATTATCATAGAATCGTGCTCCAACATCTGGATAGTGTGGATGTGGAATCACTGAAAATTCCATTTTTGATTAGATTTTTTCGTTTTTGCTATTTCGAATTATTTACTTCATCGTAGGCATGATATTTACCTGTAGCACGATCTTGTGGACTCTGCAAACTATGCGGCACAGCAACCCTTTGACCCGTGATTGGTCGTCGCAATTCTAATGGTGGGCTTGTTCCCAATGGCTCTTCCAATTCATTCAATTCCTTTTGTTCCGTTGCATTAGGTAGCATTGTCGATCTAATTACGAAAGAATGGAAACATTAAATGATCTTTTCAATGATTCTCCGTTCAGAGGAGTGTGTTTCTCCCTTTCATCCTATTATCTTACCTTGGTATATATGGAATGCGCGCTCCATGGCCCAATGCTTCTTGAGCTCGCATATATTGTTGATAGAGAATGAAGTGATTATTTTGAACGCCACGCATAGGTACATTTGGAAAAACAGGATCGCTCTGAATAGACAAGAGGATTCACATATAAATATACATTTTGCAATTTTTATCGAAACCAAATAAGCTTTACTTTAAATAATAACTCAGAAAAAGTTAACCAAAACAAAAAAAACGACAAATGAACGCAAAATTCGTCTGAAGAAAATTTAGAAAAAAAAATATGGTGTTTTCCGTCGGAAAAGAAATTTACCAAGTTAACTGGAGTAATGGGAGAAGCCTGCTGATGAGCAGGCGGTGGACTTTGGTTTCTGAGCAAACTAAATCCACCAATATCCGAATGCTGCGTCCGAATTTGAATTTTGGAAGATTTTTGTGTCATTAGATATAGATGCAATATTGAACGGAGGAAAGGATTTCGAATGCTACTTACCAAGTTGGCTTCGAATCCTGGAACGGGTAATCCTGGCTGTTGCAAATTGTGCGGTCGATTCTGTTGACCTTGTGGACTCAACGGTGGAACACTGGCACGTGAACTATTTGCACCTGTTTGATCAAAGAATAAAGGCATTTCAAATTCGGTCCAATCACTTGGCATTTTGTCTACGTGTAAATCAGTTAATGCCTTACCAGCGACAATCGGTTGTTGGCTGCTCAAGTGCGGTTGCTTTGGTGGTGGGCTTGCAACAGCACCGGTCATAATTTGTGAAGCTTGATGAAGTCGGATTTGATTCGATGTCGGCATCGATTGTGGTGGGAAGGTGGATTGCTTGGCAACAACAGATTGTTGCTGAATCGAAGCGGGTGATGTTTGGATTTGTGGGAGCGTTGGCGGTAGAATGTGTTGCTTGTACTTGGGCGATGGAGCCGTCTCATATTTGCTTGCACTGGATCGCACTTGCAACGGAACACTACTGACAAATGGCGCTGGTTGCGTCGATTGGATGCTAATTTGATGGCTTGAACTGGATTTCGTTTGTTGTGGCTGCTGTGAAATGTGTTGCAATGGCACAGGTTGTGCGGGTCCCATTTGAATCAATGGCGCCGGTTGCGGTAAGTGATGTGATGTTTGAATCACTTTACCACTACATTGCACGACTGATGTGTAATTCGATGATGTCGGTGGCATATGCATTTTGTTCGAATGAATGACGACCGGTTTTTGTGATAGCATCTGCGACGGATGAATATTGGCAACAGAATGCTTTGGAACGTGAATCGAATACTGTGGCTCGTGAATTGATGCTTGAGTGTAGGTCACCTTGGGCGGTATATTCGGCGAGTGTCGTGGCGAATGGGCTGACGGCATATTGGCCGGTGAACTTGTTGGAATGTTCACAATCAGCGTATTCTTGTGAGCAACAGACAAATGTGGTGGTGGCTGCTGCTGTTGCTGTTGCTGTTGTGCCACCGAAACTTGTATTTTCGGTTGATATTGTTGCTGTTGTGAAATCACAGAAGCCGGCGAATCTTTGCCATACTTATGCGATGGAATATTCGGCTGTACGACACTGCTTTGAATAATCGCCGTTGATTTTATCACCGGTTGTACATTCGAAACGTGTGATACGCTTGGCACACTTGTGCTCAAAATCACCGGAGTGCCAGCGCTTGATATTACTGGCGCCTGTGACATTTTGACATGCTGCGAACTCAACACATGAGCCTTCAACGAATGATGTTGATGCTGTGATGATGGTGGTGGTAGTGGCTGCTGCTGTGGCGTTTGGAGGACTGGTTGGATTTTAATTTGTGGCTGTGACGATGGTTGAGCCAAAGTCTTTTCAATTGACATCGACAGTGGTACGGTGTGAGTTGGTGGTTCGACTGGTTTCGATGTGATAACCACAGTTGATTTTTGTACATGCATCGGGGCAGTTGTTTGCACGGGCATTGGCATTGGCATCGGAATCGGTACGGTCAACGAAATTGGCACGGGCACTGGTTTGCTCACAATTGTCACAACTGGAGCGGTTGATACCTTTGATACAATTGCCGGCGTTGGTTCAACTGCAATTGGCCGTACTTCACGCGATGTCACCAAAACACTTGGTTTGTTCACAAATTCACCGCTGCGACTGCTCACCACTGGCACATACTGTCCTTCATTGCTTTGTTGAACAACAGTCATTTCGCCAGTTACTGGATCGATTAATGTCATTGGCTCTCCAGATGATGGTTGTTTCTTCTCTCCAGCAGCTGGTGGCAATTCCTTAGCAACTGAATGTACCTTTGGCGCTTCAACAACAACTGGTTCCGCTTTGGGTGGTTCAACAGTACGATTCGTTTCACCTGATTCCGATGCACTTTGTGTTGCTTCTGAATCATTGTCCCGTTTCTCTTCATGCACATCACTACGTTGTGTATCTTCGCTCTTATCATCAGCGGAACTCTCAGTTTCCGTCGATTTAATATCCTTTGCACCGCCACGTGTTGGACGAGGTGATTTACGCAATTCAGCTTTCTCATTGACTGGCAATTTAACGGTCGCTTGATTTGTCGTGTTACGGGTTGATCGTCGTGTTTGAATCGGTGTCGATGTTAATTGTGGTTGAACAATTGTAGCCGATGTGGTTGTGATTACCGTTTGTTCTTTCATGATATTCTTCACGACTTCTTCAATGGTATCATCGACTGTGCTTCTTGAACCATCACGTTCGATCAAACGACGACTCTTACGCAAATTGTTGAGTGCAACGAGATCTTCTTTTGTTTCGTCTACTGATTCATTGGATTTTTCAACTTCTGGTGACTGAACTGGCTTCGGTGGTTCGGGTTCAGGTGCGCTAACATCTGCTTTGCTTGGCTCGACTTGTGGCGGTGTAATCGGACTGGATGGTTGAGTGCTTGGTTTTGAGAATGACAACGCACGTGTTCTGGGTGCTTCATTGCTTTGCATGGCCATTGTTTCTTCGCCAGAATCCTCGTGGAACTCATAAATATCCGATTCTGAGGTGTTGCTGCATGGTTTCTCATTTCCAACCACAACGCTAGCGCCAGTTTTTGATCTGGGCGAAGCATTGCGATTGTTGCGTCCACGTCTCGTTTGAACCGTTGGTTTTGCTGTAACTCCACGACGTGTTTGCACACCAGGCGACTGCACTTCGGGTGTGGCCATAACGCTTGGCGGCGATTTTTGGCTTTCCACTTCAATTTGTTGTGTCTTCTTGTTGCGAGTTGCCTTTTCACGTTTCGGCTGACCTTTGGCATCGGTTTTGGCCGCCTCTTTGGATTCATTCTTTTCGACGATTTCTTCCGGAGCTTCGGTCTTTGGTGTCTCCGGCTTGACAATCACCTTCGATTCGGCATTTGTTTCGTCATCCGTCGTGCACAATGCGTCCACTTCTTTGATTACCGATTCGATATTCACTTCCTTTGCCGTCCAATATTCACTGTCTTCTTTCATTGTCGATGACGATTCGCTTATTTCTTCTTTCGTCTTGACTTCCTCCGGTTTCGAGAGAATGCTCTTGATCACCGAAGTTGTAGCCAACGGCACATCATCTTGCTTGCTATTCTCAGTGGATTCCTCCGTTGTTTGCACAACTGGAGTAAGATCGACTGGTTTCGATGGCTTATTCTCTCTGACATCGGGCTCCTGTTGGATTTTCGTTTCGAACACAATTTGCTTCGGTGTTTGTGGCATTTGTGTGCTGACCAATGTGGAAGGCGTGATCGTTGTTGTTGGTTCGCTTTCTGCATGTTTTGGCGATTCAACTTCATTTGATTTTGAATCTGAAGTCGGTACAACAACAGAAGAAGTGCGATTCGATGAAGTGACATTCGTAGCGGACGGTTTGTGTGGTTGAGTTGTTTGTATCGTTGTGGCCGGTGGTATAATTTGACGCTGTTGAATATTAACATGGGAAAGTGACGATTTGGCTGGACTCATGTGCAACGATTGCCGAATTTGTGGTGTGGTCACTCGATTCAAAATTGGATTTTGAATGCTGGTTGGCGGTGTTGGTGCCGATGCCGTTGCTGCTGTCGTTAGCATTGTTTGTGTCACAACCGAAGGTTGAGTATGATGGATAATCGTACCTAATAATAGAAATACAACCATTGTTTAATCGTGATTAAGCAAAAAAAGAAAGAAATTCAATGAATTAATAAAGTTTGTCCGTGTAAATTGCGTACACTTACTCGGTGGCGATGATTTTGGTTTGTCATTGGAAATACTCGACACTTGAATGATGTTTGGTTTGGCCAATGTTGGTGTGCTTATTGTTACCGACAGTAATTCGCTTGGAGCTTCAATCTTTGGTATGATTGGCGGCAAAATCGGTGGCTCAACATGCAATTTTGGTTGTGTTGTAACAATCGTGGTCTTATGGTTATCACTGCTCGATGCTGGTTTATCGGCATTTTTGCTGGTCTCTTGCGATTGAACGGTTTCAAGTGTGAACGCCACGGTGTTTTTATTGGTGTCACTTGCCTTCGGTTCAACATCTTTCGTGGTCGACTTCTTATCCTTTGGCGCTTCCGATTTGCTGTCATAATTGGCGGCACTTTCATCGATTTGCAGTGCATTGCTATCGTCTTGTTCTTCGGTATCAGTGTCAATTTGCAGGCCATTATCACTTTGTGGTGTGTCTGGCTTCATGTCCATATCATCGGTGCCCAAACTTTGTACAGCCTTTCGCATTTCTTCGGCTTCCTCTTCGGCAATGGCACCATCATTCGATGGCAAATTCGAACCTTCTTCGATAATTGGATCTTCACTGAACGAATAATCATCGGTCATACCGAAACTTTCACCCAACAAAGCTGCCACAGCGTCCTCAGTCTCTTCTTGTGAGATAACAACGCGGGATTTTTCTTCAATTTTGTCACCTTGTTTGGCATCTTGGCTCTCAGCAGTCGGGTTTTCTTCGATTGGCAATTTCTCCGGTTCGGATTTGTCATTGGCAAAATCGGATGAAATCGATTGCACCGCTGAATCATAGATGTTTGTATCGATTATCAAGCCGAAATCAGGAATGATTGCTTTGGAATCTTTGCGCTTGTCATCACTATGTTTCGATGATTGTGCATTGTCAATAGTTTTACTGTCTTTGCCCTTTGGTTCGATTGGTTCTTCGCTTGATTTGCTATCATCGATCGAAATCGGTGATTGCTTCGACGGCGGAAGGTCATCCATCAAATCTGTGTCGATGGTTAGACGTGGAGTCGTTGGTGGTGAAATAAACGACGACGAATGACTCAAATGATGATGATGATGTCGTTTTTCCTCCTTCGATCGCTTCTTCTTTTTCTTTTTATCCTTCGATCGATGCGAGTCCATACTGTCCGATTTGCGTGACATAAACATATTGTCGGGACCTTCTTCGGTTTCCGAGAATCGGAACACATCATCGTATGGCTTCTCTGACACTGATTCATTCTTATTGACATTTTCTTTCGACGCCGAGTATCCAAAATCGCTAATTTCTTCTGGCTTTTGTTCACTATCTTCGAGCAGTTGTGCTTCCAATGCACGGGCCGCTGCATCCAAATCAACACTATTGTCATCATCTTTGCTGCTGATCGATTGCTGTTGCTTTTCACGCTCCTTGCGCTTCTTTTCTCGCTTCTTTTCGCGATGCTTTTCCTTTTCCAATTGCAAATTCGACGATTTCGATTCGGTGTTATTTTCATTTTGAGTGTAAGTGGACGTGGTTGTCGTCGTTGTTGTTGTCGACGATTGTGTGCTTGACTTGTTTGAATGAACATTATTCGAGGAATTTGACGACTTGTTGGTGGATTTGTGTGTGTCGATCGTAGCTGAAATGTGTGAATCATCATCGGAAATTGGACCAAAAATGTCTTCCATTTTCTCTCCACGTTTGATCGAATTGAAACTCTCTTGCGACTCAAACATCGATGCATCTGACGACAATCGATTTTGTTTCTTCAATTTTTTCATGCGATATTTCTCCTCTCTCGATTTATCGTGCTGTTCTTTCGACGATTTATCGCGTTTCTTCTCTTTTTTGCCGTGGCGTTTCTTCTCATTGCTTGACGTATCGCGTGCATCGCGTTTCAGTTCATCGAACATTGTTTCCATCGAATTGGATTTTTCCACCTTGATCATCTCTTCGTGTTTGATTGGTTTCGCCTCTTCGGTTGACATGGCCGATGGGCTCTTTTGACGTTTTTTGTTCTTCTTGTGTCGCTTCTTGTTTTCAGCACTGAAGAGATTGTCAAACATGGATTCCTTAGTCTCGGATGTTTTGCTGCTTGGTGTTATTGAATCACCATCCGATAAATCACACAAATTCGACGTTCGCTCCGGCGATGGAAAGGGATCAACGGGTTCGGATTTAATTTTAAACTGAACAATATCCTGTTTTTCTTCCTTTGGAATGTTAACGATTTCGGTTTTGATTTCACATTTCATTTCTTCGTCGGGTTTTTCTCTTGGCTCTTGTTTAACCGGTGCTGCAATTTCGCTAGCATCGTCCGATGTTTCCGATGTGATTCGGGCCGATCTTGAATTCTTGCGTGACGAAATGCGACGTCTCGGTTTCACAGAGAATTGATGCAACGAACTATTTTCCGAACTCTCACCATCGCATAGCTCATTCAATCGATTCACACGGAAGTGGCCCTTTCGTGAGCTCGACTCTGAATCGGAAACTAAATCTTTGTTCATCGAATGCCTGCCGTCGCTGTCTTCCGTTGACGAGTCAAGGAAATGCTTCATTTTACCGCCCGTGTGTTTGACGCGTTGTTCATTTGTGTCCATATCCGAATCGCTTTCTTCGTCATAGCTATTTGAGTGTTTCTTTCCTTCACGCTTTGCTCGGCTCTCTTTCAATTGGCTGAATTTCGCTTTGATTTTCTTCTCTTCCTCTTGTTTCTGCATGTTTTTGCATGAGCGAGCCTTCACTTTGTCGTACATGGAAATGTAGGCGGGACCATCATCTGGAATATCGAAAATGGAATGTTTTTTCGGTCCATCAGAATCCGAATCGTCGGAGCTATTTGATGTTGGCTTACGAATTCGTATACGTTCACGTTCCATCGATGATTTGGCCGAACTGTGCGCATCATCCGTTGTTCGTGAGCGTTTTTCACTGCTGTTCAAACGATCAATTCGCTTCTCCGATTTGGATTTCTCGTCGCGATGATCACGTGAATTCTGTTTTTCATGGCTATGGTGACGATGGCTCGGATGTTGCTGGTGCTGTTGTTGTTGTTGCTGCTGCTGGTGATGGTGCTGTTGCTGTGCATCGAATAGATTTTCACGTCTTCCATCCTTATTTTCAGACTTTTTGCTGCTCTCATCGTCGCTGAGGCGACCATCGTTTGAAAAGCCACTTTGCGCTTCCATATCTGCAAATTTAAAATGAATTGATACGATTTAGTGTAAATTTAGCAAGTGCATTAACCGCCGACAATCATACAGTCATCCACAATGATATAACTACTTTGAACTGGCTCAATTTGGTTGAGTTTAATTTTATGCACACAACGGCACCAATAAAAAGATATTATAAAACTAAATTGAAGCTTATCACGATATAGAGAAGCGACTTGTTTTTTTTTTCTAAGAAGACCAAATCAGCTAAACTGATTGAAGTGTTGACAAAGAATTTCATCGTTTCGTCAAAACGAAACGACCGAAATTATTTGCACAGTGTAGCATATGAGCCAGAAAATGGCCTACTTCAATCGAAACCACTAATAATAGTTGTTATGCCATAAATCTAAGACCAAATTCAAAAATACTTACGGAATTGACTGGACGATTTTTCATCCTTGTTGCGTCGGCTTTTGTGTGACGATTTTTCGCTTTTGCTGCGATGTTGTTTATCACCGTCGCGTTCCTTTTTGCGCTCATCAAAGCTTGAATCCTTTTTCGACCTATCCTCCGGCATATCGCATGAGTTTTCTTCAGTCTTGTGCACATTGTTCATCTTATTGAAGTTGCGTTGATGATGTTTCGATGATGACTTATCACCACCGCCACCAGTGCGACCATTTGGATCTTTGAAATCGCGACGCTCCAGTGATTTGACATTTTCGGAATTGAATTTAAACCGTTTACCATCATCACTGTCAACGGATTCGTGTGAGCTTAATCGTCGTTTCGGTATGATTTTGTTTGGTGAATTGCTGCGACTATTTTTGCTTGAATTCTTATTCATTTCATCGGTGTACTGTTGTCGATCTAATGGCGTACTTTCACGTGATTTTGACGCATTCTCTTTGTTATGTTTGTCACTCTTGGTGAATTGATTAACCGTAACAACATGTTCACGGTCTTTCGGCGGGTTTTGTTTGTATTCCTGTTTCCAGTTGTGGTGTACCGCATCATCGCTATCCATCTCACGGCGTCTGTACTCATACTCTTCCGATTTCTTTGATTCGAGCTCGTATTTAATACGTGATTCGTCTCTCTCTTGTGACTCAATTTCACTTTGGTTGCGTGTTTTATTCTTTGTTTTGCCCGATTCCATTTTCGTTGAATCGTGTCGTTCACGTCCAACGCGCTCATTTTCAGTCCGTTCGGATAGAATTTCCGAACTGGAGGCCGGATCAGAATTTTCGCTGCTGATCGATTCCCATTTCCGTCGATCCAACAGATCAGTCTTTTTCGCATGATCATTCTTGGCATTGGAGATTTTCTCTTCGCGTGACGTTTTACGCGACGGAATCACATTCTCAAGCGAATCATTGCTTTCATCTTTGATGCTCATGTTCAAGCTACAACTGGATGTGAGAGTCGTTCGAACGGTGCCCGAGTGATTGCTACCCGGTACCGATGCACTTTTGTTGAGCGAACGATTCGAGCTCTTCGATCCGTTGCTCGCTTGATTGTTTTTTTCTTGAGTGTTGCTGGTACTTTTGTGTGATTTCGATTTGTTTGAGTCTTGGTCTTGAGAGGAACTGGTATTTTCGGCGATTTTATTCGATGGTGTTGTTGGTGTACTCGGTAGATTTGTAACAGACGTCGCAATTGGCGGATGTGTTGGGAATGGATACTGTAATACACCTTTGACCGGTTGCACCGACGCAATGTTGTTGGACATTTTCGCGCCAGACATATTCGGTGTGACAACGATCGGCGATGGCGATGGGCTGTTGTATGGGGATTGCGGCTGTGGACTATTCATTGGTGATACGGCATTCAAACGTGGTAACGCTTGACTGATTTGCGCTGTAAACGTCGTCGTCGTTTGTTGTGGCGTTGAGTGCAATTTTGGCAATTGGCTCAATTGGGTCAACTGGCTAGTGCATGTTGGTGTTGTTGTCACTGTTGCCGTTGCCACTGCTGCTGCCGCCGCCGCCGGTTTGCTGTTGGTTGCATTTGCCGTTGTTGGCGTGCGATTCAAATTCAAATAGTCTTTTGGCTCATATTTCTCTCCGATATGCTCTAGCCGCTTCAAATCATCGTCAAATATCGATTTTTTCGATAAAACGGATTTCAAAATGTCCGATGGTTTTACATCATTCACATCAAGCTCGAGGAATTTGTGCCGGCTGGAGAAACTGGACGCAGACGATGGTGTTGTCGGATTTTCACTGAACGAATGTGATGATGGTCGCGCCGGAATGCCACCGTTCCACATTTCGAACATTTCATCCAAATTCTTAATTCGCTCATCGAACGATGGGCTCTTTCCAAGTTCGGAGTCGCTAGAAGTTGAGCTCAATGATGGCGCTTTGCATGGACTCTCAGGTGGTTGTTCGATCGGTTCCGTTGCCATTGGTTGTTTCAACAAAGTGGCCGTGTTAACTGGCTTAATTTGCGATTCTGTCGATTGAACCTGAGGAAGTTTCGATTGCTTGGCATCCGATGGCGCGGATGGTGTGGCGATCGATAAAGATGTGGACGATGATGTGGATGATGAAGGTGCAGGCGGGGCAGGTGGTGCAGTTTGCGATGTTGACACTGAATGAGGTACGCTTGGCAGAGGTGGTGGTGGTGGTGGTGGCGGTTGATGATGTGACGACGGCTTTGATTCAGCTGCCGCACTCGACGGCTGATGTGTTTGGTGCAAAGAAGAACGCTCTGATTGATGTGAGTGTTTTGGTTGGAAGTTATGTTGATGCGAATGCTGTTGCTGCTGAGCACTACTACTCAATAAAATGGTACTGCCATTGGACGATGGTCGTGTGAGCAACGCAGGCGGTGGACTTGATAAAGTATTTCTGAAATGATGTAGAAAAAACACAAGAATTTATTAGTGGAAGATGAAAAAAAAGGAATTGACTAGGGTTTTCAAGTTTTTTTTTCTTCTGACAGATACATACCGACTAGAATGACTGGATAATAAGTAGGAAGATAGCGAATGTGTTGAGCTGAATGCACGATTCTGTTGAAAAATTTGTACACCAAATTTGGGCAACGGCAAATACAGCGATGTCGAATGACTCGTGTATCTGTCACGTGAATTGCGCCGTGGATCGGCCGGAACCATAATTTCGGGTCGTTCGTCACAGAGCGGTGTGCCCGGCCGTGAACCATCGGCACTTTCACTGGCCGATGCTTCGTGCGAGTGATGCGAATGCAATTGATGCCCTCGACCCTTCGACGAATGATGTTCACTTTCGCTGTTCGAGTTGCCGGTTTTGCGTCGCTTACAGAATGGATGCGATTGAAACGCTGATATTTGTTCACTGAGTTCATTGTGCGATGAGCTGCCGGTGCGAACGTGTGGATGCCGTAAGCTTCCGCTGTCTGTTGATGGCCGTCGTATATTGTTCACAACATTGTGTTTTGATGAATTGCATTCCGATAAGCGTCTCACTTCCGAATTCTTTCGATGGTGTTGTAATAAATTAGTGTCGTTTAGATTGTTTAAAGTAGCATCACAGTTAGAATCATTAACTAGGTTCGTTTGTACAAGATTGCCGGAATCAGCATTGTCGAATTTCATTCGTTTCTTCGGGCTTAAAATTTCATCGCCACTGGACGGGCATTCTTCTAGCTGCTCAAGCAATTGAGAACGTTCCTTTTGCAAATGACGAATATCACCAGGCTGTTGAAAGTGTGCATTAGCATGCGTTGATGCCGTTCCTGCTGCTGCTGTAGCCGCCGCTGACGCCGCTGAATCGGCCGACACAACAACACTTTGCACACGATGATGTTTCACCGTGCTCGAGAAGTATTCATCGTCGATGACTGGACTTTTTTCACGTCGATCCGCATCCATGTCATTCACAATGAATGCATTCTTCTTTGGAGCATAGGAGAATTCGTCATCATACTTCCGTCGGCTGGTTATTGTTACGCTGTCCAATTCATTTGACACGCTTATTCGCTCTTGCGGTGATTCAGTTCGGAAATAATTGTACTCATCGGCATCATGAGACGCAGCTGATCCCTGACTGTATTCATCATAGCTTTTGATACGCCGCTCCGAATCGCATTCCATCGATTGTGCGGCATTCTTTTTCGTGTATGACGTCCGATTGTCCACCGTATTCGTCATAGCATATTCATCATCGTGATAATCAGCATTTGCGTATCGGCTGTTTCGTCGTACAAACGAACTGCCGCGTGGCGTTGTTGCTGAACTCGGTGAAACAGCTCCATGTCGGCTAAACGATGACGTTCTCGATCGAGCCGGTGTATCATATCGACTGAATCGACTGTTCAACGTCGTTGTTGAATTTTCAAATGTACGGGTTACATCACGGCTTGGCTCGAACACCGTTCGTTCGGGTGTGACAGCGCTTTTCTTTTCAATTTTATCGTAGAAAGCGTCTTGGCATTCGCGTGATGCAAAGTCTACCTGCAGCTTTCGTCCGCGTAAGGTTACGCCCCGCATTTCTTTAACTGCCATTTGGGCATATGAAATCTGTTCGAAAAACACCAATGCCATCTTCCGTTCACGCTGGATGGTGACTTGTGACACGGGTCCAAAGCGATTGAACTGTGTTGTCAGATAGCTTTCACTGGCCGCATCCGAAACACCATCAATCCACACACAATTGGTAGGCATTGATTTGCCAAAGCCCAATTTTATGCGCGTTGAACCCAAGTGTTCGCCGTCCATTTGTCGCATCGCCTTTACCACAGACACAATATCCGAGTACTGACAGAATGCATACGCATTAACACCTTGCTTCTTTATATCGATTTCGATAATTTCACCAAAACAATCGAAATTCTTTCTAAGCTCGGTTGCAGTTATGTCTTTTTCTAAATTTCCTATGAACAGTGTGCGCGTTGCCTTCGGATGGTATTCATCCAATTCGGCTTCGTACGGTCGAAATTCGTTGTCATCAACGTCAAAACCTTGATACGGTGCCACCGCAATTTTACAGCCAAAAAATAATTTATCATGTGACACTTCCAGTGCTTTGACCACATCTTCTGGTTTCTTAAAGCATACCAGCGCATAACGTTCCGAACTTTGACCAACCACTTTGACCCACGTCACTTTGCCATGCTTCTTGTACTCATGAAATAGGCCATCTTTAAGCGATGTGTCCGACGATCGTGACGGCAAATTTCGTACACATATCGCCAACGGTCGATTATCTTCGGAGTGAACGGCAGGATTTGAATTTGACGATGAATTTGTAGCCGGCGTTGAAACGGCCGATTGCAAATTCCGAACACGTGATTTATCACTACTTGTCGGGCTACTTGAACCATGTGAATGTGAAGATCCGCTATTTGTTGAACTACAACTCGGGCTACGAGAATTCGATCGGCTAGTTGTACTATCACCGCACGGTGACTCTGAACCCGATCGTGATTTCTTTTTCTTTATCAGACCTGCGGAATGAATGAAGTGAAGAAAACACGTGTAAATGATAAGTAGCAATGGAAAATTGATTCGTTTGTTTTTCTCGAACAAGAAAGGAATTGTGGGAAGCGATGCTTACCTCTGTTTTTAGTTATTGATTTGGAAGAACATTCGGTTTCTGACGTTCTACGATCGGTTGTCGTATCATAAGCGCTATCGGGTGTTACAACAACTGCCGCACTCGGCAAATTGCCATACACATTTCGACTTGCATTCGTTACATTCGAATTCTCATACCATGTATTTGAAGACGACCTGTGCAGAATGCTAGAATTAGACCTGAAAAATAAAACAAATGATTAGTTTTTCTTAGTTTGTCTGAATTTTGGGCGATTTTCCCTGAATGAAGCGAATGGATGGCGGTGAATGCTTACCTATCTACTGTTGACGAATATGAACCATTTCTATAATGCCTATCTCTGGGCCTGCCTCTTGAATCGCTGTGATGATAATTTGGTCGTCTAATATACATATCGGAGGCGGATGATTCACTTAAGCGTGTACTACGATCGTAAATATTTCGATCGAAATTCGGTGACAAATCCTCGGATGATCTGAATTGGAAGAAAGAAAAGCCAATGTTTCAGTACCATTTGTATTGAATAATTCATTCGATAGATGAATTATTCAGTGTGAAAAATGTCTTCATTCGATAGAATTGTATGATTTTTTTTTTTGCATACATTTGAATCTTAAACAAGAAAATACAATAAAAAATGACACGACTATGAAATAGATACTCACCCATGATTTGATGTGGATAACCGATGTGCCGCTGCCGGTGGTGAAACGGTAGTCGATGACGAATACTGTTGTTGTACTGACTGTTGAACGGATCCCGATAAATTCGATGTGGTGGAGCCATGTTGTGGCGATGGCTGCTGCTGTTGCTGTTGTTGTGCTGTTTGCTGTTGCGCTGATGTTGTATTTGTTAAACTAGATATTGATGAGGGTGAATTTTCGCCCGATGTCGATGGTATTGACGATGGTTCATAATATTCTGTGGTCAATACGCGATCATCAAATTTATGTTCGGCCGTGTGTGCTTTCGACGCTGATTTAATATCCATAAATGCAACCGTTGCGCACACACTGCCGCCAATGGTGCAATTGGTTGAATTTGTTGTTGGCGAACACAGGCTAACATTATTATTAAAATTGTACATAGAGATCGAGTGATCGTCGGTCGAATCATTGTGATCTTTGATTGGTACAGACGATGAGCCAATTGATAACAATAAATTTGGATTGCAATTCGAAGACAATAGGATTTTGACACTTTGAACACGTCCATATCTGCGTTAGGAAATCGCGCGCGTAAAAAAAAGAGAGAGAGAGAAAAAATCATGTTAGAGAAACAATTAAAACAGTGTTGGCAACAGTAAAAATAAATGGTTTGCAAAATGTTAGAGCCCGTAATTCGTGTATTTTTCACATGATGTATTTTGGAGGTAATAAAACAACAACTACAACCTAATACAATCAAGAGAAGAAAAAAACAAAGTGTAAAAAAGAATAAAGGAAATTCCAGCGCTATCTGAAAACGAACAGCTTTGCATTAATCAAATGATAATAGAAATTCTTTGATTTTGTCTTAACGCTTCGTAAACTCTTAGATTCTAGAAGTTCTGCTTTGTCTATCAATTGTTCGCAACTTGAGCAGTCAAGTGAACGGAGTGAAGTACAAAGCGAGGCGAACGAAAAAAAAATCGCTCTCATAGAATCAAGGTGTAAAAGTAACGAGAGATAGAAAAAAAAGAATCGCAACTAACAACTAAAGAAGTGACTAAAGAAAGGCAGCATAGTTGCTCTTGCTGCTGCTGCTGCTTCGCACAAGACAGAACAGAGAGTGTGAGTATGTGCGAGAGACACGCACAGCGTACAAAAGTGTACATTGAGAAAATAAGTTCTAAGTAATTCGCGCATAAATTGTTCATTCACCAAAGGTAAATAAACTTTCGAGGTAAACAGGTGCTGAAAAAATTGGATAGATTGGCATTATTACTACATAGTTTTGTTGTGTGCTGTGCTGTTGTTGCTTTTTTTCTCTTCATTTCATTTCATTTTGAATTGTGTTGTGTGCGCTGCGGTGCGCACTGCATTGTTTTCTTTCTCTTTCAGTTTTGCCATGTTTGTCTGTGTGTGCGGTCTTTTTTTCTCTTTGCTCTCAGTGATCTCGACTCTATGGAGTGTGATTGCGAAAAAAAAAAAAACAAGCTATAGCTTGTCAGCCACTAAACATACGCATACAAATCCGCTTGAACGATGGAGCCAGGCCGATGTAACTCTGTTGTATTCTCTTTTTTTTGCTGCTTGCATAGGAGAGAAATAATTGCCTTGTTTGTTGTTAGCGCGTAGCTCGATTTTGCAAATGTGATTGTAAATTGTCTGAAACATTAAATATTCTCTTTTGTTTACAACACAGTCATGCCATCGTAATAGCGAATGAAGAAAAAAAAACACACAACACCAAACACACACACAGAAAGAGTCAGAGCGTTTGTAATATGCCATGCCATATGAAATCGACATGGGGTTTCCATTCTGTATGCTTGATGTTTTGTGTTTGCCACCTTTCGACGTTATTTTGCTGCGAAAACCCACTCCACAATTTACGTCTTTTTTTTCTCAACGATGGAACTTGGCTCAAACCAAATTTCAGTTATGTAATTTTTTTTCTTGCTTCTTTCGAATGAAGAAAAAATAAAGTCATGCGCGCGTGAGCGCTCACACACAGAAAACGAAAAAAGTAGCAACAACAACATTGCTCTGAAACCTCAAATCTAGCTATCCACGCCATTGCAAAATAATTTATGACTCGTCCATTCTGAAGCCAACTAGCAAATAATAAATCGAAGAAAAAAATCTAATCAATTGACTATATGATCCAAACAGTCTAAAGATTCAGTTCGTTTCACTTAAATTCGATTTTCCTCGATCCAATTAAGTTTGCATCAAAATTAAATGACCAATTAATTAAATGGCGTTATGTCACCGTGAGTGAGAAACAGTTGCCGAAGCTCAAAGGTAAATAATACAGCACTCAATGTTTGTTTTCCATTTATATATAGAGATATTTGAAATTCTAGAACCGGTCTCTCTGATGACGGAATAAGAAGAAATAGTCAATATCGATTTCAATGTGCCGCTGCCGTTCGAAGATTCATTTACACCTTTAATGTCAATTAGACATGAAACATGCATATTCGATTGACATACAGAATAAATGCCAACGAAACAAACAGCAACAACAACAATAAGAACCCCAGCAACGATACCACATACACATTTCGGAAATATTTCTGTCGACTGAAATAAGAACGAAAGTATTGATTTACGGGGCTGACGTGTACGTAAAATAAGCACATCCATTCTCCATTGTTATGCGATGCATAGAGAATGAGATCGGTTCGAGATACAAAGACCATTTCTATTGAATGACAGAGAAATTACATCATGACTCTCTGTCGTTGTGTCAATTTCAATTTTTTTTTTGTCAATTATATCAGTGAAATAGATGTCAACTATTCCAAAAATAGAGTTTTAAAACGATGATACTTTTCAACGGAATGTGCTTACACCATCAATTCTCAAGAATTCGTTACTAAATACATAATAAGTTCATTTTGTCAAAAAAAGGAGTTCTCTAACTTTAGGTTCGTTCAGTTGACAAAAAAAAGGGGGACAAGATAAAAAATTGCGCTCTTCTCAATCATAATCATAATCATAATCGTACACGTTTTCTTATCACAAAGTGCTTCGTCTGATTTAATCGAGCTTGAGTACATGATGTGAACGAGCACCGACACTAAATGATTTTAAATTGTACGACAAAGCTAAAAAAGAAGCAGCAACGAATTCAAAAAGCACATGTCTTGCAACGCATGTTTCTGTCATATAAATATATATTAATTTTCTCTCTCAACAGATGATCTGTTTAAATAACCACACACTGAGTGCGCAACGATGATTGAGTGTCGATGAAAGCGCGTTCTCTTTTTCGTCTTCTTCTTCTTCTGCGCGGTCAGTGAATGTTTTTGCCTTTGAATTGTCGGCCAACTTGCGAATGAAAAAAATAAGAAACAAATTAAGATCGTTTTGTACATTCATCGGATGCTAGTCATGTATTTCAAGTACAATATGGCTGTGATGATGCCGTGGCTTCGTTTTGCACATGTAATTTCAATGGTTTCGCCTTCAAAATGTTTTAATTTCGATGTAAATTTCCATGCAATGGACGATTTCATACTTGAATAGCAGAGAGAAAAAAAGCAATTTCAAACGATATATTCTATCTTGGGAACACTCAATAAAAGCAGATATGTAAAAAAAAACAGCCGCACACATGCGAGAGATTGAGAACATTCTCAAATCGATTGGACTCGAAATCAGAACACATGGATTTTAGAGAACACATTATTTGTTGCACTAAATCGAGTGTGTGTGTGTGTTCGTATGATAATAATCAATGAACTAAATAATTAATTCGCGTTTTCGTCATCACGAAGGTAAATAGTAAAGTCACCATTAACCTGTAATCGTGCATGCAATGTCTATCGGTCGGATGATGTGTCGGTCTCACTCTAACTCACACAATTCGCTATTGCTCATTATTCTCGCTCGCTTGAGACATCGTCCATACACACATATCGTACGTATATTATTTCTCAAAGCTGAATTCTCACCGACTGAGTCAATTCGAAAAATCGTCGTCATCACATCAACGACGGTGATCACGACAACGACGAGCGGCAACAGTGAAAATTCGTTCATTCGTAAATGAAAGAACGAAAAGGAATCATAAAAAATAATGCCGAAGAAAGCGAGAGAGCCGATACATTGATACGTACTCCATACACGAGGAGTCGACTGATACAGACTACATATAGATGATTTTAAACATGTGAATACGCCACAGTTTACACATACAATTTGGAGCGTATATATACAATTTTATGCCATTATACCGAAATGTAAGACGACTTGTACAATCTTTTGGCATTCGATTTATGCCGCATTTTTCAGTGCATATACTCGGCTGCTGACTCGCTGTGGTGCATTTAAATTTATGCAGTGAAATCCGCACGTATTATTCCATGCATGTTGGCCATAATAAGAATATATATTCAATCCTCACTTCTTCTGCCGTGTATATATATTTTCTGCTCAGGCGAATATGTGTGTGTGTTGCTATTGCCTCTGATGCTGCTGCTATTCCGAAAGATAGACGTTGTGCAGTGTGTTCTCATTAAGTACAAGTTTAACACTCGTCTTGAATACCATATAGGAGAACGGTAATAATTGACAGTCGTTTTGGCTGAAAATCTCAATGCGCTAAAAAGAGAGCGCGCACTAAACCAAAAATCACCACGAAATAACATCAACAGCAATAGCAATAGCAATAACAACAACAACAGCAGAAGCAGCAGCAGCAGCAGCAGCAACAACAAAAATAACACAATCCATCAAGCAGCAATATACCCAAACGAAGCAAATCAAAAGACAAACACACAATGTTATTAAAAAAGAAGAAGCGAAAGAAGAAACGCGCGACAAAAAACCAACAGAAGACGAAAAGAGAGAGAATGAACGAAAATTAAATGATGAGGTGGAAATGTGGCAACACCGCATTTCGTTATAATAACAATAATAATCAAATCCAATCACGTAAATAACAAAATTGAACCCGAATGTAGCGCTCGCCTGAATAATGCTGCTGCTCTATACACTCGGTGTGTGCTCACGCCGTGTACGTGTGTGTGTGTGTGTATACATTGGGATGGATGGAGTGTTTTGTGTAATGTGTGTAGATAGATAATAGCGCAACGCCAGAAATGCCTGTATTAATGGAAAAAGTTGGAAAACTGGCAACGTTGCCACTGAATGAGTGAGTGAGCGCGAGCGCGAGCGTGAGCGCGCACCATAGCGCTCACTCATTTGCTTGCTCGTTCACTCGTTGGTTCGGTCGTTTCTGAATATAAATGTATGTACGAATACACGAGCGCAAAAATATCATAGAGAAATGTATATATATCTATATACATGGATCGGACTGTGCGCGGAATCTACAGCATACACAGAGAATGAGTGTTTGCCACATTCAATATTTGCCTGTACTGTTCGCATACGAATGCGAGAAGATAACACAGACGTCGAGAGACAAAAACAACAAACGTACCCATATAAAGTGGAATAAAGCTGCTGCTGCTGCTGCCGCCGTTGCTGCTGCTATGTTTTTTTTATGGGCTGTGTATACGCTGCTGCTTTTTCCCTTCATTCTTCGCTTTTTGGTGTTT